TATTAGAGTATTTATTTTATTTAATCGCCTTTGGCTCAATCCTATTTGAACTTCCCTGATTTGAGATGTGCCTATTGTTCAAGGAGCAAACAAGGGTAGAATGCTACTGATTTTCATTTTTTAATGGAACCCCTATAGCTGGACTCTTTTTCAATTTTTTGATATCTTATTTAACAAAAAACATTTTTCAAGAGTTTGGACTTTGGTTATAACTAATCAAATTGCAAAAATCATAGCATTTTTTATTTCCTTATCAGACTGATTGCCTTCGAGGAATAAATAGGGCTTTGCTTCAATTTCTTTTAGATATTAGCACTTTGTCTCCATTTATATACTTCATATATTCGTAGTATATAATATTGTCCTTCATCCCCTGAACTGTGTTTTTCTCCTGTTTATTTGTGTGAAACAGCCTTTGTTGAACCTTTTTCATTCTGAGCCTAGAAATGCTGTCTGGAAGCGCAATGTGGATGCTGCATTTTTCCATTGCACGGTACGCCTGTCATTGAAATTCATTTGCTTATCTGTTGCTTACTGGAAAATCTTTTTAGGAAATGTTTCTCTCTCTATGGTGTGGGAGATGTAGAGCTATTATGGCTTTCTCCATCATCACAAGAAGTGTACATTTTTCGACAACCATTTTGCTGCATCTGTGGTATCCTCACTCATTATTGAATCTTTGCAGACAGTTAAACAGGTCCTTGAGGAGACATTGCCTATTATTCCAGACTACGTCCTTGATTCACCTGCTGCTAGGGTGCTACCCAGCCGTGGAGATTTATTTGCAAATGTGGATGATCTCATGCCTCCCCCATATGAATCGAGTGAACTGGAGCTACAATATGCTTAGTTTGTCGTAGGTTGAGTTCATATAGATGATAGTCACCATTAAATTAGTATACACAATATATTCATCATTCTTTGGAATATGATCTATGTCCCTAAACCCTAGAGATAGAATGTACTCTATTTTTGGCACCAAACAAAGAATTTTAACAGTGTATTTGGATATGAAGAAAATGGTAATGCAAATGCAATCGCCTTCTTCTTCTTCTCTCTCTTTCTCCTTTTTTTTTTTTTTTTTTTTTTTTTTTTTTTTTTTTCATAATCTTTCTTGTTGATTTATACTATGAATTTTGTGGCTCAACATGAATTCGATTGTTGATGGGTTGAGTCATCTGACTGGCCTTGGTTTTGCTATGTTTGATGGCTGGTGGCCGAGCTGTTGGATCATTAAACAACTTTCAGGCCTCGGTAAATTCTATGCCACTGCTGAAAAAATTACTGGATAATCCATGGCCAATATTGTCGGTAATTTGAATCAATTATATTTGAGCACGTTAGATATTTTAGCTATGTGTAGTATATACTGTATTTAGTTTATTTGACGTGGCATTTCTAGGCCATAAATGTTTTAGCTAAATTGCTTGTGATATGCCAAGCACCAATGCCAGATTGCCAGCTAGGACAAAATCAACATTGACAGGTGGCAGGCTGTTGTTGGTCAGGTATAATACAGGGATAAGATGCTAAATTGTCGCCAAAAGTTTCAGGTTGAAATTAAGCTAAGCTATCCTCTTCCTCTGCTCAACACACACTTCATTTTCAGACACCAATAACAGAGCATTCATGGCTTCAATCAGCATGTCAGCATCTTTCCTCGGTGGCGCTGCCACGCTCTCTCCTGCAGCTGCTTCTCACCGGAGGCTTGTCATCACCAACAGTGTTAAACCCAACACTGTGAAGGTCAGCTGTGAGACCAAGCAAGAGGGCAGCAACAATGGAAGGAGAGACATTATGTTTGCTGCTGCAGCCGCTGCCATTGCTTCTGTTGCTGGTGTTGCCATAGCTGATGAACCGAAACGTGGTTCCCCAGAAGCTAAGAAAGCTTATGGTCCTGTTTGTGTCGCCAACCCAACTGCTAAGATCTGTAATAACTGAAAATATTCTGCAGTTTTTCATTACTATTCTGTATTTCAATTTTCATGTGGATGATTATCATTATTAATGTAATTTATCTACTGCCTGATGTTTAATTGAGTACTTTGCTTATATAATATGATTAATATCTTATGTCAGTGTTACGTTACGTTATTAGTCTTATTACCTTCTGTTATGCTTTCATTTACTGCTGCCTTGATTCAGTATAATTGTTCTTTTGCTTGATCTTTCAGTTTAAATTCTACCCTTTTCATTCACATTCCACATCTCTTTGTATTCTTTGTTTATTGCTGTTGTTAAATCAATCAATGCATGGCTTTTCATTTCACCTTTGCCTGTGTTTCCTCTCCTTAATATATATCTCCTTTTACCATCTTCCATTTGCACTCGAATCCATTTTTAAAACTCTTTCTTGATACATTTATCATGGCAGCATTTTCTTCAGTAATTTTGCATTGTTCATTCTTGTTCATCTGTCTTTCTTCCATAATAGCAGTAGTACTAGGTTTCACTGTAGACCTCATTCACAGAGACTCCATTCTATCCCCTCTCCATAACTCCACCAAGACGCATTGGGAGCTTCTAAATGATGCCCTCCGCCGCTCCACCACCCGTGCCAGCCACTTTGAGGTGTTGGCCTCGCGGGCAATGGTCCAGTCCCCGGTGATCCCTGCCAAGGGGGAATACTTAATGAACATATCATTAGGTAGTCCCCCGATTACCATGCTTGGGATAGCTGATACCGGGAGTGATCTCACTTGGACCCAATGCAAGCCTTGTGTTCAGTGTTACAAGCAGAGGTTACCAATTTTCGACCCCAAAAAATCATCTTCTTTTAAGCCAATACCATGTGGATCCCCTCGTTGTTACACAGACTTGGCGACTAGAACTTGTAACTCTAATAGTGATTGCTCCTATTACTACTCCTATGGGGATCAGTCCTACACAAACGGAGTCCTTGCCTCTGAGACTGTCACCTTCGGGTCTCACACACCCTCGTTTCCAGAAGTGTTAGTTGGGTGTGGGCATGAGAATGGAGGTACTTTCACCGAGCTAGGGTCAGGCATAATTGGGCTTGGGGGAGGTGCATTTTCTCTGGTGACCCAAATTAAACCTACTATTGGTGGGAAGTTCTCGTATTGCTTAGTACCCTTCTTTAAAACTGACTTAGTTGGTAAGATCAGCTTCGGACCAGAGGCCTTAGTCTCTGGTTCTGGGGTGGTTTCGACACCTCTAGTAACAAAAGATCCATCCACATTCTATTATCTGACTTTAGAAAGCATAGCAGTTGGGAATGTTAATTTTGAGTATAAAACATCAGTCTCTTCCATGACAAAAAATAGTAAGTATACTGAGGAAGGCAATATTATAATTGATTCAGGAACAACATTAACACTGTTGCCTGAGGAATTCTATCAGGATATAGAAGCCGAGTTGAGGAAAAACATTAAAGCCGAATCTGTTGAAGATCCAGAAGGAGTAATGTCACTGTGTTACAAGAGTGATGAGGATATGGATGTTCCGGTAGTTAAGGTGCGTTTCGCTGGGGCTGAACTCGAACTCAAACCATCAAATACCTTTGTTAGAGTGCAGGAAGATATGGTGTGTTTTGCAATGATACCAGCAAGTGAAGTGGCCATATTTGGGAATTTGGCTCAGATGGATTTTCTTGTAGGGTTTGATCTTGAAGAGGGCAAAGTCTCTTTTAAAGCAGCTAATTGCTCTCATCACATTCAATTATAAGTCTTTAGTCTTGGTTGGTTGTGGTTTTTGTGGACTTTACATGATGTTTTCCACTTATTTCCTAGATGTTTAATCAATAAGTTTAGGTATGTTAATTATCTAAATCTTGAATTTTCTTAAGCAAAGTCAGATATGTTAGCGATCATAAATACTGAGATGCCATATGAAATGTTAATCACAACTTTGTAGTACAGTTCATTTCAGATTTTACTTTTTGGCTCCAACAGTTTGTTTCAATTCAATTAGTTCATGTTCCCCTTTTCTTTTTGTTGGATAAAAAAGACTTGCTTGTCATAATAACAATGAAAACAAGCACACTTTTCTAATGACTTGAGTTGAGTCGAGTAAGCTTGAGTCGAGGTTTAATGAGTATTTGTCAATTAGTGTTCAAAACTTCGAATTGATAAAATTGACACATCTAGAAGATAGTGTTTTAAGTCTAACTCTAATTTATCTTATTAAATTAATAAATTTTGCGGAGTAATATTTTTGCGAGCTTGTATAATTATAATAACTTCATACAATGTTGAGGTAAAAAATAACTCAGTCTTTGAATGTCACTTTGTGGCATTCATTGCCGGTCTTAAGCTTAGATGAAGGAGGAAAGCTGTGGTAGCCTGGTAGGTCTGTGATGGCCAACGTAAAATTTAGTCACATTATGTGACATGAATGTTGAGGTTACTTTAAAAACACGAAAAAATCTTGTACTAGGGAGTGGAGTACTAAATATTGAATATATTGAATTTATATAGTTCATGTTTGAGAGCAAGTCAAATAATTTGCTCGTATGTAAAATGTACAAAGTAACAACATACAATGATGGTGTACTACGTACTCAAAGAGACATTTTTTAAAAACAATACTCCGTACTTTGTATGTGTCAATTTTTTTTTAGGTAATGAGAAGGAACTTGACCGTACCTCAATCCTCACGGTTTTTTTATCTGGTATTTGCGGGTCATATGTGTCAATTAATTTGGAACTACTTATCTCCGTTAAAATAAAACCTTGACCTTTTGTTTTAAATTAAAATAATACTCAACTGGGAAATTTCCCAAAGTGAGTCTCTAAGGGAAACAATTTTCCAAAGTAGACGCGTGGCAAAACTATTTACCAAACTAAGCTTCCAGGTAAAACGCCAACCAGGCTGGCGTTTTTACCCTGGGCATTTTTTTTTTTAATTTTGGCGTTTTTACCCTGATTGAATTTTTTTAAAAAAAATTTACCCAAGGTAAAAATGCCACCATGGTTGGCATTTTACCATTTTACTTAAAACGCCATCACAGTTGGCGTTTTTGTATCGGGTAAAAATTCCCACAAAACCTCCATTTTTCAGTTGTTCTTCAAAACTCCAAAACCCCCAATTTCGCAAACCCTAACCCGCGACATTTTGGTTGGCCAATCCTCCATATTTGCAACAAATTCAATACTTCCCCTTGCTTAGATCTTCATCATACTCACTAAAAATTATTCCTCCTTCGTTGTTTAACACTTTTATGCAGAAATTTGATCGTAATTGAGGTATGTATTTAGTTTAACTATTTTACTTGTTTATGATATTTTTTGGGAATTTACTTTTGAAATTCACAATGTATGTACAATATTGTTGTAATTTACATTTTTTTGTGGTTTCTATTCATGTATTAGTCTATTTGATTTGATGTTGCTTTACAATTTGTTGTGGTTTTTATTCATGTACTATGACTGTAATGACAAAAACCGAGTACACTAATTTTATGACAGTTTTTATCTTTGCATTGTTGCACACAAAATTTGTTGAATTAGGTACATGTAAGTGTATACTACATTGTTGATGAAGTAGGTAAATAAGTATAGTGTTGAACACTACGTTGTACATACGCTTAGCTTGAGGATTTAATAGAATCATTGTGGTTTTAGTTGTGTTCTTTATATGTGTCATATAATATGTGTTCCGATTGTTATGTAGAACATGGCTTCACAATTGATTGTTTTGTTATGCCGTTTGGGAGGTGAAATTTTGTGTGTCGGATCGAACGTCGAGTATAGAGGAGGAAAAATGGAACCGTTGGCATTTAAACCTTGTATGACTTACAATGATTTGTTGGAGAAGGTTTATACTATAATTGGTTCAAACCCAACGAGTGTTGAACTGAACATTAAAATGAGGTTTGAAAGTGTCAGTGGGATTCAAATCTTACCTGTTTTGAATGACGACCATTTGGAGGTTTTGAGGGGTGTCGTTGCAATGAGGTCTCTTCCCACTGATTTGTATGTGGAAAAAGTGCCTATATGTACTCAACAGACTATTCGCTTGACAGAGTAACAACCTACATTCTTCCCTCGTACAATGCAAGCTCGTTACAAATGCCCCCATACAACATTCCATCATCTGAATATGGAATGGGATCTTTCAGTAGAATGTTACTTTATTTTAACACAAAAGGGAGATGCATATATTACATAAATATGGCAAACACCATATTAGCAAAATACATGATGAAGAGTTTTAAGGTTATCCACCATAGAAATCTAAAGTAGTAAACTAGAATAACCACAAAAGATAAAACGAAAGCCAAACGCCAGCATACAAAAGATTGCAAACACAAAACAGGATGTTCAGCATAAGCGTAGAGTTCAAAAGCTAGAGCATGATCAGTACTATATGACCACCATCTCAGGGATATCAGAAGCATATGCATCAAAGAGCTCAGATGGAGGGTAAAGGTACAGAGCTGGTTGTCCTGGGTTTGCTTTAGTTCTGCCCATGGTAGCCAACTTGTCTGCAACACGGTTAAGAGATCTGTTTACATGAAAAATAGAGACCTTCCAGTTTCTACTCAGAATAGAAGCCACATCCCTTATAATGTTCCCGAGATCATGGTCCTTGAAGGAATCTGGGTCTTCTAACATTCTTTTTAAGTCAGCCGCATCAGTCTCCAGTTCTAACAACTTATTGTCTCTTGCCCAAGCAGCCAGTAAACCATCTTTAATTGCTAAGAGTTCATCAGCAGCAGGAGAGATAGCATTGTATTTGGCAGCATAACCCAATTTCCATAGGCCTTTTTCACATCTTAGAACACCTCCCCCACCAGCATTATCAATGCCCATCCAGGAACCATCAGTGTTTAACTTGAAATACCCTTTATGAGGAGGAGCCCACATTCTGGAAACACAATCTGAAGAGGATGGCACTGTTTTAGATTAAGAGTGTAATGGTAATCCACCCAAAATTTATTAAAGGTTGAGTTTATAAAAATCATTTTTTTTTTCAAAGATAGCCATGTTTTTGGTTTTCCATAAATGCCAAATGCTAACAAATACAATTCTCCAAGAGTAACTATTGTTAAGATTAAAAGAAAGCCAATCCGTAAGAGTAGAGTTAAAAAAAGAGTTGTAATCGAAATCAGCAGGAGCAATATTTTGGAAAACCAAAGACCAAATGGCAGAAGTATTAGGGCAATCCCTAAATAAATGAATAGTATTTTCATGGAGAGCTTCACATCTCATGCAAACAGGATCAAAAAAAGGAATTTTCTTTTGAAGAGTAGTTCCAACCGGGAGAATATCCTTAACCAGGTTCCAAACTAGCACTTTATACTTAAAAGGGGCTTTAATCTTCTACAAATTCTTCCAAGAAAAGTTAGATAAGAAAGTGGAATTGAGATTGTTGGAAAGATTACTGGAGTTGTAAACAGACTTAATAGTAAAACCCCCTGATTTGTCTAGAGTCCATTTAAGTCTATCAGAAACATCAACAAGAGAAGGAATTGGGTAGGCTAGAATTAAAGAACAAAGGGAAGGAGGAATAATATGAGAAACATCATCTAAATACCAATTTTTATTTCTTATGATATTAGAAACACGCCAATGTCCTTTCGAGTTGGGAATCTTAATATTTGGAATGAGGTATATAGGACACTCTCCTATCCAATGATGATACCATAGAGAAGTGTCCTCCCCATTTCCAATATTAATAATAATTCCTTTTTTTAGAAAAGGTCTTCCAGATAGAATATCTTTCCAAATAATGAAGTCAGAAGCTTTAACATTATAATCCAAAAAGTTTGAATATTTTAGATATTTTTTAGTAAGAATTTGAACCCATAGCTTATGAGGTTGAGTTAAGATTTTCCAACCTAGTTTAGCCATAAAGGATAGATTCCATCTCTTAAGGTCCCTTATGCCTAGACCACCTTTGGCCATGGGATCACAAATCACGTTCCAATTAGTTCTTGGGATATATCTAGAATGATTGACACGATTCCAAAAAAAAACGTTTGCAATTTTTCTGGAGATCTTTGAGAACACTACAAGGAAGAATATTAGTTTGCATAGCATAAACCGGATATGAGTTTAAAACAGATTTTATAAGAGTGCATCTTCTGGCCACGTTTAAAAGTTTAGCTTGCCAATTCCTAATTTTAGAGCAAGTCTTATCCAATAAAGGGAAATAATCTCTAAGACTCAAACGTTTGTGAGAGATAATAATACCAAGATATTTACCAAAAGAAGTAGTATTGGTGATATTACAAATTTCAGTAGAATGTTACACGACGATCAATTTGACATTCCATTCAGTTCACATTTTACTGCACCTGTACATGAAGGGGCGTCGGTGTCAATGTTGTAGCAACTTGGTCCATCTACCTCAAACGATGACATTTCATCACCGATGTAGTTGCAAAGTTACTTTCCTACGCAAGAACATGTTCAAGCAACACCGTTTCAAACTTTGGTGAATGTTGAACCTGTTGTAAACAACGAATTGTCTGTTCTTGATATGTATGATGATACAAACGAGGAGGGTGAAGGCGAAGATGAGGAAGATGTTATAAACAACGAGTTGTCTGTTCATGATGTTGTTGCTAGAACTCCATTGCCTTGGTTCACTCAAATAAACGAGAATTATGAGGTGGACATGTATTGGGCTGATTCGGGGAGCCAGACTTCGTTTGTTGTCGGGGAAGAATTTGAGAAGGGCATGATTTTCGACAGTAAGAAAGTGCTGCAGGAAGATATGCGTTCTATCGGCGAATCTTGTGTCAAGTCCCTAGAGTACATTATGGATGTACCGTTTCACATGTGGTCCGTGTTTCATGACGCTGGTCGTAGGTATGGTATATGTACTACAAATTTCTCAGAAACATTTAACAATGTGTTGAAGGGAGCTCGTTTTCTGCCGATCATGTCCCTTGTCGAGTTAACTTCCAAAGAGTTAACAAGTACTTTAACACAAAAAGGGATAGTTCACTTGCTAGGCGTGCCGACGACTATGCATACTCACCTAAGGTCACTGCCATTTTGGAGAAGAATAACGGAAAGGCAAAATACCATACAGTGGATGTTTATAGCCATCAGCTTGGTATATACCAAGTACATACACACCGGGGAGAGAGGATAGGCAGAAAAGGGGGTCATAAGCATACCGTTAACTTCAATTTGAGAACATGTATATGCAACAAGCCGATGATATTTCACCTACCATGTTCTCATGTTCTGACCGTGTGTCTTAAGTATTCAGTTTCTGGGAACCATGGGTGGACAATTTCCTACGATCAGAGGCATATGCGAATACTTATGCCCCACAGTTCTGGCCTATTTCTTGTGAGACGACATGGAGGACATACAGAGGGCGATTTGATAGACAACAATTACATAGAATAGATGAATCAGGATCTTAGAATTTCTTTTGTTAGTTTGTTGCAATCAAATTCTCTAGTACATTGTATCCAAACAAATATTATCAATTTTACTCACCTTTTTAGTTGATTTTCTGTACATTATCAACTTCACCATACGCATTCATTCTTTTCATTGTACTAGTTGTTGATGTTGTTGTTGTTGCTGGTGTTGTTAATGTTGCTGATGTTGTTGTGGTTGCTATTGTTATGGTTGTAGTTGTTGTTGTGGTTGTTGCTCTTGCTATTGTTGTGGTTTTCGCAGTTGCTGCTGTTGTTTTGGTTGTTGATGTTGTTGTTGTAGCTGTTGTTGTTGTTGTAGCTGTTGTTGTTGTTGTAGCTGCTGCTGTTGTTGTTGCTGTTGTTGTGGCTGTGGTTGTTGTTGTTGTAAATGTAGTAGTAGTAGTTGTTTTTGTTGTTGTTGCTGCTGCTGCTGTGGCTGGGGTTGTTGCTGTTGTTGTTATTGTACCTGCTGTTGTTGTTGATGTGGTTGTTGTTGCTGCTGTTGTTGTTGCTGCTTTGGCTGTTGTTGTAGCTGATGTTGCTGTGTTGCAGATAAAAACGCCAACCAGGCTGCCGCTTTATGGGCAAGAGTGAAACGTCAACCATGGTGGTGTTTTTACTTTGGGTAAATTTTTTAAAAAAAATCAATCAGGAAAACACGAACCATGGTGGCGTTTTTACCTTGGGTAAATTTTCTTAAAAAAATTCAGCCACCTTGGATGGCGTTTTTGCCTTGATTGAAATTTTAAAAAAAAAATGTCTAGGGTACCCTGAAAGTTTAATTTGGTAAATAATTTTGTCACGCGTCTACTTTGAGAAATTGTTTCCCTTATAGACTCGCTTTGGCAAATTTTCGGGAAAATGTAGCCAATTAGAAACAGTGATTTCAGTTGAATTGTGCTCATCACCAATTCACCATCCTTTCTCCAAAATTGCAGACATCTTTCATCCTCATTCCTCTTTCTTCTGCGTGTTGTACTGCTCAAAGCTTGAAGATTAGGAAGAACATCGATTCCAGAATCAATGGAAACCGAAACCCTAGACATTTCTGCTACTAATTTTACTTCATCATGGCCGATCATTCATGGTTCTCTCGAAGATTCTATCACTTCCGAGTCCTCCATTTCTGCCGTTGATTCTATTTCCGATTCTGATCCTGCGCTTAAACCCCCTCTTATTCTGCGCCGTCCTTCACCGGATTCTGGCCCCTGCGAGATCACAAGTAAGGTTTTTTCCGAATTGATTATGTTATTCACATGATTTTCTGATTTAATTGCTCATTATATATATATTTTTCAATTCCGAATTGGTTTGTATTTCTGTAATTACTGTGTAATTTTGCTTCTTTTGATAGTAGTTTTCAAGTTGTTGTATTGATTTCAACATTCAGCGTTGAGATGGCGATCAATTTTAGAATCATAAAATTTTAAATTATATTTGCGACTTTTTTGTATTTTCCGTTGATATTTAATTTAGAAGATTGGAATTCAATTTGCTTTATTGAGGTTAGTAAACATCAAAGAACCATTAGCAGCACCTTTAGTGTTCGAATTTTTTGTTTTTATGGATAGGATGAAATATGAACTTATGTAAACTCTTCGAATGTAGGATTTAATTTGCTAGCTTATACTCTAGATGGGTATGAATAGGTTAATTGTTAGTCAACTTCAAAGAACCATAAACATCGCCTTTAGTGCTGGAATATTTTGTTTTCTGGGGTAGGATGAAGTATGAAGTTATGTAATTTCTACGAATGTTGGAGTTAATTTGCTGGCGAGTACTCGTATATGGTTAGGAATAGTAAAAGGTCTAATTTATCTAGAAACATAAAGAAAAAGATGACAAAGGATGACCAAGACTCTTGCTGAGTTTCCCACTCCCCAACCTACCGTGTATGAGGGATTTGGTTTCCTGTAAGGCGTGTAAGCTGTTGTTTTTTCCAATGTCTTCATTCTTTTATGGCTGCGGGCTGCCCTCCTGTCCCTTGTAAAAGTACACTACAGGTCTTTAATTCAATTCCTTGGTTCAACCTGGTGAATGGTTTACATATAGTGGGCCTGTGAGACAGAATTGTGTTGATCTTACAGAATTATGGGCTGAGTTGTTACCTTCAACAAGAATATGATGCAGTCAATACCTGAATGGTGCTGAGAGAAAGGAGGGTGATACAATGAGAGAAGCAATCACATTTGAGCATGAAACATTACTAGTCTACTATGACTTTGCTGGTGTTTCTAAAGAGTGCAAAACTATTTATTTTTTGAAGATTTTTCATATTTTTAAGTTATAACAGTGGAAAGATCTTACCAATTGATCTTTTTCTTTTGTTTTATTTGTCATCTCCTTTCGCCTTTTCTCTTTTGCATTAAACTTATGCTTTTATTTCCCTTTTCAGTTTCTTTTACCCAGCAACATGAAATCAAGCAGGTATATGTTCGTAGCACTGCTAGAGTCTATGAAATATACTATTCTGCTGATGAGAAGGGTGAAAATGAGTACCTATGTACAGTTCGTTGTGGGGTTGCTGCTAAAAGTGAAGAGCTACTGCAAGAGACTAATGGTGTAGGATCATTGTCTTCAAGTTCTTGTAGCCCCAATAGTAGTTCTTGTGATGGGCATTTAAGATCTGAGAGTGGAGGCAGTACCAACGAAGATGACTGGGTGGATGTGAAAGTGCGAAATTCTTCTATGCTTGATGAAGGCACATCTCTGTCAAAAAAAGATGACAGCTGCATGGAACGGGGCAATCAGGTAATACTGTAGATCTGTTTAACTGATTGATCAAGAAGTTAAGTTAAGTTTAGTTACTGTTTGGGTTTGGGTTCTCTGCATATTGGAACACTTTGTATTATTTGGAAAATAATTCTTTGTGATCCAATTTCTTTATTATTATTAGTTTCAGCCTTTTAGGTCAGCTAAAGTCGACTAACACAGGTCGTAATACCTTGTCCTTTCCTATTATAAAAAGGTTTGCGAAAGTTGAACTCATAATTACAATTGAAAATTTATTCACATTTAGTGTGTTATTCCTAATTCTCACACTTATTTTACTACCATGAGCCAATATTAATAACACTTTTTCATTGTATGAACTTTAAGTTCACCAGATCACTGAAAATACCTTTACCTTTTTGGCTGACCTTTAGCATTATGCGTCTGACACATTATTTTCAGTTTATTTGGGTTTCATGAATTGTAGATTCCGAGTGATAAAACTATAGCTTCTTCTTTGTGGTTGGCTTTTGGGTTGTGCCAATATTGACCTGTGGTTGTGCTTTTGAGCTACAAAAACTAATATATCCCATTGATGAAATTTTCAGGACTACTTTGAGGCTACTGCAGAGATATCTGATGCTGATCCGGTCCTGTCTATCACTCTACGTTTGCTCTCTATTCAGAGTGGAAACAACATTTACATTGATGAAGTTTATGTGTTTGCTGATCCTGTGGTATCAACTGATACTAATTCTTCAACTAACGCACCAGAATCCTCTTCTGAAAGTGCTAAGATGTCCTTGCTCATCCCGACACTTTTAAGCCTATCTAACTTACGAAGGAATCAAATGCAAGAACAAAGGGATTCTGCTGTTCGAGAAAGGAAGCACCAAGATACTGGAGTCAAGTCAATTAGTATGGCCGTGGCATCGAACACCTCTCAGTCAGAAAGTATCCAGGGCACCATATTAAATGGTGCACCTGTACACATGTCCCAACCAGAGTTTCCTATGCAAAAGCTAGATTCTCATAACAATCCTAATTCAACCAGTGAATGGAATACATTATCTTGTAGTCGGTTAGAGAAAACTTTGGATGAACTTGTTTCTCGAGTTGCAAAGATTGAAGACCTCTTTTTGAGATTTGAGGAAAAATTGGTGAAGCCAATTAGCAACATAGAAGGAAGGCTTGAAAGGGTAGAACAAAAATTGGAGTCATTTGCCAAGACTACAGGTTCTATGACAGCTTGCAACAGAATTTCTGCTCCAGATTTCTCTGGCATTGATTCTGAATCCAATTCCATTATCAATGAAGGAAATGATTCTCCTGGTACTACAACTTTCGAATCAATCAAGAAGGGTGAAAGTCGTCCTCCAGACATGTCAATCCCAACCACGGATGTATATTCATCTCCCTCTGTTCTACCCAATAATGTATCTTCATCCACTTCCAATGCTGCTCAGTTAATTCCTAGTCTTGTTGTCACTGCTCCAGATTTTTCGTATGTTGATGATGAGGGAGAAAATGACCCCTGTGAAGCAGCAAAGGACTCCCCAAAAGGCAGTCTGAAGAAACCATTGTCGATTAATGATGCTCTAGCTTCTGCACTTGCTGGTTTCCTATCTTCGGCTTCCAAAGACACTGATATGGTTGAAGAAACTGCTGATATCTTCATCAAAGAAGAGAATGGGAGTCCTTGTCCATCCAAGTCCTCGGAGTCAATCCCATCCGATAGGCATGCTGTCTCTTCAGTCAATATTGATGGAAATGGAATTTCTGGCGAGGAGGATATTGTACTAATCGAGCAGGAATTTTTTGGTGCTGCCAATTGTTCTGAGGAAACTAGAGAATCTGTTGAATCACATAACTGTTTACTTGAGGAAAGGAAGAGTGAGAAGTCCCTTAATAATTCTGTTTTAAATGAAGTTACTCTTGACCAAGCTAAAATAGATGTTGATGATTCAAGAAAAGACATATTTGGAGAATCTGATGATGACACAAGTCATACATGTATCTTTGGTTCCATTGAATCTCCTGTTATTGATACTTCTACTGCTGCATTAGGAGTACCTGGAGCCAATATTCCCTCATCTTCTGATGATGAGACAGAAAAAGAGTGTCCTGGTATACTGCTGAACATTTTGAAGTTACAAAGCCCCGCCACTGTTGATTTTGGAACTCCTATACTGGACGTGAAATTCTTATCGCAAGAGAATTTGTCTGCTATGTCTTCTCTTGATGCTCTATTGGTGGATGTTCCTGATGTATGCAGTGAAGTTCCTTGTGTTGATGAAGATAATGCTACTTCTTCCAATGGTCAGCATGATTTAGTTATGATTGAGGAAGCAGACTCCGCCATTTTGGAAACTCCTAATAACCAGTTCTGTTTAGATGATTATGACTTTGATTGCATACCTTCAAATAGAGAGGAAGAACTACAGGAATGTGGCATTCAAGATATGGCTGCATGTCTTATATGATAGTACTGTATTATGGACTATATGTTTTGATCTGTAAATTGATGTTCAGCTTAAAATTTTATTTAATCAAATGCCTTTCATCTTCTGCTCTGGCTAGCATTTTATCTGCCTCGGTGTTGTTGGTTCATGTGTTGTGTATTGAGCATCTCACCTTTTCTCATAAGCTACAGTGAGAATAATTTATTTGGAACATTAAATTCTTTTTCTAATGTTCAGCTGTGAAGGTAAACAGATCATGTAAGGTGCATTTTTTTCTGATTGATATTGCTCCAATCTTTAAGATCTTGCATTGTCCTTATCATCCGTGAGGATGCCTTGCCAGTACAACCTTGCAACTGCCCACTGGTAGCCTATTGGATTATCTCTATCAGAATCCTATCATATCAAAGTTTGGCCGTCTGCAAAATTCTCTTGTATGATTTTTGTGCTTTCTGCAGTGATCATGGCCTTTGGGCAATGGTTTGATAGTTTGATACTATTCTGGAAAATTCTGTTCTTAAGGTTGATAGTGTCTGAGATGAGTAAAGAGGTGGATTAACACTATTATGTTTTTTATTATTATAATTCTGATGTTGTGTGAGGAGAAAGCGAGACGATTTGGAGTATTTGCAGGTAACCTCGTCTTATGCATTGAACTGCTAATATTCAAGTTGATGGTTCTGTTGCTATAAGTGCTTAGGCATCTTAATGGTTTTATGGAATTTGTGCAACAGATTACGTTCATAAGTTGGACGCGGCATACTTCTTTCAGCATAAAAGTTGGTATATTGGATAATTAAATTCAATCTTGAGTCATGATCTTCATGCAACCTTCTGATTTTCATGGCACTTATACAGTGGTTGGCCAGTGAGGGTGTCAAGCTTCCTGTTGCATTCACTGTAAGTCTGCTTTTCTTCTGGTACTTTTATAGTTGATTATTTGAGTGAGGTAATTATGTGATCAAAAATTTGTGTACTTTGTCTTTGTCCCTCTATCACAATTAGATCATTACCATTTTTGCTTCTCAATCAATGGTGATTGAGTGGGTTGTGTCAAGTAACAATATTTTTTGAAAGAGCTGAACTTGTTATATCTCTTGCTTGCTTGGAAGCACACTTTGCAAAAGCTCCAATAAGAGTTTCAGTGTATTAGCCAATAATTAAGCCTGTATGGGCAACACATGGAATCTGTGACTTTTTTTAAGCATGCAAGATGTCTAATGACTAATTCTAAAATGACAATTGAACCATTTGAGGGCATTCTATGTGCTGATTATTGAACAGCCTTGGATACATGGAGACCTTTGCAGTCATCTACAGAGATGCTGATGGATACAAAAACCAAAGTTAGAAAATTAAAGAGTGATTTATGTTTTTATGTTTTTGGAATTGTCCAGTTCAGAGGGTTAATGTGCCCACAAATCATATCATTTGCCAGCAAACAAGTGTGGCTAATTGATTGTAGCATTGACAATTTTGTGCATGACAACTATGCATGGAGTACTTGACCTAGAAATTGACTAGATTAAAACTACTAGATATGTACTAAGAAAGATTAAAACCACTAGAGTATGGGATAAGAATCATAAGATCACTTTCTCCTTACCCTATTACACTTGAATTAAAAGAGCAAAATAACAGTCCACCTGATTCCTTCTAGCCCTTCTGTGTTGTTGCCATCTCTTTGCACTGACATGTGTACACACAATAAAGATGTATATATAGAGGCGAAGGAAGGCCTCTCTTTACATTTGCTGTCATTGAGAGGCCCTAAAAGATCTAGTAATTAAGCAAGCAAATGGATGATACCAGCTGTCACATATTCTTCTACTTTATGACAGACCTTTTAGATCTTTGTTGCCTGCTTCTATAGTTCACATATGAGAGTATATTAAAAATAAATAGGAGCGGATTCTTTCATTGTACAATTATTGCTCAATTTCCCAGCTTTGTCTGGATGCAACTGTATCATGTGTTGGTGCATATTCCTGCAAATTGCACCGATATAAAGACAAATCATTTCTTGTGCTTTTGAAGTACTCTGCTTGTTCAAATAATTTAGTCCTTTTGGAATCTATTTTTGCACTAAAGAAAACATACCTCCATCTTCTTCAGCAGCTCTTTTGCTGATTCTGCTAAAATCACTATGTCTCTTTCTGTCTTTGCTATGAAACCTTCCTCAACCCCTTTATCAAATAACGTAAGCAAGCTGTTGAAGTACCCACCTACATTTAACAGCCCAACCTTTTCATTTTGCAGTCGGAAAATTATGTGGTCAGAACAATAGTAAAGGGGGATATTAAGCAAAAAGGTGGGAGGTTATCTAAGAGCAATTAGAGGATTTCTTACAGGTTTTGCATGAATTCCTAACTTGGACCAAGTTATCATCTCTAAAAGTTCTTCCATGGTTCCATAACCACCTGATAATTTAAATCTTGAATTTTCTAATTCCTTCCTATAAATCAAATATAAAAAAGTAAACTGTGAAAGTATATGTATCTGTATGTTGGATTAATTCCCTACCAGGAAGAGCAATGAAAGCATCAGCATGCTTTTCCATTTCTGACTTCCTCTGATGCATGTCTGCAACTATCTTTACTTCTCCGTGTGTTTCTCCTACTATCTAGGTTGAAATGTTATCATTAAAGAACCTCTCAAGAGTACAATAGCTATTATGAACATGAGAGATGTGCTACCTCAACTGGTAGGAGCGGTCTAGGGATTACACTGTAAAAGAGAATGAATACACTCACTAATCAAAACATTAAAAATATCAAAGGATGAATATATAAAGGTAAACTGTCAGTGTTCTCACTCTCTGTCCTTTATTCAACCCCATGTTTTTACTATAAATTAGATATTAATGAGAAGGCATACCCGAGAACACGGCATCCACCTTGAAATACCGTCTTAGATATGGTTCCCATAAGGCCTAAACTTCCTCCTCCATAAACCAAATCAATTTTTCTTTCCACCTGCAGAAACACATTATTGTGCATTCAATGTTGTCAAGAATAAAATGAAATGAAACCTAGTTAAAACGCTTACACACGAGGAATTACCAGTAGTTTACCAAGTTCAAGAGCTGCTTCATCAAATAAGGGTCTGTATCCTACTCTGCTACCACAGAAAACACAAATTTTCCTAATTCTCCTGTCATTGATGCTCCTTGATGGAGTCACTTCCATTTTCCAAATTGTAAGGGTTGGAAAAGTAGGATTCAATGTTCTGAAACAGTGAGATTTTTATATTACTATGAAAGACTAGAAATGAGAGAAAATAATCGTTACTTTTAACCTCTGCCCCCCTCCCCCTTATTTATAAAGCACCTCTTGTCTGTTTGGGCAGTTTGAGGAGAAATGACTTAACAGTAGGCCACTGAGTTTTCTTATAAGTTCCTCTTTCCTTTCAATTATCCCATCTTTTGTGATCTCTCGTCTTGCAAAATTTCAAAAAAAATTAAAAATCAAGTTGTTATCTGCTAGTAGTTTGCTACTTATAGAGTTGGTAACCATGCCAAAGAGTGAGCCATCACCAAACTTTGTGTTGGATGTTGACTTTTAGGAGAATCCTTTTGTAAGGTCTTCAGGTGGACCATGCATAGGAATCAAAGAAACTAGAAAGGTACGCACAAGCTGGCCTTCCCTCTCTCCCAGGGAAACTACATACACTACAGTATTCATCATTCTGTTGAATTCTGGGGAGGATCCACTTCAATTGGTTTCCCTTCTGTCTGATCAACTATGTCTATACCTTCATTATTATAACCACCTACTGATTTGAGCTTTGAACCATGTAGTGTAAGATTATTTTTTTTATTTTTTTTTTCGTACTAGATTAAGACCAATGTTAAATATTTATTTTTACATTACCTGTCGTCCCCATTTAATGTAATTTTAGAGAAGAGTATCTATAATGCAACTGTAAAATTTACTTGCCTTCAGATCATAAAATTAACTAGTACTCTATCAATTAGAAATTATATCTTTTTTAAACATGTTTACATGTCAACTTGTTTCTCTCTAAGCTAAGCAAACTGCATTGTGTTGGCCCTCACAATGCTGAAAATACCATGTATGATTATTTTACAATCATGTCATTTTCAGAATCTGACATTGACAAGCATCACCTTTTCTGCTAAAAGAGGTGGAGGGGTGGATGACAAACATTGCAACTTTTATCATGCATCCATGTTTGTTAATTGAATCTTCAAAAGGTAGAGTACGATGAGGTTTGATGAGGAATTTATATATGATGAGAGATGAAAGTCGTGAAACAGTTGTTCATAAAGTTCTAGATGTTTGCTTTACATGATGAGATTCTATGTAGGACTAAATTTAGGACAGCCAATGGAATTGGGTGGTTGGGCATAGTATATGGTTGTTAGTCTTTGCAAACTTCAAATTTTTTATATGATTCTCATTGTACTTGGAACTTCAAAAGAAGACTGTTGAACGTGTGGTTTACGAATAGTATCCTTGACTAGTGGTTGTTAAATAGGTGATGAAAGTAATATCTTAGAACTTATGGAGCCAAAGTATCTCATGGATTTTTTTTTTGGTCCCAGCTAGAAGCCTTAGTAAGTAGAAAGGAACCTCCTTGCCTCCTTTTTTATCTTCATTAGGAGATGTGTCAATTGTTAACGTAAACATGTTTGCCTGTTGGTGATTTTTTTTATTGTGTTTGCTACTTAGCTTTGTTTTGATGTCATCAAGTGTCTTAGAATATAGTTACGTAAAAGACTAAAAGCTTGCTTATGTTACAGAGTGCATCTACAGGGCTCAAGACAAATGAGCATTTGACATAATGATTGATACTTGTGATTTGTGATGGGTGGTTGCATTTTAGGTGACTTTGGATCGAGTATGCTTGGTTAATTTTCGTGCTGTTGGAAATTACCAGGGTGTTTTTAGCTTTTGTTATATGATGGGTTTTACCCTTTTTTCAAACATGAGGAATGAGTACAGTTAGTCACACTTTGGAAAGGGCCCCTAAGGGGTTTAAATTTTGAAGCCTTCAATTGTAGACAGCGAGGCTAAAAGCACTCAAAAGTCTTGTCTCCTGTTTCACTTGTGTTAGCTGTGTTTTCTGAAGTTTTTAGGCCGCTGATCTTTCCATTCAGTTAGGAAAGAGATTATGGTCCATGGTATTCCAGTTAGAATTCTGGTCCGTTTTGAGTTTGTAAAATTCATCAAAAACTAATGCAAGGAAATTTCACCAGATAGTAAAATGGATCAAATTGAATCGGTTATGAATTTCTGGTCCGTTTTGAGTTTTAAAACTTGTGTTCGGCTCGGTTGTGTTGTAGTATCAACCAGCAACGAACCCTCCTCCAGTCCTCCTACATGTTGTTACAGTAATTATTACGGAGTATATTGAGTTTCAGTGATACTGATTTTAGATTAGTTCCAATTCTTCCAAATGATATACGCATGTTGCAGTATTTGTTCCAATTAGCCCTCTTTTCTCGATTATTATTGGTCTGACTATTTTAAAATGATAAGGCCTTTACCTGGCCCAACTCAGGTTTGGGCCTTGGCCCCAAAATCCAGTAACCATATCTCTTCAGGGAATTGAACATAGAGTCCATACCTGAATTTGCATTTTAAATTTGGTACTTTTTTATATGCAATTTTTTTTTTATTTTTTTTTATGCTTTCACTTTTATTTTACTTTGCTAATATCAAAGATCAGTATAACTATGAAAAATTGGGGGATGGTAATCAATTATGAACAAATATCTTAAAATATATGTACAGAATTTTATATAATGAACCCAAGTAGTGTAAGAAAAACTAAGTACGTTGAAGACATTTGGGTGAAACCTTCCCTCTGTGAAACAGTTCAACATTTTCACATTCAGCCATAGCTGCTTTTCTTCCTTTTTTCATAACAAGGTTTATATTCTGCAACACTATTCCTTGGCATTTATGGCTTTTGCTGCAATTAAATTTTATCGCGTCTTCTGTAAAACTTGTTCCCTTTATGTTTTTGTACACCACATTTTGTACATGTACTGCTGATTTCTGCAATTTTAGCAACAAAAATATGCAAATAAGTTGCCATAAAGGCAGAGGAGGGTCTATATCACTTATAAGCAGGTGTATATATAGGCTAGGATGGTCATAAATCATTTATAATAAGGACGAGTTATCTCCGAATAAAAAATGTCTAAATCTAAGCGAGTTCTATCCCAAAATTAATGAATAATAATAGTACAAAACTAGTTTTATAAGACAGTTAAATTTTTTTATCATTGTATCACGGAGTATCATAATTTACATGTATATGAAAGGAGTGTTTGTATTACCATTTCCTGACAAGGTGTTTTTTGATCGCAATAGTTCTGGTCAATGATTATTGGATTGCTAACATTTTTCATTGCAATATTTTGAAATACAACATTTTTTGCATATCCTTGTCCTCCCTGCAACCAAAAATTTAAAGCACGAAATTAGTCATTTTAGAGATTTTACCTAACATATAAAAGCTAGATAATAATTTTTAAGTCAAGTAAACATGAAAATTGCATTAGAAAATTGTGTATAACCTAACAAATGGAAAAAGATCCAACTTTTACCAGCCAATCTTTAAAAGAAAAAAACAAGAAATAGTTTGTAAAATAATTTCTTACCTGCCAAGTCTTAATTCTGACTCCATTAAGGGTTCCAAAAAGTCTTGCCTTGTTTACCAATACATTTGAAACATGTGCCTTGGAGTTTCCTTTGCCTAGGCTTCCAATACTGAAATCAATTTATTTTTTTTTCCAAGAAAAAAATTATATTAATTTAAATTGAAAAGTGTTGGAAACTAATAATATGTGATTAGCTAGAAAACAAGTAGTGCAGAAAATAAACTGGTCAATGATATCTCAAATCAAATAAAGTGAATTTTAGATATGATATTGGCTAAAATTAGATAAAGAATTGACTCAATTGAGCATGAGGTTGGTAAGAGTTGGGTTTAATCCATACCTGATTCCATGGCCTGGTCCACAAGTTATATCGGACACTTGAACATTCTTTGATCCACTTACTACTGATACACAATCATCGCCTTGAATGGAACCAAAAGTAGCAAGATAAAGTTAGAAATTTCTAAGAAGAAATAATTTTTTAATCAAAATTCTTATGAGATGGACTTACAATAATTTATTGTAACACTTGAGGGACTAACGATTCTATGAGATAATTCCTTACTATTATTAGGGATAATTACTTCTAGTGATTTATAATTGAGTTTTGTAAACCTGCTGATTGTCAAAACGCATGTTAGTATGCTTCAATTTAATGATATTTATTGTTTGAACTAGACATAGACTTTTTAACTAAAGGTTAATCCTTGGACAATTTACCAAATTATAATATAAAATTACTCTATATTAAACTAAAGATTATCCTTGCACAATTTACTTCAAGTTCTTTAATACTTAAATGAGGATTTTATATAATAGTGATGATTGGTTAATAATTTGACTTCAAATATCTAAACCAACCCATCTAATATTGTTAAAGTGTATGTATTTGACTATTTGTATTTAAAGTCAATGAAAGATACAACTACATTCTTAGCTAAATTATTTCATAAGGAGACATATTATGGCCTTGCATTAACTTCATAGCTAGATAACATGATGTAACCCTTCAAATATTATTCAACACATAAATTTAAATCAAGATTTGTTTTTCTCCCAAAAAAGCTGTAAAATACTTCGTATATTATCAATATAAGAGGCAAGTATTTGTTGATTGAAAGAGATTAACTTATATGTATGTTATTATCTGTTCCAATACGAGATCTTGTTATTTGAATGTTTCTGGTCTCGGTGACATGAATTCCATCCGTGTTAGGGCTATTTCCCAGCGATTTTATGACTATATGTGAAGCTCTTACAGCAGTGCATTTCTGAAATGTCATATGCATCTGTTGTGCATTCGTTATCTTTAATCCATCCACTATGAAGTTCTTGCATCCATCAAAGGTTACCGCCTTCACAACAAATTTAACCCAAAACATATATATATATATATATATATATATATATATATATTCGGTAATATCAGCTCATGTTAAAAATATAGTACGATAATGAATTCATCAAGGAAATGATTAAACTGAAGTCATACCGTAGGTGCATGTTGACAGGGCTGCAAAGATAAATGTATAAAGATTTTTAATCGTGAAACTGAAGTAGAAAAAATTAAGGAAAAGTGCGTTTAATTAGATTATTACCTTAGTTGTATTGATCTTACAAGAATTCTGCCACCAAATATGTCCCCTGCCATCAATGGTGCCTCGACCTTTAACCTTGAAGTTAGTTATATTTTCGAATTGTAGCCAATGTAGTCGATCTCTGTAGTCTGCTAGATTGGTAGACGCCTCGATTCTTCCTTTGATCTACAAAACATAACCCACAAGAATATCATATCATATCATATCATATCATATGTACTATACTTGAGAAAGAAAGTACGTGCATATATATAGTCCTTTATTCGTTTGAATTGGATTATATTGTACCTTTATGGTGAGAGGAGAACGACACGGTCCAGAGAACTTGATTGGCCTGACCCTATACTTCTTGTTTCTTGGCACTAGCAATATTGCACCCTTGGTTGAACATGCCTTCTTCCAAGCTCTCTTAAAACCCTTTTCATGTAAAATAAATGGGAGCAAAAACACAACATAACAATCAACATGCATCTATCTTTAAAAAATATTTTCGACCATATTTATATTAACTATAGATTAAAATACCTTGGTATGATCTCTCCTTCTTCCTGACTTGATAAAATGTTCGACATTGATAATTCTTGAAGGCGAAGATGAAGGGGAAGGGGCTCTAGACCGAGCTCGATGAGAATGGTGCCTAATACGATCAAGGATTACCTTATCATAATTGTCGAGACTTTGTGAATCAAGCTCATAGTTGTAATTGTAAGTCCTCTTATCATCATCATCACTAATATTCTTGTTGTTAGTAGAATACTTTGTAATGTAATTCCTCGAATCGGGTTCCGGGAAGGGGTAGCTAGATAGACAAACCGGAAGAAACGAAGAAATAAGAATGGTAAGAACACCAACAAGTATAAGAAAATGTGATGTTAAAGACATTATTGATTATGTCTTATTTGTGCACTTATAGCTAGAAGTGTAAAAGACAAATGAATAATATAAATATTATTACAATAATATAAGATAATAAAGGTTGGTTGTAATAATATGATATTGAGAAACTAATAGCTTTATAAAGAGAGGAGCTTGCTTGTGTAGAAGAGAAAGAGTTGGGTTCGTTAACAAGAAAAATGGCATGGAATTGATTTGAGTCACAAGGAGGAATGGAAAATGGTAAAAGAAGAGAATGAGACGGAAGAGTAAGTTTTATTTGATGGATTGATACCCGACTTTTACCTTTCCCTTCCCTTAATAATAATGGTTAGTTAGACTCCCATTACTATTAACCCTTTCTCTCTCTCTCTCTCTCTTATTGCTAATTGCTTGTTTACCAACAAGCCTTTCACATATGTCATGCTTTCCTATTTCTATCTAATAGTCCAATAAGATCTACCGCATTAAACTTATTCTCTTATTCTACTTGCTCTTATTATTATACATTTCTTATTTGACAAAGTTTTAACTGTACATACTTGGCGTAACTAGAATATTTTCTTCTCTTATAATTTCGATAGCTTAGAATATTACATATCTATGGTTTTTCCTTATTTGATTACTGGACAAAGTAGGTTAGCTTCAAATGTCATGCATGTTTATAAGTCTAAACCTTCAAGCTAAAAATGACGAGTATAAATATTAAAATTTGAGTAAAAATAATTATTGAAAGAGACGTATAAATATTATGCTACGAATAAAATAAGTTTTAAATGTAATCTAATGTTATTGGTTCAAATGACAATATAAGTCCTTTATAAGAAAAGTTTAGGTAAAGTTGACATTAATTTGGTCGAATTATCGAAAAAGTTGAAATTTCGCGATCCTAACACTTTTATGTGCACTGAAATTAAAAGTCTATGTCTTTAATTTAGGATATAAAAGCCACAATCAACGTTTCCTAAAAAAAAAAAAAAAAAAAAAAAAAAAAAAAAAAACAATGTCAACGGTCAATTTATGCAAACACTAATTACTCCGTAGAATGTTTGTGGTCTGAAAATTACAACCACACCCTTTTAATTCCATAAAGATGAAGAAAACTGAATTATTTGCTGGTTGAATGTATTTAAGACCAAAGCCCAGCCCAGCCCATCCCTCTTGATCAATAAGAGTTGTTAAATTTAAAAAATTATATTGTGTGCTCTTACCAGTCTTACATTTGTATATACACAACTTTTATTAATCATTAATAATCAATAACTACATACTACAGGCGAAATCTGGAATGACACTTATCATTTTCTAGTTAAAAAAAATACTGCCTTTTTTTTCTTTCCTTTTTTTTTTGCCATATTTTAATGACATTCATTTTATTACCTACAATAATAGTTATTTCCATTAACATATTTAATCCAATTATACTCAATTTTTTTTTTTAACATATATTTTATATACTAGGAAACTTTTAGTTACAAAAATACTAACATAGATTAAAAATAAGGTATTGTAATACATTATTTTCCAAGATTATTATAATATTATCAATGTCAATTTTTTTTCTCCAACTTCATTTGATAATAAAATTTACTTTAATTAAAAAAGAAATATAACGTTTATATTGGAAAATTTAATCTAATTACTCTAAATATTGATTTGATTATTTAAAAAATGAAAACCCCTACTACTCACTAAAAATATATTAAAAAAATTGATTACGTAATACTAATTATTCTAAAGTAAAATAAATTCCTAAATTTTCATATTATGTCGATCAAAGTGTGTCAACAATTTAAGGATAAATGAATATGAGCTCGTATATGGGTACTAACCTAAGTTAATATTTTAATTTTCTTATATAAAACCTTATAGCTTCTAAAACCAACGAGTCACACACTAAGCATAGCAATTTTTTCAAAAGGTCAATCGAATTTTTATTAAACCTTATGGGATTAAAATGGGGGACGAACCTTGCGGAGGAACCCTTAGGTTTTCGGGGCGAGGAGGGATTCGAACCCCCGACACCGTGGTTCGTAGCCACGTGCTCTAATCCTCTGAGCTACAGGCCCCACCCCGCCTCCACTGGATCTGTTCCCGGGAGCGACGTAGTAAATAGGAAAGAAAATGAAAATAGAATTAGTTTCTTCGTTTTTACATAAAAGAATTTAAGACTTGAATGTGATAATAAAAATGGATGGCAAAACACGACAGAATTTGGAAAATTTCTATTATTATATTATTTTATACAATCCAATTCAAAAACCTTTACGTATTTGGTATTGGTATAAACTAAAATTCAAGTTATTTTGTTACAAATAATTATTTTAGATAAATTATTGTTGAATTAACACCATTATTTATAATTTATTTGTTGTAAAATTTAATTATAACCGTGCAATGCATGAGACTTAACCTAGTTAATTATTAATTTTAAATTGAAAACATAATAAGAAAAGGCGAAAAATTACAATAAGGAAGCTAATTTAAGGTTTCGCGATACAAACTATCATTAGTCTGTCACATAATGTAGTCTGTCACATAATGTTTAAGCAAGTCTATAATTAGCATGTATTATTGTAAGAGCAACAACGCGCACAATGAGATGAGAGATAAGGATAAATTGAAAAAGGGTAGATAAAAAGTTAAGTTAGGGAATTGAAGTTAGCAAAAATTGTAGGTAAAAAATTAGGAGTTCCTAGCAAGAAAAGAAGGAGAAGAAGGGATGGGAGATGATGAAGATTTGGGTAAATTAGATAATGTGAATGTCATTTGCGTGGTCATAGAAGCTATATACAAGCTAATTCTGTTATTGCGTCATGAATGGCCAAACCCCATAGATTTTGAACTTTGAGGTGCTGCTATGTGCCGTGATTGATTGCCGTCTATTATACACTTTTCTCTTCTTGTCTTAAGGTACACACCACCCTCCCTTCGATGATAACAACTACGACCAATAATGTTTTTTTCCTTTTTTTTTTTTTTTTTTTGCGCAAACAAAAATCTCCCACCTTGCCTCCGTTTGTGTATTGTACATAGTAAATATAGCTATGTAGGTACTTGTTAAAATCGTATCATATGAAATTGTGAAGTTAGTGACCTTACTGTGTTTTTGAAAATTTACATTATACGGTTATATCGAATATGCCGAAAAAAAAAAAACTTTAATTTTAGGCTTTTAATAATTTCAAAATACTATAAAGTACTCCGTTTTGTATATTTGTATTACTTATGTAAAGTATTTGATATTTTATTAAACCAATTATAATACCGGAAAAAAAGGTTCAAGGTAGACTAAATTAAACCTTACTCTAATATCCAAAAAAAATTCCTAAAAAAAAAAATTAAAAAAAAAAATACTCATTTACTCCATATACTAAGGGGGTTTTTTGTTTGGTTGAGATTTTTAATAATGGAATCTTATACCCAAGGGGTTCTAATCCCCATATCGATGGAATCTCATACCCACCCCTTTCCCTAAAATTCACAATCCATTCTATTAATGAAAGATAGAATTTATTTCAATAATAAAACCAAACAACTTTAAACTAGTATGAGTTTTAGAATTCATACCTATCTAGTATGAGATTCCATACCAATCATTTCCAACTTAATGAACCAAACACCACGCCTACAACTATGGACTGTAATGGGCCTAACACTCAACAAATTGAATTGGCTCAATTTGTAGCCAGCTTTGCTAAACATCCTGAAATTTCCACATGCCTTATTTAGTGAGTACGTGTCACAAGAATGACCTGTTGAGAAATAAAAACTTTCTGAAGGCCACATTATTTGTGTTATCGACAGTCACTAGTCATCAGACAGACTACAAGAGTCTTACCACTGAAAGTCTGAAACTGCCAATCACCAGATATTGAGAAATTTGAGAAAATATGGGTGAAGGAGAGCAAGGGAAGAAGCAAAGAGAAGAAAAACATGGAGTTGTTCAAGTTGACCCAAAACCCAGCAAAGGGTTCACTTCCAAAGCTATTGATTTGTTGGAAAAATTGATTGTCAAATTGATGTATGATTCTACTAAACCACTTCATTATCTTTATGGCAATTTTGCTCCTGTTCTTCAAGAAACTCCTCCTGCCAAAGATTTACCTGTTCATGGTCATCTCCCTGTAAGTACCCTTTTCATTTCTTTTTCTCCATTTTTAATTTTATTTATACTGTATGTTTCTTCCTGCTGTTTGGTTTCCCTAATTATGATTTTCAAGTATTTAACTTTCTGGGTTTATGTTTGGTTTGCCTAATTATGATTTCGAAGTAATTAACTTTCTGGGTTTAATTTTGTGTACTGGTTTGATAATGAATTACTTTTTACTAAATGGGCATAGTCCCATTACTCCCATAGATATGATTAGCCCTTGTTTGGTTTATACACCCGAGTGCATAGTGCATTAGTGCTCATTGCACACCCGTTTTATAACGACAACCCAATTAAGGAGGGTTTCAGTAGTCAATTGGGTTTTCATATATTATTTTTAATTGTTGCATTGGTATGTAGTAGTGGTGTATGTGTTGTGCAATTTTTGTGGTGGGTCAGTGGGACTATATGTTTCTTATGAGTTTTGGTAAATGATGATGATGGTTACATTGCTGGTGAAGTGGTGGTCTTAATCAAGAATAAATCAACATATGGAGTAGGTTTTGTGAAATTAACTTCATACATTTTGTCCTTTGAAACTTTTGGTGGATATTGCTCAAGTGTAGTTGCAATGTGATCAATTTCGAACTAGAGAACGAATAAGCATGGCTTCCACGTTTAGCCTAATTACGTATGTTCTTGGAACATCCCCAATTATTATTTTGATAATACACACACACATGTATATTTTAGAATAAGTTAGGTGCGGTTTAGTAGAGGATTAGTGCTAGTTTTTTTAAATATATCCTTTGTTTGTGGTGCTTATTTTAGTATTAATACTTGTAAGTTTGAAAAGTTTGATATGAGTCAATTGGCCGATTGTATACACTTTGTAATGGAAATCTATATTTTAATTGAACTGATTACTAGAGGCCAGTATGGTGAATTTGCATTTTGTAATCTAGAAGGGTGAACAAACGAGAAACATTTAGTTCGGGGTGCAAATGCTAGTCATCAGCATAATGGTTTATGAAGCAACTAAAACTTGCAAGTGATGGTTAAATTTACTATACGTGATTCTCTATGTTCTGGAAGGAAGACAATCGAAATAATAAACTAGAATTTAGTATGAAAAATTAAATGCTGTCAGCTAGCTAAGCAGTATACATGCAACCTTTTCTGTTTGGTTCAATCCAATTCTCTGAAATACTATGCCAGAATTCTAAAATAGTTCCTTTCCTTTTATTTGGCAGAAATAAAATGGTTAAGTTCACTTGGTGTTTCATACATAATTATTAATTAGCACATCATCAATTACAGGAATGCTTGAATGGGGAGTTTGTCAGGGTCGGACCAAATCCAAAGTTTGCTCCTGTGGCTGGATATCACTGGTAAGTTATAACTAGTTTGTTGTGATTCACATTTAAAAAGGTGTTACCTATACATTGAGCTAATTATTGTAATTATTTTTTTTGCAGGTTTGATGGAGATGGGTATGTTAATTACATAATTTTCTCTTATGACTGCTTTGGATTATTCAATATTTCAACATAGTTAAGCATGTGGAGAAATGACTATAGTGCCTATATAAGGGCCAAAAACCCAGAAATATCATTGACGTTCAAGGCCTATTATATGTCTCCTGTTCATGGATCATCTTCCTTCTCTGAATATGTAGCTTCAAACTACGTAGTACAAGCTCTATATTATATGATCCATAAGTAAATTACTCATTTACTCTATATTATATGATCCATAAGTAAATTACTTATATGTCTCTTGTTCATTAATCATCTTCCTTCTCTGAATACTTTTTACTTCCATTATGTATAATTATCCAATTAATAGATGCAGTAAAGATGTATGATCTGTTGTTTGCAGTCATATTAAGTTTCAGATTACTTTTTGCAACAACAAAAGTATATATGTTTTGCCTTCCTTTACAGCATGATTCATGGATTGCACATTAAAGATGGGAAAGCAACCTATGTCTCCCGCTACGTTAAGACATCAAGGCTGAAACAAGAAGAGTTCTTTGGAGGGGCAAAATTTATGAAGGTAAGCAATTGGGGACTGAAACAAGAAATGATTTGTGCAACTAATTTTGATGTAAAATAAAAATGAGTTGTTCCCCATGTCTATGCTTTATGGTCTATACAACTCATAGCATTAATAATCAGTCTGAAGACAATGCTTACATACACCTTTCACCATAAAAGTGCTATAAAAAATGTTTATTACCATTTTTTCATGGATGTCACTATTTTATTTATTTTTGGAATTTTTAACGTAAATAGACTAACCTTTGGCCGGTTCTCCCAAATGGACAAACCTATAAATCTGCCCATATTGGACAGCCATTTTTTGCCCATAATGGAATGAGTTTACAGGCAACCGGTTATACAAGGTAATAAAAAAAAAAAAAAATTTAAAAAAAAAAAATCAACCTAAGCTGACCCTCACCACCCTCGAAAATACCCACCACTCAAACCACCATACCCACGTTCAAACGAAACCAGGCACCACCACAAAACCAGCACACCCCCTGAAAATTCAACACCCAAAACCAACCACTAGCCCTTGAAAATACACCACCCGAAACCAGCAAAAATCCACCACCTGAAACTAGCCACCAGACACCTCAACTACCTCCTCTGTCCCCCAGCCACCTACCCCGCCAACCATGTCAATCCCTTGCTTGCCACCGTCACGCAACAATAACCAAACCGAACACCACCAAATACGCGCCTAACATAGCAGCCCAAATCGACACCAAAAGTATCAATTTTAGCAGCAATTCACTCAATTTCATTAGCAAATTTCAGGCTACGAAAAAAAAGGGTGACGCGAGAGGGGAAGCAGAGCAGGGGAGGGTGACGCGAGAGGGGAAACACAGCAGGGGAGGATTTCATGGGTGGCTGGGTTTCGAGTTTAGGGGGTGTGGTCGGGTTCAGAGGGGTTTCGTGGGGTAGTCTAGGGTTTCAAGGTGGTCGATTTTAGGGGTTTAGGGGGTTTCATGTCAGGTGAGAGAGGGTATGGTTGGGAGTTTGAGGAGGAGGTATGGTGGGGTTGGGGTTTTGGGTTGAGGTCTGGTGGTGGTGATCATGGTGGAGTTGCCATTGAAGGTTGGGGGTGGCTGGTTGTGGGCGGGGTGACTGGTCGTAGGTGAGGGTAGCCGGTTCTAGGGGAGGAGATGGTGGTGGAGGGGGTGGCAGCTTGGTCAGAATTAATGGAGGGAGGAAGGAAAGGGAAAGGGAAAAGGGATAAGGAGGAAAGGGAAAAAAAAAAAAAAACTTGACCAATGATTTAATGACAAGTGGACTTTTACCTGTTATAACAGGTAGGGTGACCTGCTTGGTCCATTATAGGCGAAAAATGGCAAACTTCTGTCCAATATGGGCTGATTTATAGGTTTGTCCATTTTGGGAGAACTGGCCAAAGGTTGGTCTATTTGCGTTAAAAAATCCTTTATTTTTTTCCACTTATGCTTCTGAATCAAAGATCTCATTAAAATGATCACATTTGATATCAAATGTCACATAACAATGTGCTTACAGTAGTAGTTTAGTCACTGAATTTTCAAATTTTGTGTAAAATTCGTTTATTGCTGATTATTGTATAAATTTTGTTTACATTTAGTTATTTTTGAAATTGGACAAAATAGTCACATATCCTACATTTGGTGCTTCAAGTTACGCGTAAGTGTACTATTGCAGGTTAATAGTGCCCTGAGACTAGTGAATAAGACTGCAGAAGTAACTAAATAATATCTCCTAGAAAGCAAAATGAATGGAATCCATTTGATAGACTCTGAGTGAGATGACCTGATGGATTTTTTGTTTTCTAAATGGATAAACAGGGTTTCTTATTGTAGGCCTTACATGTGTTAACTTCTCAAATCTTTGCAGATTGGAGATCTTAAGGGCCTTTTTGGATTACTTACAGTCAACTTGCAAATGCTCAGGGCCAAGCTGAAAGTACTAGATATGTCGTATGAAAATGGGACAGGTTTTTTCTTCTACTTATACTATATCAATCCTTAGAGTTTGGCCAAAAGGCTAAAAGGAAAATAAATCTCATTTGGCTACTTGCAATAAGTATCTTGTTCACTGTGCTTTTGCTAGCTAAATCAATGCTTCATTGGTTTGAAGGAAATTTTACTCTATCTATGGTTTTATCACTTTATGTTTACTTGTCATTTTGATTAAATTTGGATCATATTACTCATATATGTGAATTTTCCATCTTTATACAGCTAATACCGCTCTTATATATCACCATGGGAAGCTTCTGGCACTTTCAGAGGCAGATAAGCCATGTGAGTTGTGATATTCTGTTATTTATTTTCATTTTGAGGTACCAAATTGAGTGTTTCTTGTTTAACTTGATGTTGACTTTGAATGTCATATGCCCAAAAAAAGGACATGGTGGACTTATATCCAGATGCTTGTGATAGCTCTTGCTAGTACCAGTTGTATGTGACACTAAGTGCTCTACTTTACTGTTTTATCCAGATGTTATTCGTGTTTTGGAAGACGGGGATCTTCAAACCCTTGGAATGCTTGACTATGATAAAAGGTTGACCCACTCCATTACAGCTCATCCAAAGGTTGATCCTTCCACAGGTGAGATTTATTAACTCTCTCTCTCTCTCTCTTTCATAAAAGCACACATTAATCTGAAATTTATTTTTTGTAGTCTCACTGATCAAATTCAAACTCTTGGTGTAGGGGAGATGTTTACTTTTGGCTACTCTCATGAACCACCATATATCACATACAGAGTAATTTCAAAGGATGGATACATGCATGACCCTGTACCAATAACTATCCCTGCGCCTATCATGATGCATGATTTTGCGATCACTGAGAACTATGCTATTATCATGGATCTTCCTTTACACTTTAGACCTAAGGTATGGTAACTTTAACACCAAAAGAAAAATACCAGCTTTTTGTTCAACAACAACAACAACAAAGCCTTAGTCCCAAAATGATTTGGGGTCGGCTTTTTGTTCACTTCTTCAAAATTATCTTTCATGCAGCATTATTGATAGAGGTTGGGGAGGGGGGTGTTCAAACATGCTTGTTAGCAGGGTATATTTTAGATTCTGTTGGAAACAGGGCTTATCTGTTTGTGGTACTACAGTTGATGGCATAAATCTTTTTAGGATTTTGACACTTGATGCTGCCATATTGTTTTCCATTTAATTCTCCTTTTTGTCCCCCTTCCCCCACTAGTGCTTCTGTTTTTAATATGCTGATCTTATATTCTTGAATTTCCAGGATATGGTGAAGGAAAAAAAACTAATTTTCACTTTTGACCCAACATTAAAGGCTCGCTTTGGTGTACTACCACGATATGCTAAGAATGAGAGCTTAATCAAATGGTTTGAGCTGCCAAATTGTTTCATATTCCATAATGGTGTGTCCTAGCTACCTTTTTCCATTTTTCATTAGTCATAGATTCTAAGCATTTTTATCATATATATAGAGAACATTTGTCGATTTGTGATGTTGATTTGACTATTGCATGATCATTTACTGCTTCAGCAGATGTTAACTTTTATCTTAAAATCTATATACATATGTATAAAATAAAAATATAAAAAGTAAATGCATATTTCAGTGCATTTAATCATGATTGCTTATGTTGACAGCCAATGCGTGGGAAGAAGGAGATGAGGTTGTTTTAATCACTTGTCGCATTGAGAATCCAGATTTGGAGATTTCTATAAACTAATTACACGGCACCTATACGACTGTCCCAAAGGGCAACCACGTAGCCGTTTTTGAGACAAGGATAACTCTATCACTAACCAAACCAGTGGTAGCAGTTGACATCTGAGTCAGATGACCGCCTGTATTACTTGGGATAAATGCAGGGGGTACCTATTGAGTTAATAGCCAACAAACATTGGCGAATCAAGGGGTCTAGCGGCCTACGCCGCCTGGTACCTCTACTTCTCAAACAAAAGTGACGGCGACTGAGTAACTCCAAAGTTAACTCATAGTCACTCCTTCAAAATTGGTATGGAACCTAAAAGTTTGAGTCGTCCGCCTGTTTTATACAAACAAGGGCACTCGAACCCCTATTCCTACTGGATAACCTATTGAGTAAATAGCCAACAAACATTGGTAAATCAAGGGGTCTAGCCGGCCTACGCCGCCTGATACCCTTACTACTCAATCAAGATTGTGACGAAGACTAAGTAACTCCTATGTTAACTTAATAGTCACTCAAACTTAGTACTGAGCCTAAAAGGTACGAGTCGTCCACTTGTTTTTAATAAACAAAGGCTCTCAACCAATACTCTTGCTAGGTTAACAAATAACAAATTAGAGGCCAACATTGGCAATAAAGGGAAACAACCGTACCCGCCGCTTGTTTTCCTACTTAAATTCCTTGGCTACTTGGTAATTCTATTTACTTGGTCAAATTGAATAAAGAGTTCGAATACCGATTGATTAAATGGCCGACTGATCATCTATCCTGGAAACAGACAACCAGTCGTCCAGGGGCATAGGCGGCATACTTACTATTTGTACCTGTCTTAACGTTCGGCCATACACAACAGTCTGTCTAGTGAGCAAATTTCAAATACTTAGACAAATTTGAACAAAAACAAAAAATTTGATTAAAATGAGCCGGCCATAAAAGACCAGCAGAATATTCAAAACCCCGGCCCCCTGGCCGGGTAATTACAAAGCAAACGGCACGCAGGCCGTGAAAAGAAAAAATATACTTAAAGCTTAAGAAGGGGGCAGTTCAGTATCAGCAGCAGCCGCCTGGTCAGCACTCTTCTTGCTGGACTCGGCCTTCGCTGCATCATCTTTTGATGCCTTTCCCCCAAGTGGCACAAGCGCCACAACAGGCTCTTCCTCCTCCAACGCAACGTCCATCGCCTCTTCTTCAGCAGCCGCCAGGATCTGTTGATTATATATTTCCGAACACTGGCGGTACGTTCTTTCCCATGAGGCAAAGTCGGCACTGGGGAACAGTCGTTCCCAGGTCATGCGTTGGATTTGGGCGGAGTCTTCCACCATCTCCCGGACGAGCTCTTGTTTTTCTTGCTCGGCCTTGTCCGAGAGCTCTTGGGTAAGACTCTTCTCCTGGTTCACCAGGCGTTCTTTTACGTTAGCCAAAGATTTCTCCATGGCTTCGTAAGAGTGCATTTTCTGGCGAAGGGGTTTCAGCTCGGCTTTAAATTTGGTGACGGTCCCCTCCAGCTCGTCAACCTTCTTTTTGGCCGCCTCTAGCTGAGCCCGAACAGCGGCGGTCGCCTGCGCCTGATAATAAAGAAGATCAATGGTCAGTACTTCATTTTGGGCAATTTGAAACATTGCTTTATCACAGCTGGAGGCGGCCATAGCCTTTGCGGCCTTTACCTCTTTGTTTTTCCGATCAATCGGCTTGCGAAGGCTGTTGACTCGGAGCAGGGCCTAAGTACAAAGAAAAACAGGCGTCAGTTTCCAATCATAAGGGTTAACAGGCGTCCTGGAACTTCAAAAGGGTATACCTCAGCTAGGATCCCCGAAATTCCATCGAGGTCAAGGGTGCCGGCACCCTTGACCGCCTCCCTGTCAGAGGGAGGAACTACTTTAACCATTGACTTGGCTACCTCAACCAAGTCAAGTCCCTGGGGGCCGGCTGCATTAAGCAGAAGGAAAAACAAGTTAGACCTAATCAAGAAGGAAGCAAGAGTGAGTTTTTACAAGCAAGTGTCCATACATCTAGGCGGCCCCGCCTGGGTTTTTGAAGAAGTGGCCGGCTGCTTCTCAGCCGCCACTGTTTTCCTGGAAGACCCAGGAGAGCTTGCAACAGTCGTTCTCCGGGCCTTGGGGTCCGGCTGTTGCGAGGAAGAAGCCCTTGGAGTGCCAGACTGAAAACAAAAAGAGTTAGTATATGCATAATACAACTTAAAGGGGAAGAGTTTTCAAAGCTTACCAAGGGTGCCTCCTTGCTGGGGGAGTCGGCGTACGACTGCTTCATTAGCGAAACCCGCAGCATGGCCGCCGCAGTCTTAGATGCTGTTATTTTACTCATGGCGTCGGCTGAAAGAAATAAACAGCAAAGTTAGTAAAAATCCCAAGTAAACAAGGCGTGAAAAAACAGAGTATTCGTCAGGCCGGCTACCTCTAGAGCACCGACTGCCGAGGCCACAGGCGGCCAAGAAGTACTCATCATAGAGCCACTTGAAGCTCGGGACGCAGTGTAGGGGTACTTGCTCTCGTACCCCTGAAATAGAGTTCACCCTAGTCTCTACTTTGAAGAGTCCTTTGTCTAGGATCTCTCTTTTAGCCTTTGGGGGAACAGGCGGCATGCTGCGGCCGCCTGCAAGAAGAGGCGGATCCCTGTTCCACTTGTTAAAACGTTTGTTCAGCTCCGTGTCTGAACTCTCGATAATAAGGAAGGTGTTCCGCCAATCCTTCCATTTGTTTGCCTTACCTCTCGTCATGAGGTAACCCCTGTGGCTTGTTAGTTGATACCAGCCGGTACCTCCCGACTTAGGGGTCCGGCTGAGATAGTTCATGTGGGCGAAAGCCTCAAAACTTGGCTCCACCCCGTTCAGTTCGCACCCGGCCACATAGCCGAGTACGTTTACCCAAGAGTTGGGGGCTAACTGCCATAACCCCAGATCATACCCATCTAAAATCCGCTGAACAGCCGGATGTAATGGGAAGCGCAGACCAGCTTTGATGGCCGCCACATAGCAGCCAAAACAGCCGTCACCATAGCTGGTACCAGCCGGCCAGACGACAGTATCTTCTGGATCCGGCACAAACAGTAAATACTCCGGGCCCATTTTGTGGTTAGCAATAAAGCTCGCCACGTTGTCTCGCATGGTTGCGATCCGGCCCCGGGGCACCCTGCAGTAGTAGGGGGTGTTTTCCTCTCTGTAAGAGGCGGACGGCTCTGCCCAATTATCCCCCTTCTCCACTGCATGGGAACTTCTCGCCTCTTGTAGGCGGTTATGTTTTTCTTCTGAGTCAGAAGAACTATGGTCAGAAGAACTATGGTCAGAAGAGCTGGAATCGGACTCGTCCCCTGACGAGTCCGAAGAGGACGACGCCTCCCCTCTCCTAGAGGGGCCCGCCTCCTCTCCCTTAGAAGGAGCAGAAGGTAAATTAGACATGTCCACGGTTAGATGAGAAGGGAACACCTTGGTCCCTCTCTCAGAACTGTCAGCTTGACAGTCGCCTCGTTCCACATCTGGCGCCTGGTCAGATGTTTCGCTAAGGAGTACCCTTTGGGAGGAGCCGTCTGAGTTTGATATTCTAGCAGTCTTTTTTGTTCTGGCCATCACGTTCTGCATAGACACAGATTCAGTCGGACTCTGTATAAAGGGCAAAGATGGGTCCAGAAAAGGGCAGGCGGCACTCCTAGTCCTAGATTCAGCCGTCCCCGGTGACCGGCTGATCACTAACTTAGGGCGTGTCGTGTGCTTCCATGGTGCCATTTCAAAAAATAAAAAGAAAATTAAGAGTAAGAGAACTGAGTTACCTGAACGGATGACAGTTGATGAAGTCCTGAAAGTTCGGGTCAGTCGGCTTGTCAGAACAGGCGGTAGGCAGAAAAAGTCCGAAAATGTCAGATCAAGTTCAGGGGTCCGAATGTTCTCGCAAAAATTCTCAAATGTGAAAATGACCGAAGTCAGCACTTCCTTTTATAGGCAAAATGAGAAGGCGAAGGGTCGCTTCCGAATTCAAATTTGGGCGGGAGAATCTCCCGGCCGTCTGCAAGGTGACACCTGTAACGGGCCGTCGCCTGTCACCGTGCGACACCTGTCACAGGCGACACGTGACCAGTCGCGTGCCACCTGTGAGGGGCAAATGATTAGGGGATTTTTATCCACCAAGCGCCGTTTGACAAGTGGACCAACCAGGTTCCGCCACGCGTCCTCCACGGACCACTTAAGACACGCCACGTGTCCACCCATGCCAAATGGGACAACCGGCCATCAAGGCCCATTTCAGTCTAGAAGCCCGATCGGCCCTAGGTTTACCTTAAACCTAGAGAGTTGCACGCTTCCCAAGGCTATAAATACTCGATTAATCCTCATTAATCAAGGGACCGAATAATTAACGGAACGGAGGAGAAACATTACGGAACACACTAATAACCGGCTGATCTCGCTAGCAAAGCAGATTACCTACATTAAATACTCTCACCTAGAGAGACCTTATTACTTTAATTTCTGTATTAATTACTCCTTAATCAGGTACTAACTTGACCGTTGGAGGCGGAGCTCTCAGGAGTCTCCGTTATTTTGCAGGTACAGGCGTCCGGTTCCAGTCTCGGAATTGTAGCTCTCCCGCAGGACATCAGAAAACCCCAAAACAATTAGCATCATTGCCATCAAGCTTCTTTGTATTGAGAAAACGACCTCCAGCACCTCTAGCCCTTCGCAAAGCATGTACATGACGAGATTCATGAAGATATGGCTGTGGAAAAAGGCCCCAAAAATAAAGATCAAAATTAATCCATCAAAAACCAAGACAAAAGCTTGCATCAACTACGAAGCGGCATAAATATGAGTAAAAGTTAATTGCGCTAGTTGACAAAGGAGACGGTAAATACAACAATAAAGTCAGAAATTAAAAGACCTCGGAAAGAAAAATACCACAAAAAGAAGCACATCAAAACATTTGTGAATCTCATGGGAAAAAAGTACTTTTTGCTTATACGAGTAACCAAAACAAATTTTACATTTTTTTTTTCTGGTAAGTAATTATACAGCAAGAGCTCAACCCAAGCCATTTGTACAACCTAAAGTGAATGAGAGTGAACGGAAAACCTTCTAGGAAGGAGCCCCCACCCACACCCAAGCTACCCAACTAGCCAGCAGGCCTCATCGATGCCAAAGCAAGCAAAATATTCATCTCATTTACTATAGCAAAAAACCATTCTCTATCCTGACTACCTACTTTATTCCCTAACAAACAACTAATTCTATGCATAATAGTACATCAAATGCATATTTACCTATCTCCCTATCAAAGAACAAAGAACTGATTCTATGTCTAGCAATATGTATAACAATGGAAACCCAAGTAGCTGCAATGTCCATGTTATTTGATTGATCAAGGCAAACACATTACTATGTACGAGGGGTTTAAAGCATGCATATCATGCATTAAAATCTGAGAAAACAAGTAAACAACACTTCAACGCCATAAACGAAGTTGTGAAGTAAAATCATGTCTTGGTGAAACCATCTCTAACATAAAGCCTCCAAATGGTATTTGTCATATAATTTTGGGTTCGGTATGATCTGTGGTATGGATCCTTTAGACCCCAGGATGCTTTTAGGAGACGTGGAAAAGTTCATCGGCTTATGGAGAGGCCTCAGAGATACAATAACCTTTGTTAAGGCAAAGAGTCTAAGATCTGGTGTCAAATACGGGTGCTAAGTGTCTGAAAGATTCTGCTTGAATTTTGGGAAGAATCCCTTCCAATTTCCGCAGAGAATCTTCCTAATTGTGGAAAGGTTCTCACCATATTTGCTTGAATCACCCCAAACCCATTTTTCTATAGATGATGAATCATCCCCAGAACTTAAGTACACAAAATCAGCTCCGAAGAAAACTACTCTGTTCATCATTAATGAAGCAGTATGCAGAGGAGATATAAACCGACTTTAAAGCCTGAGTTCAACTCTAGTGAAGGTAATTAAAAGCTGATTCAATAAAAATTTAATGGAGGGACTATGATCAAGATACAATTCCTGTATATTTTAATGTCCAAATCCTCAATACCATCAATAACTTTTCTTTGTAATCAAGCAGCATCCTTTAATTGAGTTGGGGTGCGACATCCAATAACAATGAAAACACACTACACTGCATGCAAAGGACGGTGAATATATAGGTTTAGTGATGACATATGATCAAACAAATATGGATTCAGAAGAGCAAATGATGATAAAAACCTTCAGATTAAGAAACTGGAAACTATGTAATTCCCACAATCACTAAGAAATTCCAATTATCAATTATTGTGAGTCATGGCTCATAGCCACATGAGAAGAAGACAACATTGACAAGAATGACAACTATTTCAGACAACAGAAATTACCAAACTGCAATACCATATTATGAAGGACGATTCAGTAAAAGGAATTATGCAGAAGAGCAAAATCATGTGAAAATATAATCAATTAGTTGACCAAAAGAAGATGACAGACTAGATAGCACAGGTCAAGTCTCCTGACACTGAGCCTGTTCTAAGCCTTCCGCACACGAAAACAAAAATGAGTGAAAGAAGCAAAAGCCAAATGCAGCAGTAAAACATAAGTACATTGATTGTAAATATATATGTGAAAGCACACATACCTTCCTAGCTTTGATAACTTTCTTTTCCAACTCAGCTTTAGCACGGGACTGTCTGCGCCTTAGAATTCCATGATATTGCTTTGCGTTAACATAAACAGGTTCTTCCTCCATTGCAAGGGGCAGAGGCATCATACTCTGGTGCAATCCATACAGTTGAGGAATCACCTAAGATAACACAAGTGGAAAAGAGAATATTTACTGAGGTATTTCCGCACATTGAGTGATGGTACACACCATAAAAAGGGGGCAGCCTGGTTTACCTATCATTCAATAATCCATATAACCTTTTCAAAGAGGAAAATTAACAAATTATACATATATTCTACATAAATTATCCTTCATGTTAACCTCATCAAAAGTAGATAAGAGGTCACAAGCCAAACATCTACACTTCTATACCTAGTATTTAAAAACCCAACCCATGGCACCACATGTCACCTCCTTTGACCTTTTCCTTTTTATGCTTTTTAATATTTTAGTGTAATCTCCATTCCAATATATGTCTAATTTTCTTATGATTTAGAGTGCTTCATATTCACCCTATTATCTGAAGTTAACTAACTTATTTGAACTATTTTTTGACAAAACTTATTTGAACTTATATTTCGTGAAATAAGTGGAAATAAGGTGAAGGAACAAAACCTTAATATCTTTTACAAAGTATTTGATATAAAAAATTAAAAAATAACTCCGTAATAACAACATTTTTCCCAGTTATACTTTTAAAAGTTTGCGTGCCGCACAAGCCAAAAGACTAGTTAAAAACTTAAAATTCACAAAGAAAATCATATTCTCAGCTCAAGTCCTAATGCCAAAATATAAACAACCATAATTCAACATAAGACAACTCAAAATCTAAAAACAGACCCAAGAGGCAAGGTCACAGTTGTCGATGGGCATAAAACACTTCCAAACATACCTGTTGTACTTGAGCGTAAGACATAGCTCCACCATAAGTTGGATCCTGGAATGGGTATGATGTCATAGCCTGCCAAAGTTAAAGGGTACAAACATGAATAAGATATTTGTGACCCAAAATCTTCAATTAACACCAACATTATCATACCGTCATAATCATCTAGTTATCAGGGGAGAACCATAGTGAACTCCTACACAGGTTCACAAGTCAATCTTTAAAGGAACTCAGGGGTCAGGGTGAGATTCTTACAATTGAATGGCCAACAAGTTCAATTTGAGAATTCGACTGATCTCCAAGATTTTGTGGCATTGAAGATGGCACTTGTTTGGTCTCTTGTGTGTTATCCCTCTCTGCTTCTTAAATCAAAAAAATAAAAGTGTAAGTCCCTCCCATAAGACAAAGCAAAAGGAAATCTTAAGCATAAAAGAAATATTTCTCCCATCTACATTGAAAAATACACATCAAATTTATTCCACCACACCCGCTCCCAATGACAGGATGCAAAAGTAAAGGAGCCCTCAATAGCAGTCCCGACCCCCCACCCCTCTGCTTTCAGCCCCTTCTTAATACAGAAAACAAAGGAAATTTCGAGTTATATGCAAATTTCCAAGCATTATTTATCTCAGGTTTTAGGCTGCTTCAAATGGTAATATTGTTACTTCAGAAGTTCAGAATACTGTACAACTGCAGTCATTAAATTCAATAAAACCTTATTCACATCCATCTTCCTGTCAATATGTAAAGATGGCAACAAACATCATAAGATCACAAAAATATACTCTTAGAACAAGATAAAACAGACAACTAACTGTCACAGCACACGTAGAAAAATAGATGCATACCCGATTGAGGGGCCAATGAAGTGTGGATCTCTCTATAAACACTAGCCCCAGTGTCCTGCATCCCATTGATGTGCAATGAAAAAGGGCCAACCAAGGAAGAACCATTTACTGGCTCCCCACTAGACGATCGAGTGGAAGAGTCATTCGAAGCTGAAGTAGGAGAGACACCATTGTTATTCAGACCGGGCCACCATGGCTGTCCAAACAACATGTTTGGAGATTTGTCTCCTCCATCGACTTGGAACCGATCTTCCACATTTCCAGCATTAGAGGGCATTATACCTCCCCAAATTAGGTTACCCAATAGTTCTAAACTCAAGATCTATAAACTTTATGATCAGGAAACACAAAAGCAATTCAGAAAATGATGTCCTTCAAAAGTCAAGATATAATCCTAAATTAATTTCAACAATAATAGTTTTCTAAAAAGTGTAGCAGAAAAGAAAGTTGGGAATTCAATAGTACAACCTTAACATGTTACATATCAAATGGATAACCTAAACAAGTCAATAATTTATAGTAGCTCCTTCCTGTAATTAAATCCCTAAAAATGAAAAATCAGCAAAATTCAAATTACAACAGAAGCAATCAGAGAAAGCATAATCAAATCTAGTTAATTAATTATCAGATGATTAATCACAATAGGGCGTCAAACAAATTCCCAAAACTATTACCTACCAACTACACCATGTTATTCTGAAGAACAACAAAAATTGAAAAAAAATTTTATAAAGAGTAGAACTTGTTCCATGAATTAATTGAATAAGAATTTACATAACCCATAAATAAAATTCAGAAAACAATCCTAAAAGGTGAGCAGAAAAATGGAATAATCAAGTGATTATAATAATAGAAGTTGGGATCAAAACCCAGAAAAAAGGGGGAAAAGTAAAAGAAAAACAGTAGTTAGTAAACAAGTCAAGAGTAAGAAAAGAGAGAGAAAGAGCTTACAGGAAGTGGAGGGACTGATGAAAGCAGAAGTTGGATAATTCCCAGAAAACAGAGAAAGAAAGAAAGGAAGAAGAAGAAGATAAAAAAGGAAGTGAAGAATTAAGAGTGATGTGTTGGGTAACTTTGCATCCTTAAGAGAGACAGCACCACCAACATCGGAGAAACTATCAACTTGCTTATTGTTTTCAGAAATTCAGATTCACACACAGATATAGCTCTTCTGCCAGATATTAACCCCTTTTTCTTTTTTCTTTTTTCTTTTTTCTTTTTTTGTTTTTTTTTTTTTGTTTTTATTCACTCTATTATTGATCAAAATAAATAAATAATAAGTAAATAAAAGAGGAATTAATAATTGGGGGTTTTTTATTTGGCATACACGCAAGAGTTGTTCTATGCCCTTGCTGTCCTTTTCAACCAATTTTCTATCTTCTTCTTGCATTTGATTTTTATTTTTAAGTGCTTAGTCATCCACTCATTCGTATTACTTACGTACTATTTTTAAGTGTTTTGTCATCTTTTAATGATAAGGACGGTCTTATCAGATCTCAACCTTCACAATATTTTTGATTTAATATTTACGAATCAAACACTTGAATATAAATAAGAGGGTAAAAAGAATCACTAACCCCCTATATACCCTCATTTGGCATGATTTAAATCTCAAAACTATATATAGGATCTAAGGTTAAACAGTATGACGGTAAAGAGCCTTACAAAGTAATTGTTGGTTTCTCATCCGTATTACTTATGTACTGTACCATTTATTAGCTTGATACTAATATGCAGAGTAATTACACATTTAGTACAACGTACTTTTAATTAGCTTCTTATTTTTATCTTTATTCAAAGTCACTTTTACTGATTATAATTTAAATAAAATACAACGATGAAAGATGTAAAAGCTATTCCAATACATTATATGTATACTCCATAAATGTCGTACTATCATTAGTTCTTTTGGTTGTAATTTTCTTGTTTTTCATTGTTTTCGTGAGGAGAATAAAGTAGCTGATAAACTAGCTAACTTAAGAGTAGTCCAGGAGGAGAGCCCCCTTTATTTCGAGGATCCTCCGATCGAAATAAAGGAGCTTCTCAGGGAGGACATCTTAGGGGTTACTACTCTTCGTTTTATTTCTTAATTGCTTTGCAATTCTGGGCTTTGCCCCCTTCTGCATCAAAAAAAAAAAAAAAAAAAAATGTAGACACATACAAATAACAAAATTAAAGTAAATTTATTATCTTATATATACACACACCCTTTTAATTATTTTAAACAGTGTTTCGAAGAGCGAGATTGATTTCTTCCAAATTATCATAATTTTGAACTCTAACTAGATTTTTTTTTTTATTATTAAATTTTAAGTTCTATGTACTAAAACCGTTAGATTTAAATAATATACTTGTATGTAACTCTTTTAAATCAAACTCAAAAGGGCATTTTAAATCAAACTTGTATATCAAACGGCATTTTAAATCAAAAGGAGTTATCTTAAAAATAAAAAAAATAAAAAAAAAACTCAAAAGGGGTAGAAGTGTACATACAAATATACAATTATACGAACTACAAGGACCTAAGTAGATTACGAGAATAAAATTAATGAGGAGGAAAATGACAATGGCAATTGGCACCCAAAATCCCGAAGTCCCAACCCTGAGATTGAGATAAATAATTGTGATTTGTGAATATTTACAATGTACAAGGAACCTACCCCTATTGAATTTTCTTAAAAGTAGTGCTATCAAAATTGCTCTCATGATTTAGACTTTAGATCATTTGTAAACCTTTTCAACTTATTCTAGTATTAATGTAATAAACTATTTTTAAAATTACCTTTTCAAGTATATAGTAATGCATGTATATAGGTGGTATTGTGTACATATACACTAAATTAAAAAATAATAACTATTTTATCAAGTCGGAACTCTAAACATCTCAACTTATCTCGAATTGACGTATTAAACACTTTGAGAGTAACAAACTGACAATCAATATACATGCAGATTATATTACAGTTGTATGAAGAAGTGCCAAGAGTGACAACTAGTATATGCATGATACAAGTATAATACAATTAGGGTATAATAAGAATTATTAGGGAGTAAGTTTGTAGTACCTAAATAGAAAGATTTAAGAGTGTTGTAAAAGGGAGGAAGTACAAACAAAGTGTACAATACTACAATCATTGTAAATTATTCCCACGGCACCACGTGTCATAGGAAAACATGATGATTTAAGGTGGGCTAGCACATACAACAACCACGTGTTGATGAATTCAACGGCACAGCTGTCGTCTCAGTAGAACAAATTCAAGCCCAAGTTAAGGTAAGGTAGTAGTAGAGATAGACGGCGTAATGTCTCAAACATAGGTAGCATTTCTACCAATAACTAAAAATACTTCTTCAATACGAAGTACTAAGTATGTATTTATCACGCGCTTACTAGCACGTGCTAAGTGGATAGACACGTGGTGGCTACTTAGGTACTACTCACAGCTCATACCAGAATTCACAAAACTACGAAACTACCTTTCTCCATTATGTTTTGTACTTTCCTTTCCTCTATTATTTGCATTAACATTGTCTACTTTAAAATTTTAACCCCTTTTATTAGCAACACTCTTATCTCTAAATTGAATTGCATTATTGTAATGTTAACATGAATGACAATTCCATACAAATTTATAACCTTACCATCATTGTCAACTACCCTCCTTTCATAATTATCACAACACTAGATATTGCACAAAGTTTTAGAAAAATCACAGAGGGGCCAAATAAGGAATTTTATAATATAAAGTATAGTTAGTTGCAATATATTTTATTGTTTATAGGAAAGATAAAAAAAAAAATTAAAAAAAAAAAACCAAAAACGTGTAAATGAGGTTAGTAGGAGAGATAAATAATAAATTTGTAGAAGTTTTAATAATTACAAAATAAAGGAAGTATAAATCACCTACCATACAAATCATCAAGTCTGGATTCGAGAGATAACCCCTAATAAGAAGTTAAACCCGTGACCTCAAAACTATCATAGATATTTAGGTAATTTCAATCATCTACCCATCACATATGGAAATTTTAATCATAAACCATTATTGTTTTAGTTTAGAAATTAGTTTTTGGAGACGATGATGTTATGTAAGAAGTTAGTAGTACACATAAAATGATTTTAGTATTAAGTGCATAAAAGAAATGAGCATAGTGGTGGAAAAGATTAAAATTAGGCCACAAGAAAATGTTTGCTTATCTATAAATCCATCGACAAATAATGGCAAGGCCAAAGGTTAATTGATGATGGTGACAATCGTATGTCATGTCAACACCACCACTCACAAATTAAAGTCACAACTACTTTTATTAATGTTAACCTAATGACTAATTATATCATGGGACCGTGCACATTAGCAAGATGACGTCTGATGACGCCGATACCACACAATAACCATTATTCATTCATAAGCATTCCTTAATTGCACTTAAGCACTCATTCATAAGCATTCCTTAATTGCACTTAAGTAAGCATCGGTTTACGCCTAAAAGGGAATAGCTACATAAAACATAATTAGCCCTCAATGTACTGCATCTAATCTCCGAGACAATTGGATTTCAATCATGATGTGCAGACACACAACCACCATGGTACATGGTTGTACAATAGAAATTGTCCACGCCTTATGATACAAATCAGAACATAATACAGTACACCTTATAATATTTACATTTTACAATAGTAAATTTCAAAGACACAGCAGGTACATCACGGGAACATTCCCTCCATAAACTCATCAAAGTTTTCATCTTCTTCATGATTTGCCCCCAAAACTAAGGCCTTTTTTCCTGTAAGTTTAAAAGGAACTTGAACAGTGAATTTCAAGCAACCAAATGAAATGTAAATGACAAGCTCAAGAGCAAGATGAATCACAGCATTTCTGCATGGACAGCATATTTCTTAGGCCTGGCTATACTGTTGGTTTGACTTCAGTTTGACACGGTTTCCTAATTATATGTGTTGCCTCATACTGCTAAGTATTGAGCCTGCCTAATGTGGTTGCAAAGCAAGAGATGATTTGTGCAGCTTGATGGCAAGTTGGAAACCATTTATCATTTGAGTGTAGTGTATGACAAGATAACTATGAAGCCGGACGCAAATAACTGGAAATCATGAGATAGCAATCAATGATAATAAATCAACAAGTTTTGAACCTTTTCTTTTTCCATCTTTGCTCCTCTCAACCTCTTCGTCAGTAGAGTCACCACTGATAGATCTTTCCCTATAATCAAATGATATATATGCACATGAGAGACAGAAGAAATTGTTGCTTCGAAATTGCATATGATTGCAAATAGAACTTTTTATACCTTTGTCTCTTGAAGTTTTCTTTATCTCTAGATTTTGACTTTGTTCTGCTTTGGTCTATGTCATCTTCCTCATCCACCTCTTCATCACTTCTAGGTGCTTTCCTAACAAAGACCAAGTGATACATGCCCATGAGGCCATGATAGATGGAAGAAATTGCGCTACCGAAATTACATATGAAAGCATATAGAGCTTTAACTACCTTCGTCTCTTGGCGCTTTCTTTATCTCTAGGTTCTGACTTTGTTCTGCTTTGGTCAATGTTATCTTCCTCATCCACCTCTTCATCACTGCTAGGTGCTTTCCTAACAGAATCCAAGTAATTGCATCAGTTAACCTCATAAATTAATAATAGCTGCATATGTCTGTATGTATGAAATACTAAATTCAAAACAGCCTCTGTAGCCATGTAGGTTTAAGAAAAACAGGCAAAACTGATAACTGTTTCTTCTATAATACCTGTTTCTTTTACTATCTTCTCTCTGTTGTCTTTCTAATTGCTCCCTTTCTCTATTTCTTCTATAGTGGAGCTTTTCTGCACACCTAAATGGAGTAAATCAGTAGTAAATAAACTAAGGTATATTTAGTGCATATAGTTACATGGAGTAGAATGAAGACAGGCTTGAAAAAAAATTACAATGACGAAACAAAAAGTGTCACAAATCATCCAGTACAACCCCCTTACATAACTACATGGCTATTATTGCATGGTAGACCACAGCCAAAAAATTTCATTGCATTAATAGAAAAATTTCTTGAAAAATAGGGACCCAACTTGTTTTATAGGAGACCAATAAGAAAGCATGCCTTGATGAAGATGACTGGTTATGTCATTATTCCAAGGACATAAGATGCATACAATTGAAATGCTAAGATTGACATGCTCAACCAAGCATTTAAGTACATTGCCATAATTGCAGCTCAAGCAAAACGAGTCTTCATACAAGGAACTAACCTCTCACATGTTACCAGTTTGACAAGAGCTTGCTTGCTTTCTCCTGCCTCAAAATAAGAAAAATTCACCTGAAAGACAAGAAGCAAAAAAAAAATGAGGTCTGCACAAGAGAGTTTACATTGAAGAAAAAAATTAACAAAATGATACCCTGGCCTAAGCATTCTCCTTCCAAAATAGTAGGAATAAAGCCATATTAAAGAATTCATTAAGTTGGAGAAAAAAAAATTAAAAAAAAAATAAAATAAAATAATAGATCTGCAATTGGGAAAAGGTGGATTACATTAAGTTTGTTGCCCCCACAAAAGAATCATATCACCTGATTGAACCAAAGTCTAACCTAGTTGTACATTATACATTTAGACCATAATAAAAGACACAAACTTGTATATGAGATTTAAGCTCTCACATGCACTACATATAATAATTACAATTTGAATTCATTCACAATTGTTATAGCCCATCTTTAGAACAATTTCATCAATTCCCCAAACGCGCATGATGCAATCTAGAAGCATAGTGTAACACATGTTCTGATTTATTTACAGGAAACATGGGAAATCTGTGATTTTTCTTAACGAAAAAACCCACTCATCATAATTTGTGATGCTTTAACTATAAGTTAAGGTCATAGAAAAACAGGCATTTGATGATGAACAAATTAACCAATAAGCATTGACAAATTAAGTACTTACCTCAAAGCTAGCTAACCCATTTCTTTCATCACAATGCTTGTTTCCACATATGAACTGCCCTGACAAACAAGAAAACTGGTTACTTTCAGAAACTTCAGTTCAGTGACTAATTCCTTATAGTCACTTCTTCAGGAGTTATGAAAAGTCAAAGAAGCATAAACATCAAAGTTCACCATCTCACTGGTATGGCCTACAAAATTGTTGTCACTTCATAGGAAAATTTAAAATCCCATCTGACACTTAATACATAGAGATGGAATTATCTATTGATATATTAATGAGAACAATTTCCAATCTGTGCCAAGGCACTCAGATACACAATAAAGAATTTTTGAAAGAAACAGAATAAAACCTATATTTGATAAGTAGTCTACTTCCTAAAGAAGTTATAGCCATAACAAAAATATACGCACGCATCCAATAATATGACGTTAGACAAATAAACAATCCGATAGATGGAAAGGAGATTTCTAGATCTTATACCATCCCAGCTGTGAGCCATTGAGGTGATTGAACAATAATATATATATACCTTATAAAATTGCCTATTTTATGCCTATTAAGCTCATTGTATTTAAACCATTGTTTTTTAACAAATAAACTTGGGCAATACTATACCAGAGATCCTTTACAGCTAAAGGTACCAAAAGAGACTGTAAACTCTTTGATCGTCTCAGATTAGTTCATTTCGTTTGTGGTTTCCCTAGCCGCCCAGGAAGCACAAAATTCCTCATCAAACCAGCAGTATGAAAAATAGTTAAGAGTATATCACAAAATCCACCAGATGTATAAAGCATACCAGTGGTGTAAGCTAGAATAACCCAAGTAAGTAATTAATTAACTCTGTACCTTACAAAGGACAAAAATGCCAGCAAGCATTGTCATAAACTAACCTTTTCCAGATATGACTTCCTTTTCTGTTCTCCACCTCAAGCCAATCTGTAAAAGAGAGTATTCGTAATCAGAAAAATCATTGAAACTGGTCTCAAGTATATAAACCATGTACCTTGCCACTCTTATATTTTGACATATCAGCTATGCAATATCTACAATGAGTCAAGGCTTTCAACAAGAAACAACCATCTATGCATTTACATTACAAGCTAAATGTCAACAAAAGATGATTCAATATGATATAGGAATCATGGAAACTCTTCATAGACAAGGATACTCTTTAAAAAGCTTATCATAGTAACGCTTGACCAGCCTTTGCTCCCAAGCTGTGTCCATGTCATCTTCTTCAGCGCGTATAAACCTTAACAAGAAAGAAAATAAGGCAGCTACGTCACTACTGATCATAAACAATTCCAGAAGATAGATTTTATACTCAAAGGCCAAAACTTAATAAGAGAAGAATAATGCAGAAAGAAATTCAGCAATATGATCACAACATATTGATTGTGACATTATGTTATTGAATATGGCCAAAGGTAAGTGACACAGAATGCAACCTTAAAAAAACACTAGCACAAAAGATTAAGGCCACTTTGATATAGAAAATAATGTAAAACAGCATAAATTAACGAGTGTCTCAAATAGTCAAGAGAGCATGTTTATAATGTTCACTGTTTTACGAAAAGCTACATCTATGGCAAAAGCAAACGGCACTGCAGCAAGAGTTAACCATGTGTAACTTTAGCATATAGCGTACAGCTGAAGCTACACAATATTTTCCTCAAAGAAGACCACATTTTGATGTCAATACATATCCCTGTCAAAGAGAAACCACATCATATGACAGTATGACACACTTCAATTTTCCAGTATCCTATGATTTCTTATCCCTGTAATCAAGTCAATATACATTTTTATTTTCTTCAATAAATAGATTGAAATATGTCTCCTGTAATAACTTGAAGAATAAACAGCAGAATGTTATTTCTGATTTCATCAACACCCATCCCGCACCCACCCTTCCCCTCCTCAAAATAATTAAACAAAGAAACAAAAAATAATCTAAATTTCAACTTCATGCCAATAACCACTGACACCTGCAGTCATGCACTGGCAAGAGGAAGAACATTCTCATCCTTTTTGGATATTCATGGATTCACCCCATAAGAGTTGACCCTAAGTCAGTGGGGTCATAGATAGAACCCATTCTGGCACAGTCTTAATTTCCAAAATTCATGCTAAATATTCCTAATTCCAAAGTTCAGTTGAAGTCATTTGATTTAAGGTCTCAACTTCAATACAACTTTTTCGCGCACGTGCGCGTGTGTGTGTGTGGTGGTGGTGGTGGTGGTGATGGAGAGGGGCTTTCAAATAAAATAGCAGAATTAAATGTGAGAACTAGAGGATAATGACACTAGCGTGAGCATACAGTAGGATTTACATGTTTCCAAACCCTTTTCCTGACACAACAAGAGAAACAGGAAGCCCTGTAAAACCTATAAAAGGTTAATCACACATACACACAAAGACACCTAGTTTTATTATTTAAAAAGAAATGTTGTCTAGTCTCTTTTACTGTGTTCTAATTTAGTTTCTACAATCTAAAAAACAAGACTTTTACATTTGGCTAAAAATGGTGAGTTGGATACCACTATAGCATTGAATCAATAATCAATAGCTTGAAGCACAAAAAAAGGCTACAAGGCAAACAAGTGTTGTGGCACGTAGAAAAAGACCAAAAACAAAACAAAAAAAAAAAAAAAAAAAAAAAAAAAAAAAAAAAAAACTAAGCCAATTATTAGAATTATGCAAGGCCACATAGGTAAAAAAATATATATATTATAGCAAATATTTCAAAGCTGATAAAGAGAAGCAATTAACATTTTTATTGCAAAAAGTATATCACAAGGAACCAAACTAAACTAAATTCCAGAGCACCAATGATAAAAGAGATTCTGCATCATTAATTAAATATCAAATAGGACCATTAAGATGAAAGACACTGAACTACCAACCTACAGAAAGACAAGAAGAATTGAGAAGCATTACATACCGATATCCCTCTCTCAGGGCATCTTTATCAGTTTTAATAGGTATCTTCTGCTCTGCAGGTCTATCTTTCCCATAATACTTGACTGCACAAGAGGAAATAAGTCTTTTACTATGCTAAAAAACACATATAAACAAAACAGGAGAGGAACACCTTTATGTGGACTATGATCACTATAACTCACATTGTGGAAAATAAAGACAATGCAGATAACTCATATACATCATCAATGTAGAAAACAATAGCCATAATTCACATCTAGAGTCTTATTGTTGTCTTTTAAAAAAGCCATTACTACATGACATATTGACAGGTATTGTACTATATATGCAAGTTACACCTGCGTAGAAGGACATCTGTCAAGCATACATGACATAAGATGTATGGGCTTGCTCACTTGCTGAATTGTTCCTTTTGTTTTAAGCTATTCAGCCAAAACAAAGAGGCTATCCAATTAATAAAGAACATAAAACTCAGGCCATTCAGTATGAAAAAATACTGCAAAGCATCCAACAGACCAACAGTGTAAAAATCATATTTCGGGATAAAAATGCAATACCATTCTCCTCTTTAGGACTAGCATTGACCCCCAATTCCCTTGTGTTCAAATACCAATAATATCCCAGGGGTGGAAGAAGGTAGATTCAATCTTTAAATACACAATAGGATTACAGTTTTCCATTTGCCACCTTGGGAGCTTCTATAGACAATGAAAAGGAAAGTTCTAATACAATAGTCTAGATTAAGTAAACAGCCTGTTTCATAAATGGTCATAAATTTTTGGTTTGGCAGTGAGTTTGTAGCTATATACCTATACTAAAGTGGAGTTTTTTGGAGGGAATTTTCCCTCCTAAAACTCTACTTTATTTTTATTTTATTAATTTATTTTTGCGTAATCATTTATATGTCTAGGAACTTCATTATTTATTTATTATTATGATCGACTGTTGAATTACATTTCTCAAGACTCTTCTATATTTCAATCAACATTATCTAGTATAATACGCAATTAACTACAGCTCAAAAATAAATTTTGGGGGGAATGTCACCTAGGTAAGCAAGGGTTGTTCGGATGACTGTAGCCCCCAACCTCCTTAGTGGAGAGGACTGTTCACCATCCAATTAGTTTAGGGCACCATAATTTGGCAAGTAAAAATGCTCCTTTAAGTGCACATGTCATGGTGCCCAACTTCTACAGAAGAACAATACTGTACTATTATTTTCTAAACCATTAATTAGAGATTCCAATTGATATTGCAACATAAAAACAATTTTTTCTTCAAAAGTTTTCAAGCTAGGATTAACTTAATTGTAGTTTCTTGAGTCGATTAATTCCAATCCCAATACCTAAAACCTAATTCAATCCGAAAATGGTAGAAAAAATATCGATTGATTCCAATCCCGAATACCTAAAACCTAAGTTAATCCAACAATAATAAAATCGCAGAAATACATTGATTGAATCCAATCCCAAATACATAAACCTAAGTTAACCCAAAAACAAAATAATCGCAGAAATACATCGATTGAATCCAATCCCAAGTACATAAAACCTAAGTTAATTCGAAAACACAATAATGTCAGAAAAAATATTAAAAAATATTGAGTATAAGAAAAATACCATAGTCGTTTAAGAATTTCTTGTGTTTATCGTAGGCGTTGAGGCCTCTGATATGAGCTTGATAATGTCTGAACACAAACATCCATCCAAATGTAGCGATGAAAATTAATAAAAAAAAAAAATTGAATGATTGAAAAAGATAAGGGGGATGTAAAGTACTTACTGTTTTCTTTCTTCTCTGTCGAAAATCGCAGATTTTAAAGAGCTGAAGGAAGCCATTAATGGAGGTGACACAATACTGAAGAAGATGGGTTTCTGAATCTGTACTCCAAAAAATAAAAATGGAGAAAGATAAATGTGTCTATCTATTGGGCCTAACATGGCCGGTTATTTTAACATTTTTGTAATGTGAGTTCGGTCATCAATTCGGGTGCATGTGTCCGGTTCGGTGACGTGGGTCGGATCGGGTTTGTTTATTATAAATTTGCGTTTTTCCTAAATTATTATATCTATACGAGTCGAAACTTGAATTTGATTATTTTTGGGTTGAGTTGGTCGGGTTAGTTTTTTACAATTCTAGTTAGTCTAATGTGGTTGAACATTGACCTCTTTAAATGAAAGTATTTGAAAATGTGAAATCTTGTCAAAAAAAATTCGGTGAAAATTTTCAAAATATTAACTTTTTACTCGTATATGTTTAGTTTTTTTACTCATGAATAAGTAAAGATATTAATAATTGAAATAATGCATTGACAAATGTAAAAATAGAAGTGTTCTATCTAGAAAAAATGATATCTTTCGAAACTAGCAAAGTTTATTGTCTTCTATTTAATTAAACACAAACTATTGGGTGCGGCAATCTGCACCCAATAGTTCGTGCGGCGGAGAAGGCAGCGACAGCGACAGCGGCAACGTTAGCCACAGTGACAGCCTTCCAACACCTAAAAAATCTAACACATGGAACCACAATCCAGATCTACATCCCCAAAATACCCAAATAATACTAACAAAAAACGAAATTCCCAAAATCAAAACAAATCACAAATTAAAACAAATAAATCCCCAAAAAACGAAAGATAAGGGTTTCGATTCGCATAGGCTTGAACGGCAGCGACTTGGTGGTTGGTGATTTGCGGTGGGTGGGTGGGTGTGTTCAGTGGTTGGTGGGTACGGTGGGTTCAATGGGGTCGCGTGGGGTTTGGGGCTGATTTGAGAAAGAAAGAGTGGAAGGTTCGGTGGTTGGTGGGTGCGGTGGGGTGGGGTGGCTTGGGATTTGTGCCTGATTTGAGAAGTTGGAGAAGAAAGTAGATGAGCAAATGAAATGAACCTGGTTCATTTGAAAGAAGAGAAAGAAAGAGAGGAAGATGGGGAAAGAGAAGAGAAAGAAGGAAATGAAAGTATACATGTATGTTGTTAATCATGTTAGCCAACAAAAGACACATATCAGCCATTAAAATGAACATATCAGCCAATTGATGTCTGATTTCAGTCAATATTAAAGATATACCAGGCATAAATAAAAATGTATCAGCCAACAATAGATACATATCAGTCAACAAGAGGAATATATTAGCCAATAAAAAGTTCTTATCAGGCAACAGAAGAAACATATTAGCCAACAAATGAAGCATATCAGCTAACAAAAGGATAAAATCAGCAAACAAAAGCAACAGATAAGCAAACAAATTAAACGTATCAGCCAACAAAATGAACATGTAAGCCAACAATTAAAATATACATATTAGACAACAAAATAAAGATATCAGCCAACTAAAAAAACATATCAGTCAAATGATATCTGATAGCAGCCAACAAAAGGAACATATTAAAAAAAAAAAATTAAAAAAAAAAAAAAACATATCAGCCAACACAAAAACCTATCAACCAACAAATGAAACATACCAGCCAACAAGTGAAATATATCAGCCAAGCTTGCTACACGCAAATTTTCGTACGACAATCCGCATGCAATATCTTCTCTTAATTAAATCCTTAATAAATACGAATGTTTGTACATATTACTTCATAATTAAGCGTGTGGCATACAAGTAACGTTTATAATCTTCAACTCTTATAACTAGTTTGATCACACAAGTTTAATAACCAATACTCTATCTAGGGGCGGAGCTACATTGGTACACACTAATGCACGTGCATCACCAGACTAAGAAAAAAAATGAAGTTCAATTTTATTTTATTTTTTTTAAAAAAAATCAATCAAATAGGACCGGTTATTATAAATGACCGGTCTCTTAGATGCTACTCCTCCATTTTAAAATATTTGCTCAATTTTTACTTTTTGCACTATTCAATTGTCCAACTTTGACAAATATTTACGATTTATACATAAGAAAAAAATATGGTCTTGTGGGTACCTGTTGGAATTGTCTCAATGAATAGATTATTAATTTTCAATTGTTAGAATTTATACTTATTGTAATTAAAGATATTATTGGTCAAAGATTAGCATCGGCATACATGCCCAGGAGATATGGAGCAAATATTAAAAAACAGAGGGAGTAGCAGTATTGTAGTATTTACTCCCGCTGCTTTCTTTTTTATTCTTGTTGCTTTCTTTTTATTAAAATCTAAGGTCATTTTTTTGCTACTATTAAGAGTAATGGGTCAAAGAGACCGGTTATATTAAACAACCGGTCTGTAAGGTCATTTTACTTTTATTTTATTTTTGCTACTATTGAGAGTAATGGGTGGGTGCTATTTGTTTGTTACATGTTATTTGTAGTATTTTCGACTAGCAAGATAGATTTTTTTAAGTACTATTTGGTTGCAGTGTGGATTTTTGTGTCCTATTTTTGGATTGAAATCAATTATGAACTAGACCCGATTTTGTTTTTTTAATACTTTTCAGATGTGATTAATGGTGACCCACCATCTCGGAAATCCTAGATCAGTCACTGACTCTATTATACTATCTAATTGGAGTATGCGTAGGTAGTTTCTCTTAAAAAGTTTTAGTTGAGTAGAGTTAACGTCATAGTGAGAGGAAATTTTGGCAGATCTAAAGTAATGTAAATTTAATTGGATGGCGTCAAATACTTATGACACAAGGCAAAGTCAAAGAAATAAACTTAAAAAGAAAATTGGGACAATATTAGAGGGATGGTAATTGATAAGTGATCATATTCAGTGTAGTTTAATTGTTTATCAAGTGACAAAGTTATTTTGAGGTAGTGGTTTTACCCTGATACTTCAATAAAATAAAGTCCTGTTTTCTTCACATGATTTGTCTTGGAGCTGAAATTATTATTGCAAAACTTTTAATATTCAAATATGATGAAGAAAACATAGCTTAATTAAACTAACAATTTCGATTCGATTTATTTACAAAATTGTCAAATAGTGTAATTTATTTTCACCTTTACCAGTGAATCGGTGATAAACTTGAATTTTTTCAGTACTTTGTAAGACCGTAACGGAGGAAGGAGAATAAAAAAACGTACAAAACCCAAATGTTACAGTATACTACTATACTGTGTATAAAAATGTGAAAAAAAATACACAAAAAGGTCAAAAACACTCTGAAGGCGACAGAGGATAGGATTAAGAAACACAAGAAAAGTTGTGTGAACATTCGTAAAATCGTAATAGTCAACACTTGTCAAGTTTTGATTTAAGGTTGTTAGAGATAACATGAAGCCAAAGCCCAAAAAAGCCGAAAAATATGGTCACATGAAGAATGTCTTTTATTTATTTATTTATTATTATAGTTATAAAAAACATACAATTATAGAATCAAGGTACTCGTAATTAATTAAAGTTAATGATAATGAACACTTGTTAAGCAGCACTTGAGTCAAGTTTGTTGTATAAAATGATGAGCAGAGATTGTCGGTAATAAGGCTAATTACACCATTAACACTTTGAAAAATGACAAATCAAAGTCGTTTTCGTAACATTAAAGCCAGATTATCAAACGAATAACTCTCTTACAACTCAACTAAGTTAATAATCTTACTTTATTTGTTCATATAAATTCATCTTCAACTTTCATTACACTGACAACTGTATGTGTTGGAACAAAACCCTACTACTAATTCCAATATTTTAAAATTAAAATTCATCGATAATCTCTTCTTCAATTCAAAGATCATGAAATAAAACTGCCCTTAAACCCCAACTTTGGTTCATTTCCATAAAGACCTAACTGTTAATTAAAGGTTTGATTTTTATTTTGATTTTGTCCAAGAATCAATCTTTTTTCATCATTTTATCTAGGGTAAAATTTATGTTACTTGTACAATTGAGTTAATCTGGTTCGATCATAGCAGAAGTTTTCGCAAATGAAGATGGCAGAAAACGAGGTTAGTACATTTCTTGTTATAATTTTATTTGTTTAATTAATTAGCATAATTTTTTTGAAATTATAGGGGATTTTTTAACATAAAAATAAAAATGATGAGTTATGAATATATTTGGACAGGAAAAGGGAAAGTGGGTGACTGAAAAATCATGCGAAATATGCGGACAAAATGTAGGAAAAGCAGTGAATGGGGAAGCATTTGTAGCGTGTGATGAATGTGGATTTCTAGTTTGCAGGCCTTGTTATGAGTATGGAAGGAAGCAACCTTATCAGTCTTGTCCTCAATGCAAAACTAGATACAGGCGTCACAAAGGTTAAATTTTTATTAACTTTTTCGGGTTTTTGATTGACTGCGTATTTAATTACTTTTTACTGCATGGGCATTTTATTAAATTAAATCAAGTTCTGCTAAAGTTGTAACGCTGAATTAGTATAGTTTATTGTAGTTATTTTAATCTATTATGTTATGGGACTGTTAAGTTGAGTGTGGGATGAAGTTGTTATAATGGGATGTGTTTATTTTATGGATAATAGTATTAGGAAGTCCTGCTGTTCATGGAGATGTTGAGGAGGATGCTGATTCTGATTTTAATCAGAATGATAAACTTAATACTGCACACCGCTCGCTCGGCTATGAGTTGGGGAAGACTGCTGCTCCTAGCTATGCCATTGCCAGGCGTGAGGTGTCTGGAGAGTTATCTACTGGATCGCCTGATCGTTACTCTGTTGGCTCTGCCGGAGTTTATGGAGGAAACAAATGTATGTTGTGTAATCACATCACTTTCAATATTGTATCCTTGTACCCTGGATATTTGTCTGTTTCCTTATTACTGTACTTTTGCAGCTCATACCGGAACAGCTGATACTTCCAGAGAATTCGGCATGCCTCCCTTGGGTAATATAGCCTGGAAAGAGAGAGTTGATGGATGGAAGATGAAGCAGGATAAGAATGTTGTGCCAGCTAATAGTACTCGTCCTCCATCTGAAAGAGGTGCTGATACTGATGCTGCCACTGATATATTAGATGAGTCTTTACTGTAAGTTCATATCTCTACTTCTTAATTTAGGCTGTATCTGTCATATATCCTTGTACATTTGCTAAACTTCAGATTTATGATTAAGCTTTTCTGAATCATTATTTGTCACTTAGATTTGCATTTTCTGTTCCCTTGAAAGCTACATTACTCAGAATTCAGAAATAAGCTACTTTGATGTCTTGATTCTTCCTCGGTTTTATGCAGGAATGATGAAGCTAGGCAGCCGCTGTCAAGGAAGGTCCCCATCCCGTCATCTAAAATTAATCCTTACAGGATGGTCATTGTTCTCCGCCTTGTGATTCTTGGAATTTTCTTTCACTATCGTATTACTAATCCTGTTCCCGGTGCCTATGCTCTTTGGCTCGTATCAGTTATATGTGAGATATGGTTTGCTATATCCTGGATATTGGATCAGTTTCCTAAATGGCTTCCTGTAAACCGTGAAACCTATCTCGACAGGCTTTCTCTAAGGCAAGGCCTTTTCCTTATTAGGATTCCATCTGTTATATATTCATGTTTGATCTTAAACCATCTATATTTTGTACGTCACTAAAAGTGGTTTGATGTTGATAATAGATATGACCGTGAAGGGGAGCCTTCTCAGTTAGCTGCAGTCGATATATTTGTTAGTACTGTCGATCCCTTGAAAGAGCCTCCTCTTGTGACGGCCAACACAGTTTTGTCCATTCTGGCTGTTGATTACCCAGTTGACAAAGTTGCATGTTATGTGTCTGATGATGGAGCAGCCATGTTAACATTTGAAGCTTTGTCAGAGACATCAGAGTTTGCAAAGATGTGGGTTCCTTTCTGCAAGAAGTATGACATTGAGCCGAGGGCTCCTGAATGGTATTTTGCTCAAAAGATTGACTATCTGAAAGATAAAGTTCAGACATCATTTGTCAAAGATCGCAGGGCTATGAAGGTAAGATTGTTTTATAATGGCCGCGCTTTTGCTTTGCGATATACGGAGTTGAGTATACATTGTCACTTATAATTCTTTTGTTGCAGAGGGAATATGAGGAATTTAAAGTCCGCATCAATGCTCTGGTCGTCAAGGCACAGAAAGTCCCGGAAGAAGGATGGGTGATGCAAGATGGCACTCCTTGGCCAGGAAACAATATTAGGGATCATCCTGGCATGATTCAGGTAACCTACTTTTTAGTTTCACTCTTCCTTAACTGAATAAGAACCTTCCATCTTCCCCCACACCTAGCAAATGAAGATAGAATTTTGGCCCCTGGGGCATACTTGACCAATCTGGAGTCTTTTTTTTTTTTTTTTTTTTTTTTTTTTTTTTGGTATACTGGTTCCTTTGGCTGGTTTACATCATAGCATGTCTAGACTCTTGGCTTTATAGTGTGCCAAGATTATTTATCTAGTGTTTAATATTGTTTCTGGATTCATGTTGGTTCTGATCTTTTTTATGCATCTTAATCCCATTCTTTAACTTGAATTGCAGATTTTCTTGGGTCAAAGTGGAGGGCTGGATACTGATGGCAATGAGCTGCCGCGTTTGGTCTATGTTTCTCGTGAGAAGCGTCCAGGATTCCAACATCACAAGAAGGCTGGTGCTATGAATGCACTTGTAAGTATAAAACTCAAACTTCTGTGATCTGTGACTTAATTGTAACGATGTTTGCTTGTCTCTATACTAAAGCATGAAATGATACCTTGACAGGTTCGAGTCTCTGCAGTTCTTACCAATGGGCCATTCTTGTTGAATCTTGACTGTGACCACTACATAAACAACAGCAAGGCCTTGAGAGAAGCTATGTGTTTTATGATGGATCCAAACCTTGGAAAATATGTTTGTTATGTGCAGTTTCCGCAGAGGTTTGATGGTATTGATAGGAATGATAGATATGCCAACCGCAACACTGTTTTCTTTGACGTAAGTCTCACATTTGTCTTAGGTTTGTTGCTATAGAGGTTTTCATTGTTGTCCTTAGTAGGAATAGTACCACCCTCTGAAGGTTTCAGCAATGGTAGTACTACGAAATTACCAATGCTGCTTCTGGATTTCAGATTAATTTGAGAGGATTGGATGGCATTCAAGGTCCAGTTTATGTGGGTACTGGTTGTGTATTTAATAGAACTGCATTATATGGTTATGAGCCCCCTCACAAGCCCAAGAACAAGAAAAAGGGATTATTGTCATTACTCTGTGGTGGATCACGGAAGAAAAGCTCAAAAGCAAGTAAGAAGGGCTCTGACAAAAAGAAATCTAGCAAGCATATTGATCCTACTGTGCCAGTTTTCAATTTGGAGGATATTGAAGAAGGCATTGAAGGTATATTAAATATCATTTGTTGTTATCTTTAGCTGACAAAACTCTAGGTGTTTAGCTTGTGATTTTGTTGAAGCAACATTGGTAAACAATACACTGTTTGCAGTAGTTGACATTAGACAAATAATGTTTCTCTTTGCAAGTAGCCATGATCCTTAAAATATCACCATCTTTAATTCCATTCTTTATAGAGGAATTTTCCCTTTCTTTGTTAAGGGGTGGTGGGTCTCTTACCCTTACAACTCATGTGAGGTTATAGTTGGTCCTTACAAACTTCTGAAACAGGTTCTGGATTCGACGATGAAAAAGCTATGCTCATGTCTCAGGCTAGTCTGGAGAATAGGTTTGGTATGTCTACTGTCTTTGTAGCTACCACACTAATGGAAAATGGCGGAATACCACCAGACACGGACTCTGATACACTCCTAAAGGAGGCCATTCATGTCATTAGCTGTGGTTATGAAGACAAAACAGATTGGGGAAGTGAGGTGCGTGAGCTTTTCACCATTTACTCCAATTTTTATCGTGCTCAACATTTTGACCTCGTTGATATGTAACTGTTTACTAAGTTGGATTTTGCATGTGTATTGAGGCAGCCTTACATTGTGTAAATTGAAAATAGTGGCAGCAGAGTTGTTGCTATCATGAGTGTCATCTCATTACCATATAATGACTGACTGACCTCTCACTTTTTTTATTTTGGGGAATAATAATAATTTCTTGTTCAAATTTTTTCTTATACGAGCTACTTCTTGAGCTAATTGATCAATGCCACAGTACTTGTTTTGGTTTCGTCGTCCTTGATTTGCAATTGGTGAATTGATGCCTGTAGTCTAATTTATTTGCTTTCGTGTTATAATGTCTATGGTTGTGCCTCAAAGATAGGAGCAAAATAAACCAGTAAGGTTTATAGCCTTGGTTTGATATTTTTTGCCTGGACTCTGGATCATTAACTTTTGTCTTGGCCTGCAGATTGGATGGATTTATGGTTCAGTGACGGAAGATATTCTGACGGGCTTTAAGATGCATGCTCGTGGTTGGCGATCAATTTACTGTATGCCAAAGCGCCCAGCCTTCAAAGGTTCTGCACCTATTAACCTTTCTGACCGGTTAAACCAAGTGCTTCGGTGGGCTCTTGGCTCTATAGAAATTCTTTTCAGTCGGCACTGTCCTATTTGGTATGGGTATGGTGGAAGGCTCAAATGGCTTGAACGCTTTGCTTATGTGAACACCACTATTTATCCCATCACTTCCATTCCTCTTGTTTTATACTGTACTATTCCCGCTGTCTGTCTGCTGACAAGCAAGTTCATTATCCCGCAGGTATTTTCTTCATCCCTTAAACGTTAGCCACATAATATATAAGTTGCTATCTAAGCTCTTTATCATCTCACTGTCAAGCATGTAACATGTTCTTGATTTGGGATCAAACTATTGACTCGAGTTTATTTTGTTAGATAATGCTAACATCTGCACAATGTATAAATGCATGCTCCTGCACTTAACTTGTGATATTCTGAGTATTGAATGTGGTTTGATTGGCAGATCACAAATCTGGCAAGTATCTGGTTTATATCCCTCTTCTTATCCATCTTTTCAACGGGTATATTGGAGATGAGGTGGAGTGGTGTAGGCATAGACGAATGGTGGAGAAACGAGCAGTTTTGGGTGATCGGTGGTGTTTCTGCTCATCTGTTTGCAGTGTGTCAAGGTCTGCTAAAAGTTCTAGCAGGCATCGACACCAATTTCACAGTGACCTCCAAGGCCTCAGATGAAGACGGTGATTATACAGAGCTATACATGTTCAAGTGGACAACCCTGCTTATCCCTCCCACAACCCTTTTGATCATAAACTTGGTGGGAGTGGTGGCAGGCATCTCAAACGCAATTGACAGCGGGTTTCAGTCATGGGGTCCGTTGTTTGGGAAGCTGTTCTTTGCACTGTGGGTGATTCTACATCTTTATCCTTTCCTTAAGGGTCTAATGGGACGTCAAAACCGAACCCCAACTATAGTGGTGGTGTGGTCAGTCCTCCTAGCATCCATATTCTCTCTGTTATGGGTTCGAGTGAATCCGTTCATAACGAAGGTGACGGGGCCTGATCTGGAGGTCTGTGGCAACTATTGTTAACTGAAGAGATAGAGATTTATATGAGATGATGGAAGATTGTGGAATTAGTCAAGAATAGAGTAGTGATGTCCATATTAATGATTAGATGATATTATAATTGGTTAGGTAGCTAGCTATTTACTGAAGCAAGTTAAGTCAGCACTCCTGATGTGCTGCAATTCTGCTGAAGATATGAGCATGGAAGGCAAGCAATAGTATTACATTGTTTGTGACTTGCTGCTTGCTAGTGTGTATTCTCTAATCTGTATTACTATTATTATTATTATTGGATTCATATACTACTTGGTATTATTATCAGTATATTAAATATTATTGGATTGGACAAGATCTCTGCAACATATACATACATGAATTTTTTTATTTTTTTATTTTTTTTAATTTTAAATTTGTGTTGAAATTGAAGAAAAAAGTAGTGGAATATAACTTTCCAAAAAAAAAATAGTGGAATAGAAAGAGCACACATAGGCTCGAAATAAAAAAATAAAATAAATAGGATCTTATTATCGAGCGCTCAATATATTACCTAAAATAGTATAGTATTAAGTTTGAAATACACGCTAAAATCATGCGTTTATTTTACTTTTATTTTCATTTTTACCTTGCTTATCTAACGTTCGGGATATTCGTTAGTTTTTGCCAAATAAAAATATCTTGTATAGAATCATGACGAAAAAGACAACCCAAAGTCCAATGGATAAGTTAAAATAATAATTGGGTCGATCCATACAGATACGGCCCCCCAAGACCCATACCCAAATATCAAATCTGTACATATCTTGTTGTAAGGACGTATACTCCGATCCATTAAAATTATTTTATTATTATTTTTTGTGAAAGTTAAAATTATTATTATTATTATTATTATTATTATTATTATTATTATTATTATTATTATTATTATCAGCTTCCTACTTACGTGGCTTCATAAGAAGGAAGTTAGCTGTCCATAAAGACGCGTGGCAATTCGTCCTTAATTGAGATAATTCCATATAAATCTAATCTACTACTATGAACTACTATTGCTACAAATCTCTTCATTTTCTAAACTACAATATCTACACTACTAAGCTGCCTTATTCCTCAAAAACTTGTAAACTTAAAATACTATATCATATAAAATTTTTAAACAATCTTTGATTAGCTTCTATTAATTATAAGTTATCTCAACTTAACCAACTTTGTAGTTAATTGAAGCTAGCTATTATACGTACTAATTATGGCAGTCACTCAGCAGCCTATTCTTTCTAGGCTTGACCGTCTTGATAATTTGGTAAGTACTCGTTTAATTTTTTTTATTTTTTTTTATTTTGGTGTTTAGAGAGTACAACGGTAGGTGATGAGAACCGATTCCAGGATTATCTGGAACTGGGAGGGGAGCTCTAACCACTTGAGCTATCACTTGAGCTATCCCTCACTCTCTATGTACTTGTTTAATTAACTTTATGTACATTTTGATATGAATTACGGATTATAGTACTTGTTTTATTAATTTGGTATGTTGTTTTTATTAGATGAGGCATTTGGAGAACTTAAGAGGGTCAAACCGATCTCTAAAGAGTTCATCACCATCTACACCATCAAGTGGGACTCGTACAAGCGATGTCGAATTCTTTTCGCCTAGGAGCCTTGACAAGTTAAATTGCCGCCCCATTGACGACGTGATTGTCGAAACGGAGCACAAAGGTACCCTCCTTAATAGGGTTTCCCTCATCGAACAACGCCTTCTCAAGGTATATATATGTAATTCTAATTTTTGTGTTGTTTGACTATTGTTCATAATTTTTTCTTTTCTTTTTTTTTTTTTTTGAAAGAGACTATTGTTCATAATTTAGTAAAGAGGAACTGATAGTGATAATGGTCAGTTATGCATGCAGCTTGAACAAGAAATGGAGAGAGAAAAGCAAGAGAAAGATCGAGAGGAGAAGTCTTCACATAGTCATAAGAAAGCCGGTTTGAAGCAATTTGTTAAATCTTGTGTTAAAGGAAGCAAGAACAAGTCCAATAATAAATAATTGCTACTACTAATCTCATTTTACAAGGGATGTTAATTAGTTAGTACGTACTCGTAATTACTACTTGTATTTATTAGTGCAACCAAAAGGGATCTTAGTTTTTCTGTTTTTATTTTATTTTATTTCTGTTTGTAATGTTTGGATCTTCTCAACTTTCCTTTTTATTATATTATTTGTTGAAAGGAATCTTTTGAAGCTTCTTCTTCAATGCGTGTAACGATATTGGATAATATGTACGAGTATATAGTATATGGTGGCATCATTCTGCTTCTTTAATTTGGCTTCACGTACCTTTTAGATTTTTTTTTTTTTTTTTTTTTTTTTTTTTTTTTTTTTTTTTGTTTTTACGTTTACCTTTTCGTTTGCAATTTTTAAATTAGATCAAATCCGTCACAATAATCGTCTCGAAATCACAACAGATTACATAAAGAGTCTTAGACCTCCTCTTGAAAGGTTGTTTTAGACTACCACACGGAAGAGGTATATGTTGAAAGTCGGATCTCATTTCACAATAGATAGATTGTAAGACCTCTTGGAAGGTTATTTTAAACTACCATATGGAAAAGGTATGTTGGAAGTCAGATCTCACTCATTCACAACAATAATGGTCATAGATTTGCAAAGCTGAGTTTAATTTGATTCAGTTTGATATGTATTTGTTAAATTCTTAGGTTTTTACTTACTCCACCATGAGACGGGGCAAACATCAAACTATGTGTAGACTTATTGCAATTAAGATCGAAAATTTAAAGTTAAACAAAAGAAAAAGGTTGAAATTAGTCTAAATTTCGAATAATTTATACCTAAACAGCCAAAAAATATTAAAATATGTGAAGGCTATTCCGTATTTTGAAATGGGTGGAAACATTTGGGCTCACATACAAATTACTTTGTTATAAACCATCCACTACGTAATACTCTATTCGTCTCAAAATATATAGGACGTTGGGTTTTCTTAACATTCATGTATTAGCTTTGATAAATTTTTTACTAACATATAAAACACAAACTATTAGTCCGCACCAAAAGTTGGTGCGGCAGCGGCAACAATTCTTAACTGGTGGTTCTGGGAAGCAGCGGCGGCGATCCTAGTATTCAACCTCAACATCAAAGTACTCATCCTTAACCCTAACATCAAACAATCAAACCTAAGCAACTTACAATCAACCAATCAAACGCCAACAAAAACCTAAAGAATCGAAAAAAAATCGCAAGCAAATAAGAGTTTAATACCATTGCGAAGATCGATGCTAGCTTTGTTACAGGTGGTTGTTGTAGGGATGTGGATTTTGGTGGCTGGAAATTCAAGGGCTGCTCTGCTTGTGGTTGGTGGCGATTGGTGGTTGTTGTGGGAAAGCGGGTTTCGGGTTATGGTTGGAGATGCGACATACTGGTGGTTGCGGGGGTGGTGGGTTCAGTGGTTGGTGATCGGTGGAGTGGCATGGGATTTGTGGCTGATTTAAGAAAGAAAGAGAGGAAGGTTTGGTGGGTGGGTTCGGTGGTTGGTGGGTGCGGTGGGGTGGCATGAGATTTGTGGCTGATATGAGAAGTTGGAGAAGAAAGGAGGTGAGTAAATGAAATGAACGAACAAGAGAAAGAAGGAGGGGAAGAGCGAGAAAGAGGAGAGAGAGAAGGAAACGAAAGTATACTGTATGTTGTTAATCATATTAGCCAATAAAGGATGAATATCAACCATTAGTATGAACATATCATCCAATTGATGTCTGATATCAGTCAACATTAGGGACATTAATAAAAACGTATTTGTAGACACCTGACTATGTCTCCCCAGAAACCAAATCCAGTGATGAGTACCTTTCACGTATTTGATTATCGAGTTAGGTGAAGAGTTGAAGAGTCTCGTGAATTCTCTTTAGCCTTGACCATTTCTAACCTTTCTTAAAATGTTTTTAGCCAAAATCATTTAATTTGTGCCCTTAAACTCAAAATAGCTCATTTCGTGTCATCTTTACAAAAACGTCCAAACTAATTTATTTTGGTCCATAATCTGGGTCCAATTATTGTGTAGTTGGATGGGGTTGAAAAGAGTTTTCCATCGATATATTTTAAGCTCAAATGCGAGTTATAATGAGAAAGTTATGGCCAAAATACTAAACTGGGCCCAAACCGAGCCTTACCTACGGACCCAATGATCATGTGGAGGGTGCATTAACCTTAAACATCATTTCTAAAACCCTAAGGATTTATTATTGGCTTCTAGAATCTTCTAGAAGGTTCTAGTTCTAATTTATCCTTTTTTTGAAAAGATAAAGACTAAGAATTTTATATCGGATAAAACACTTGTTTTATAATAGATTTAGTTATGATAAAATAAGGATAATTACGGATATTTGACTAACTCAATTTCATTGGAAGTCGGATTCCGTACAGATCTTATCTTCTGAAAAGCATCGCGTGACGATGGAAATATCGCACAGCGATGGATCCATCGTCACGCGATGAAAGCTGTTTAACTCCAAGTCGAATTCTGACTCTTTTTCTGATATTTTCCCTTGTTTTTCCCTATAAATAAGGTCGTTTTTCTCCGTTTTCATTCACCGACAATCATCATCTAATCCTCTCTATAAGATATAAGCTTCTCTTTATCTCTCTCTCTCTCTTTCTTAGCCTTAGCCTAAATACATCACACACCGTACGACCTTTGCGAGACTTGAATACTCCAAGCCAATCTCGTAGTTGCCTTTGACCTCGACGTGAAAGGTTGATAGTTCTTAGGGTTTGGTCCCAAATCTATATTTAAATTATTATTTGATTTAATCTTTCTTGAAGTTACTAACGTGTGTATTATTTTGATAGAAAGAGATACGAGGCATCAAAGTGAGTATATCTACTATCTTAATTCCTTGCTTTAAAAGTGAGTAGAAACCATGCTTAGAATATTATTTTAATTCCTAGTATCATGTTGATTTTGATTTCTGGTATTATGTTAGGGTGTTAATTAATATTTCTAATATCATGCTTCCTAGTATCATGTTTAGGCTAAAGCTTTGATTTTTATTATTTAGTAACATGCTAGGGTTTGTTACTAATCCGTTTAGTATCACGCCTAGGATCTTGCTAATATTATTTTGGAGATATTGCTTTATTATGATGATGATTTGTTGTGTCAATAATTATCATCTTGCCTGATTATGGTGATATTTATTGTTAGGAAAAATTCATGGCAATAATCCGACCTTTAGCCCATTCTTTTTTAATAATCCGACCTTTTGATTATTATTTAATAATCCGATCTTTGGGGGTCTTTAATTTTTATTGGTCCTAACCGGTCATGTAACCTGTTATGACACGTGGCAGCTTGTGATTGGTAAAAAAAAAATTAAATTTTTTATAATATTTAGAAAAAATTTAAAGAAAAAATTAAATAAAATTAATAATTATTTACAAAACCACCACCACCCAAGCCTTCTCCGCTGCCCCTAACACCCCTGCCCCGTGGCTCCGGTCACCAGGACCCCAACGACAGCGCCGACGCCGGCTTTGGCCTAAACCCCCTTGCCCGAAGCACCAACCCGCCTCCTGCCCTCACGAAACCAGGCAACGTCACCTCGAAAACTCAGGCTACGACCGTCGTACCCCTCCCCCTGAACGCGCCGACCACCGTATCCCTCCCCATGAACCACCAAACACCTTTGAAACCATTCCCTGTCCCGATCGCGACCTCCCTCCCCCTTCTTACCTTAGATGATGCTTTAATGGAGGGGAGAGAAAGCTCAAAAATTTCTTTAACGGAGGAGAGAGAAAGCTCAGACGCCGCTTCAATGGAGGACAGAGTGAGAGAACGTACAACGAGACGGCAACCTTCTCTTCGGTGGTGGTTGGAATCGGGGTGGGGGAAGGGGGGAGGCTGGTAGGGTGGTTTTGGGGTTCGGGTTTGGTAGGATGGTGGTTCTAGGGTTTGGGTGGTGGTGGGGATGGTGGTGGGCCGGTGGCTGAAATGGATTTTGGGTTTTTTAATTTTTTTTTTTGTTTTTTTTTACCAATTATGTAATGACACGTGTATTTTAAACCCAAAAACAAAAAAAAATTACCTCTTCAACCGGTTTCTGGTCAAATGGGAACAATAAAAATTAAAGACCCCCAAAGGTCGAATTATTAAATAATAATCGAAAGGTCGGATTATTAAAAAAGAATGGGCTAAAGGTCGGATTATTGCCATGAATTTTTCCTTATTGTTATTGCTTGATCACACCCTTTCTTGCAGGTTTAAAGGGAATCTGTACTTGAAATCACGCCTAATAAGATAATTAATAATTTGTTTTAGGCTAATATGATTTTAATTCAAGTGAACGCCAATAATAGATTTGATTGTGCATTAATAAAACAGGTTTAGGGCTAATTTGATGAATGTATGTTGATCAGAAAGCGCACATGAATATCATAAGAATTAAGTAGAGGCCGATTTAGGGCCGATTCAATCTCTTTTAGGTTGGATTCGTACCATCAATTTCCGAATATCCAGTCATGGTTCCGGACCACTATGGAGTTAGCGATCTATGTGATCGTGAATGGGGTGTAACCTTCACACTTGTAGACGATTTACAAGTTCCTAAAACTTGTTGACGACTCTTTTATCTCTAGCTTCTTTCCCTTTGGACGCCACCATGCTTAAATGCATGATCACAATGGGGCTCGAAGTTGATGTTTGAAATATTTCCTACAGTATCAGCCAACGAAAGGAATATATCAGCTAATTAACAATAGATACATATCAGCTAACAAGAGGTACTTATCAACCAACAGAAGGTACTTATCAGCCAACAAAAGGATGAAATCAACAAACAAAAGCAACAGGTAAGCCAACAAAATAAACATATCAGCCAACAAAATGAAACATATAAGCCAACAATTAAAATATACATATCAACCAACAAAATAAAGATATCAGCCAACTAAAGAAACATATTAGCCAAATGATGTCTGATAGTAGCCAACAAAAAGAACATATCAAAAATTAGAAAAAAAAAAAAATATCAACCAACAAAAGGAATATATTAGCCAATACATTAAGCATATCAGCCAACAAGTGAAATATATCAGCCAAGCCTGTCACACGCAAATTTTCGTGCGGTAGTCCGCACCTAATACCTTATCCATATAAAAACATATTTTATCATAAAATATGTTATTAGATAGTTATTAATATAAAGTTTCATAATATAATTTTTAAAATAATTATCATTAATATTTAATTATTATATAAAAATAAAGTCAAACTAGTGCATTGGCATGTCCGCATGTGTGCAATGTTGACTGTGTCAGATATTATGGGACGGAGGGAGTTATTGAATGACAAGTTTTGTGTGTCTAATCACATGGTGTGAACTAGAAGTGATCATAGGGCGGACCAGTTCGAAGGGAAAGAAATAAGCTAGTTATGTTGGACTGAATTGGTTCAGGCTGAAAAACTTGCTCAAAACCAATAATGTTAGACTGGGCCTAGCAAACTATTTGGGTTGGGCCAAAAAATTTAACAACAATTTTTTGAAGTAGTTTGTCCATGGCCCGTCCAAAAAAAAAAACACTAACAACTTCGGGCTAGGACTTTATGTTTAAAACCCACCCAAATTTGGGCCGAGTCGGGCCAAGCCAACTTGATCACTGGCTCACTGCTACAGTGCTACTTTGACAACTGACAACATTTGTTTTTAAAAATAATACTTATTCAATTTATTAACTACCGAAGTACTAAAAAAATTCACTTGTTTATAAGAGTAACTTTACTTTTAAATTCTGTTGCAGTAAGCCAATCTATTTATTATCATAGCCCCATTATCCAATTAATTTTCTTATACTCCAGATCCATCTATTATATAAGTGAAGGGAAAGACTTTGGTGTCCACCTAAAAAAACCACAATATTTCTCTTTCTTTAAATTTGAGTAATAAAGATAGGTTTTTTTTTTATTTTTTTTATTTTTTTATTTTTTTTTAAATAAAAACAATCAATCAGTAAATGAAAAAAAAAAATAATCAATATGCAAAAATTTACATAAAACAAAAATCAATTACTTGAATTAAGTCTAAAAATAAATAAATTACGAGTATATTATTTATTTTTTGTGTATATAATCCATCAATTAATACATATTCTAAATTTTCAATCAATGAAAGAATTTATACAATCAAAATTATCTTTCATAAATTATTAATTACTTAATTTATGAATATATATTAGTAAGTTTGATATTGTTCAATTTTATATTTTGCATTAGTATTGATGTTTATATGTCGACGATGAAATATTGTCAATCAAATTTCATTAGTTGGAATACCGAGTTCAATTGTCTACCTTCATCATTTATATCCACGGATGTTTAACATTTTTTTTCCATTATATACATGTGACAAAATCGTATTAAATAGTTAAAATATATAATTTTATAAACTATCGCACGCATCACATGTATATAGAATTTAAAGAGCAGTTAGGCCCTGTTCACTTCACTTACAAAAATTATATTTAGTCAAAATAAGTTCAGTTCAGCAAAAATAAGTTCAATTCAGTAAAAATAAGTTCAGTTCAATTAAAATTAGTTCAGTTCAGTAAAAATCAGTAACTTTAAAGAAGAAATATAACAGAAAATCAATAAAAATAATTTTAGTTCAACAAAAATAATTCAAATTCTGTAAAATTAATTTCAGTTCAGTAAAATTAATTTAATTTCAGCAAAAATAAAGTGAAGTAATCGGGGCTTTAATTATATAAATTGTTGGTGCATATAAGAATTTGTGTTATTAATTTTTTTTTTTATTACCGTTCTTGAAAATTTCTGATATACAGAATATTCAATTGTAAAAATACCCTTCAAAAATCGAGAAAAGAGAAAAAAAAAAAAATCCATTAAAAAAGAGCAGGCTTAAGAGCAATACATGTATGCTTGTAAGTTGTAACTAGAGTGAGTTGACTCTTTCACGAAACATAGAAATTTCATTACTAGTAAGCAGAATTTCTCCATTAATGTGAAATTTGGGATTAATTTCATTTGACTTTCATTGGAATTTGGAGGGCAAGAGGAGGGGAAGGGTGCACAGCAGAGCCGACCAGTATACTGCAGTAAAGTCTGGAGTTGCAGCTTCGTTTATCTCTCTTCTTTTCACACACATTGTCTCTTTCTCTCTCGTTTTCAATTCATTCTTTTATGAATTGATTTGAAGTAGATAGAGTTGAATCTATCAATTTTATTTATTTAATCACATTGCTATTATCTTACTTAGGTTTCTGGATTGACTCATTTGTTCGATTTACTCATCTTTTGGTAAGTTTTTCTTTCTTTTTTGTTGTTTAATTGTTGGGTTCTTGAGATCCATTGCTTTCGATTTCTGTATTGTCAATTCTTTTATAATCACTCATAAAAACATCAAATGCAAGCTTTGAAACTAATTTATAGCATACCATGTACTCAATTTTACATTTTTTTTTAATAAAGATTTTACCTTTGAAGATAAATGGGGTTGACATTTTGATTGAATAATTAAAGGAGACAGATTTCTTAATTATCACTCTTTGTTTTCTTCATTTGTGTTATCAATTTGAGTATTTTAGTATAATTGTTCATCTTTTGCCCTTACTAGTTGTTGCAAATTGGTGTGATCACTTAAAAAGCTTATGTGTTTTTTTTTTTTTGCAATTGATGATGCTTTGATTGTTTTAGGGTTTCTTGATTCTGATAAGGTTCACAGAAATCAAATTTTGAGACTGTGATTAAATGGATGATTACCCATTTCCTTTTTATGTGTTTATTTATTGAAGGGGGCATATTCAGTATTGTTTAGATTGATTATTTAGGTTAAATAAAATTCTTGTCTTTGTTGATTGAATAAGATTTTCCTTAATTGTGAATGTCTTTCTGCCTACCTACTGTACTTTGAGTTTAGATGCTGTGATTCTATATTAGTGGTTTGTAGGATATTTGATTTTGTGAGCATCTGATTTCTGATTATTTGGGCATCTTATCTGATGGAATTTTCTTATCTTGTTGGGTATTCTAGTTGTGTCTTTTAAACTATGTGTGGTTGTCCGGATCGAACAAACACCACGGTTGATTCTGAGCAATCTCCTCCTCAACACAATTCCAACACAACCATGAAGGAACCCAACCATGTTTTTGCTGAGTCAGAAAACTGTTTTTCCAACATACTAGAGCTTGCTGCCAATGATGATGTTCAAGGGTTCAATAAGATCTTAGAGCATGATGCTTCTGTGATATGTCAAGCTGATTTATGGTATGGCCGGCAGATGGGCTCTAGGCAAATGGTTCTCGAGCATCGAACACCCCTCATGGTTGCTGCTACTTATGGCAGCTTGGATGTTTTGAAGCTAATACTTGCTGAACCTGGGGTTGATGTCAACTTTTCGGACATCCCAGACAAGAGTACTGCCCTGCACTGTGCAGCTTCTGGTGGATCAGTCGATGCTGATGAAGTTGTGAAGCTGCTGCTGGAATCTGGAGCAGATGCCAATGCGTTGGATATGAATGGTCATCGCCCGTTTGATATTATTGTTGTCCCTCCTAAACTCCCTAGCAAAAGAGTTTCATTAGAATACCTCCTTGCAAACAATGATCCTCACAGGTCCATTATTGGGCCTAAGCTGCGTGTATCGGTTAGGAGTTCGGGTACTAGCTCCCCACCTCTGTCTTCATCACCCGGGAACGACTCATCGTCTTGTCCATCAGATTCAATGTTATCTCCAAAGATCCTGAAGTTGTCAGATCATTCTATTAACCAGCCACCCGAAAAGAAAGAATACCCCATTGACCCTTCTCTTCCTGACATAAAGAACAGCATCTATGCAACTGATGAATTCCGTATGTTCTCTTTCAAGGTCCGGCATTGCTCTCGTGCATACTCCCATGATTGGACTGAGTGCCCTTTTGTTCACCCAGGAGAAAATGCACGACGAAGGGATCCAAGGAGTTATAATTATAGTTGTGTTCCTTGTCCTGAATTTCGGAAGGGCACATGTAGAAGGGGCGACTTGTGTGAATATGCTCATGGGGTATTTGAGTGCTGGCTTCATCCTGCCCAATACAGAACAAGGCTATGCAAGGATGGGACAAGCTGCAATCGAAGGGTGTGTTTTTTTGCCCATCTCCCTGAGGAGCTAAGGCCACTTTATGTGTCGACAGGCTCAGCTGCACCTTCACCACGTGCATCGGCCTCTGCTGCCACTGTCATGGACATGGCAGCTGCAATGAATCTCTTTCCGGGTTCCCCGTCAGCTATCTCAGCTATGTCACCATCGCCATTTTCTCCGCAGTGCATGTCACCTCCCACCAACGCCTGCTCAAATTCTCCTTTGCCCCCGCAACAAAATTTTCCTACACTTCATCTTCCTGGAAGCAACCTTCAATCAAGTCGTTTGAGATCTTCACTTAGTGCCAGAGACATTCCACCTGAGGACTATAATATGCTACTTGATTTTGATGCACAGCAACATTTGTTGGATGACCACATGGCTAGTTTTTCACAGCAACGGGCTAAACCTTCTTCCATGATGCGTGGCGTTCGAACAAAAACATTAGCTCCTTCTAACCTGGAGGAGGCATTTTACTCTGAGATTGCCTCGTCTCCTCGTTATTCTGACCAAGCAGCAGCTGCTGTTTTCTCCCCAACCCACAAGTCTGTGCTACTCAATCAGTTCCAACATCAGCAGAGTTTTTTGGCACCTATTAACACATCAAATATTTACTCACCCAAGAGTGTTGAGCATCCCTTGTTACAGGCTTCTTTCAATGTTTCTTCTCCGGGAAGGATGTCCCCACGAAGTGTTGAACCTATCTCACCAATGAGTGCTAGACTTTCTGCTTTGGCACTTCGCGAGCAGCAGCAGCAGCAGCTGCGTAGCTTTAGTTCTAGAGAATTTGGAATCAAACACACATCTTCTTTGGTCGGATCTCCAGTCAATTCATGGTCAAATTGGGGATCACCAAATGGGAAGGTGGATTGGTCCGTCAATGGTGGGGGTGATGATATGGGTCAATTGAGGAGATCGTCTTCATTTGAGCTTGGGAACAATGGAGAAGAACCAGACCTCTCTTGGGTCCAGTCTCTGGTAAAGGAATCTCCCCCTGAGACGGAAGAAAAACATGGTGCTCCTGTTTCTGGTGCTACTTCATCTGGTGAGGGACTGGCTAATAAAGCGTCAAAGGATCCAACGGATTATTCTGTAGTAGGTGCATGGCTTGAGCATATGCAGCTTGATCAGATTGTAACCCAGTAAGATACTCTTCTATCTTCTTTTTTGCTCTTGATTGAGGTAGAAAGAACTAGTGTAGTATATTATAAACCTTTATTTGGAGGACTTTTTTCCCATATTTTATTTTGGCATAGTTGGGATTCATGAAGTATTTTGGTTATTAGTCATTTATTGTAATAGCCAAGGGGGACAAAAGCACTTTTAGCTGGGTGTACAGCAAGTGAACCCGACTCAGGAATGATCTTCCCAAGCCCTTTGGAGTGTAGGACTAATTTTCCTTATATATTTTTGACGTAGAAATTACCTTAATTGAGTGGAAGAATTGGAGATTAGAATCCTTGTTTCTTTATTGGTTGATGGTTAATGAGCAAGAAGGGTTAGAGGTTCTTTTGGTCCTGTTATGTCATATTTTGAGCAAGTGCCTTATTGTGTATAATATTTGAAATGATCTTGTGATTGGAAACGTAACTCTTGATTATGTAAAACTATTAATTATTATTTCAATAAATTCACATATATTTGAAGGTGATATTTGTTTTTCTATTGCATTTGTTTGACCTGTTGGCAAAGTGTTATCGAGAGATGAACCTACCATAACTTTTATTCGAAGTTTTATAACAAAATTATAGTACTTCGAATTTATCAGACGTCATTTAGCTTTTGGTAGCTTGGCTTGGATCCCTTTCCTGATAACCGTATCCGAAATCACCCTAAGGAGTATCTATTATGTAGGCCTCATCAACAAGTAGATATATGAATAATCTTATTTATTTGGAAGTAGTTTTAAGATGTATGTAAATCATGTGATGCTCTCTGCTATGCCAACCAAAAACTCGGGAGGTTCTCTATCTGAGATTATGGTGGGGGATCAAAGAATTAATGGACCTGTTGGTTCAGTTGATATTGGTGGTTTGGTTTGGTGATGTGTCGTGATCGAAGTTTGCTCGAAGAATTAGGTGATGACTACTTTTTTAATTATTAAGTAATCATGCTCTAATCATTGTATCCTACGGAGTACTCTTTAATTGGTGCAGATTCTTCGGAAAGAATAAATGATGATTGGATTTGTGCTGATGCATATAACCGTTAGTGAAGTTGTTGCCTAACAATAATAGGAATTATTGTTTTAGTTTTGTTCCCATGTTTCTGTTGCGGCCGTCGCGGCTCATGTAATGTTTCATGTTGCACATGGCCTTAATCGGAGAAATTAATTTACAATTAACAATGTGTTTAAAACACAAATTTACGTGCCACTTGTCTTTAGACTCTTGATGGTTATTAACGGATCATCTCAACTATCATTGTTCTGATAAAGTCTTGTATGAAACGATCTCTCAATAATTTATTGAGAAATCGGCATGCTTTCATATTTGTTGTTGACTTTTCATTGAGGCAAGATGGTATTTGTTGTCTAATAATTGAACAAGTTCTTCACTTTGATCCCCTGTTTTGTAAATCATAAAGCAAACCAGAAAAATTGCATCACACTTTCATTAATCAAAGATACAATTACACGCTGCGCACTTGTGCTATCCACTTTTATGTTTTGATGAATTATTGTATTACTACAACTAACGGCACTAATTCGAGAGGGATCCCTGAAGCAGGGATATAATGGGATAGGATAGGGTAGGCGAGGTGAGCTATATATATTCAGCTCTCTACGTCTCCAAAAAATGTGCAGAGAGCGTAACTTGTACTGTCAAGAAAGATGAATGATGATAATTTTGGTAATTGTAATGACTAGTGAGCACGTTGGTTGCTCGGAGATACGACTGCCATTATTGAAAGGAGACCGAGTCATCAAAAATAAGATCCACTTCTTAGAAAGCGCCACGGTCCTGTTCCAGTTCCCATCCTACAAATGTTCATCCAACATACCATGTCGTGTTAGCCATACTTGCACAGTTAGCTTATAAGTAACAGCATCATTAGGAGAACTATTACCTCCAAATTCCAGCAAATGTACGTAGACCCATGTAGATAGTCAATGCACTCCAGATTCCTACAAATCCATAGCTGTTGTATAGCAGAAATAGTGATCCAACGCTTGCGATAGCGACCAAAACCTAAAGAGGTGAACATTTCAGTCCATCAGATTAATATTTTCTGTAGAAAACCATGCCTGATTCTAGTAAATACTAGAGCTTGAAAACTTGCCATGGAGTATGCAGAATATGCAAAATCTGATGCCCCGAAGTTCACACCATCAAATACAAATGATAAGGAATTTATTGGCTGTGTGGCTGCAACAAACTGATGAGAAAACAAACTACATGTCAGATTGTAGAACATAGATTACAGTTTGTAAAGGAGTTTTGGCAGTGAAAGAATCAAGTATTACCGGCACACCAATGCTGATGAGATGAAGAACTCTCTTGTCGGATGTAAAGATACCATCTCCAAACTGCAAACCGAGTCCAACAACCACAGCCAATCCCAACCCAAGAACAAAGCTCATCTGCAGTGAACCAGTGAGGAAAGGTCAATATTTGGACAGTGAACACCTTCATGTATAAGCATCAAGCCCTAAAGAAGAGTTAAAAGTAGAAATCCGGGCTTTTCACTTTCTGAACAACTGACGTGCACGTCAGCAATACATGAAGTTTAAGTCCTGGAGGAAAGAAGAAAACTCCCGGTTCCATACCTGTAATACCCTAGCAGCAGCAGCAGTTGCCTTCTCGTAATCCTTCTCAGCAAATGCACTAGCCAAGATTGCCTAAAATTGAACCCCAGATTAATGAAGCATAATTAGTTTTGCTGTCATGCTATTCAGTGTCGTAGCAGAGTATACATCTTGTGTTGCCTGATTAAAATGCAGAGTAAAAGAGCAAACAGTTGAAAGAAGTAAAGCTGTTCTTTTTACCTGACCAGCTACTGCTAAACCATCAGCCAAAAGTGATGAAGCCAACCATACTTGTAAGCAAATCTGAAATGCAGCCATCGGAGTCGCACCTAGCCTTGCAGCCAGAGATGCGGCCAAGGTGACACAGAAAGTGACGGCTATGACCCTCGTGAACAAATATAAACCTGTTTTAAAGATGTCAGTAAATCATTCAATATAGGTAACCTGAAGAAGAAATCAGTTGATTCTTAACCTTGAGTAATGAAACAGAATATTAATAATAGAATTCAATTCTTCCATACCGTTTTTGAGAAATCGACCTAGTTGCAGAGCTTTTAAACTAGGAGGCAACAAATGAACTTCCCTCGTCAACCTCCATAAGAGTATAAATGACATTAGGTACCTATAACACAAAGAAAATGTCTGAAATTGACAAACCAAAATTTGTGAAAAACAGGTTTGACGACAAATGCTTTAGATTGCAACGTACTGTGAAAGCACATGAGCAATGGCTGCACCACTGACACCCAAGCGGCATGCAAAGATGAGAACTGCATCCAGTATGATATTTGCACCATCTGCTGCAACTGTAGAAAATAATTCGAGAATGTAAAAAGAGGGAGAGTGAAACAGAAAAGAGATAGATTAATCATTCGAATCTGAGTAATTACGAGTAATTACAGAATGTTTTCACTAACAGATTAGAGTAATGACTGATGTTAGAACCATAGGCATCAATCACCATTATTTCTTACATGGTATCACACACTAAGTTTATACTACTGATGGAATTTGTACTACAATACAAAGAGTCATATGTAAACTATATTCTTTCTTGCTTATATTCCTGAATTTGAAGATAAGAGCAACTAAGCTGGAAAGAAGAAAAGACTTTTTACCAGTAGCATAAAGGGGAGTTGTCGTATCTTTAAACCCTCGAAAAACACCTTGCATTGCTAATGAAAGAAGCACAGCAGGAGCACCAAAGGATCTTAATGTTAAGTACTTAAGAGCTGGTTTTAGCATTGGGGAATCCTGCATATTAAATAGCCAAGAACAGAATTAGCTGAGCAGGAAATCATAATGATTGATGAAGACTAGTAGACTAAGCAAATAACCATTTATACAAGGATAAGCAAACTAATCGAAAAAATTGTTGAATGATGAGGACACTAACATGTTTTATACCCATGACTCCTAAAAGCATTTTAGCTCCAAAGACAAGGAATATGGTTTGACATAGACCAAGGAACAATCCTAGAACAATTGCAGTAGAAGCTGATGGGATGTGCCGCTTGCCTACTACTTCAATAATCTTCTCAGGACTACTGATCGAGACTTTCTTGGTTTTTTGAGTTACTCCCGGGTAATCTGAAAAATGTCAGAATCACGGAGAGTTTATGTTAGAATAAATTCTAGAAGACAGAATATTGTTAGGTATATTGTAGCACAGTCTGATGTAGCCAGGACCTTCTCCGGAAAGATGGTCATCTTTGCTGATATTTGTAGCAGTACCCTCCTCTAGTTTCCCAAGTGCATCATCTTGGGGCATCATCTCCTTAGAGTCACCAGCCTCAGCAAGAGCCTCCTTTTGATTTTCAGCGTCTTTGACTTCTGCACTCATTTTGCTCACTGTCTCTTCCTCAGCAACAAAAGAAGTTGTAATGCTGACAAGTGGATAAATAGTAATTTTTGAAGCTTGGTTGAATATAGCTATTGAAACTCCAACAGCTGCAAGCTCCACAGCGCCTACACACACATTAAACCAGTACAACATGTTAAGACATAGATACGTAACATACTCGATTTGCACGATTAATTATCTAAAGGCATGATTGCAATAATAAAGAGAGACAAAGAAAAGAAGGGCAGACCAATGTGGCCAATAAAGACGGTGTCAATGAGAGAGGCAACAGGATCAGCGGCTAAAGCCAAAGCAGCAGGAATTGCAATCCTTAATATTTCCAAACCCAATGAATCCATCTTGAACACACTCCTGCAGGCATGCACATCAACATTATACATATATTTGAAGGATGAAGCATCTCTTTTTATCTACTAATTATTGCTTATTTTATAGATTGAATAAAGCCAGAAATGATTTAAAGGTAAGGCAGATAAATACTAACCTTGCATCTTTAAAGAATACAGAAAGTGGTATCTTCCATTTGTTGGTCTCAGCAGCAGGGAGATGTAATGTACCAGTATTATCAGCCATGGTTATATCACCAACTACACAATGAGAAAATTGCACCATTATTATATTAAACACAAACTAAATACTCCTTTCCCTAGCTAGTTATATGCTTAGCTTTTAAAGTTAGCAATGCATTTAGAAAATAAGTCACACTAACAATCTCATTAAGGCCATTTAAACGTTACTCGTATTACATTGACAATGTTTACTCAATGAACCATGTCATAGATCCCACAATAACTACGTACTTGAACTTTATTCCAACAAATTTAATTAGTAGCTACGAGGCCACAGGAAATGGCGTATGACTGGAGGATGTTTTGATTAAGATGGTAAATTTATGCTCTTATGTTTCAAAAGGGAAGGGTTCGGCATGAGTACGACTACATTTTCTTAAAAATAAAAATGTTTCATATTAATTACAACATTATTATTATTAGTTATCTTTTCTCTATATTTTTGTACCTATGTAAACTTACAATCTTTTTCTGTCTACTTGATTTTCATAATTTTTGTACTCGTATTAAACTGATTTGTGATAATTTAAACATGATGAAAGGAGTACATAAAAATTGTAGTACACATGTCACGCATGTGACATTCTAATTCATACTGAATAGTAGACTAGTAGTATATACTTGTATTATTAGGATTTTTATGCCGTACACGGTACACGACATAATTTATACTTACATAATTGCAACTTTTTTAGTTTTCAGTTTCCACTACATTTTTTTATTTTTTTTTATCATATATATATTCACTGTGCGACCCCTCTTATTAGTAGATATAGCACTAATTATCACTAGTCACACATTAATGACAATTAGTGTAATTGTACCAAAAAAGTGGTCTAATTATACAATTATGAAGTACTAATGATGTTTTTTTTTTTTTTGACGGGACTAATGATGTTATCAATAAGAGTTCTTGGTACAGTAAGAATACCACTTTAATAGTTCTTTCTCACAATCTCACGTGCCACCTTTCTCGACGGCCCTTTGTCACCTTAAACTTCCCTTTCTTCTAGACCAAATTCTCGACACATTATTCTACCATTATTTTATTTTTTTTCCCCTCCTCTAATAAAACAACGGTCCACGATCCGTCATAGAGTAGTACTTTTGTTTCGTTTCATCCTAAATATATAAATATAATTGTATAGTTGTACCTTACGGGTATGAGCCTAGAATGACTCACGACCTTGGTACATTGACAACACTGTCATACATATGAATATACGATCGATGATACAAGTATACGACTGATACAAGAGTTCTAAACACTGTCATACATATGAATAAAGTCCTAAACACTTGACTGTTATTTAGTTCTGTATGACGTAGATTGTAGAGTACACCCCAAATATAGGCCCGAATTCATGGGATTGTAAAGTGCATACATAAATGTACATGTGTTTATAGTATTGGCCCAAGTAAAGCTAAGGTTGGAGTGTTGCGTATTAGTCTATTATTATAGAACGACATTTATTGAAAGTGAGTGAGTTTTACACGCTTTTCTTGCCAATATGCTTTATAGAGCAATACATTGATCAAACTTTATTTGAAGAATGAAGATCTATCTCATAAATTGCATACTTTTACTTTAAAGATCCTAAGCTTAGCTAAGCTAATAATATGTGGTGATAGGAGAGATCACTTCATCCCTTTCTCATTGATAATGACTAATAAGAGTATATATGTGCAATGTACATAAGGTATGTAGCTAAATCGTGTATAAATGCGTTAGGAAATTCCCTCGTAACAAGAACTCTCTAATGTTTCTTTTTCGCACCCTTTAATTATTCTTACATGCTCCATATAATAAAAATTACAATTATACATGGAACAAATAATCCCATACGAAGTATGAAATAATGTACACGAAGTACTTTACTTGGTACTCGTATATTTTAAAAGAGGAGACCATGGTGCAATCATTGGTCGATCGTATTTATCTATCAACTAACATTGAACAATACAGTATGAATGAAGTTAGATTTATTTTTCAGAAATAATATAACAGAAACAGAAATAGAAAAATGCAGAATAGTTTACCTGAGAAGAATTGAAGCTGAAAGACTAGTGTATTGAGTTGGAGAGAGAAAGAGCAGAGGAGGTAAGGTGTTATTTGTTCTGTTTTGTTGGTGACATAATAAGTAAATAAACGCAAGCTTGCGTTCTGTTTTATAGCCCACTCCATCTTTTCATTTTTTGTCATTTTCTCTTAACACACATTTCTTTTCCATCCCATCTATTTAGTGGACCACGCATTCCATTCCATTACTTGAACTATGTTACTATTGATATAATGATATATGATTGCATATACGAGCTATAATTGGTAATACACCCCGTGTTAAGTTAAATCAGACATTAATTACACTAATTGATATGTGATTTTGTTGTGTTGTAAATGCTTATTATTATAGGACTGTGTACATGTATCATTACCCGGCCCTTGTCACTATTATTATTAACAATTGTATTAGCAGGAACGGGGGCTTCTTCCCTTGAGGGTCTAAAGACCCCAGTCATGACTGTCAAGCTTTGAGAATTATATGGTTAAGGCTTTAACTGCGTGATAATAAAGTAATGCAAGTCTGCAATCCAATAAAACAAATCCCAAGTCTTTAATTAAAGTTACAAGTAATTACATTTCTCAAAGTAATTACTTGCGGAGTTTGCAATGCAAGTGATTCAATGGATACATTCTTTTTTTATTTTTTTATTTTATTTCTTGTTGTAACTTTGCTATACATCTAAAGTTTATTGGCTAATGGTGCAGTGATGATTTGGCTGCACTTGGTAGGGAAGACCGCATATTCGATCCCCCACAACAAAAAATAGGAGTGGATTGGAACCTAACCACCCATAGCTGAGCCCTGAATCCGAATTAGCCCAAAAATTGAACCGGATGAAACATCAAAAAAAAAAAAAAAGTTTATAAAACTTATAGGGCTAATTATATACATAATTTTTTTACTTTTTGTAATAGTAATGTAAATGAGTAAATGAAAATTGAAATATTAAGAGAATTCTGGCTTCATATCCACTCAGTTAATTTTTATTATAGATATGAAAAAAAAAAAAAAAAAAAAAAAACCGCACTAATTTGCCGATTACAACATGAAGCATGCATGCAATCAAATTTATGTGCAGCACTAGTTGCTTACAAGCCATACGCCCATAAGTACAGTTAGCTAGCACCATTATAATTTAAGTTTAAGATACTTAATATGCACAAGTATGTAATTATGTATCCATTTATCTTAATCAATTATGTAATCTTTATTTTAGTAAGAACATTGTTGAAAACATTGGTTCAACTTCTTTTCCTTGTATGCTTTCTAATCTAATTAAATGCCACTTTGAGATGAGCTAACACCTTTCCCTAAAGTGGGCTGTGTTGGATTCCCAATACTTCCCTATTTGTTACTATGGTGGGACTATCACCATTATTATGACATTATTACCTAATTTCACTCGCTTAATTTATTAGCTTCTCTTTTATGCATGATCTTTAGTATTGTACAAATGTAGTGTACACCTTAATGTTAGCTTATCACTCTATATATTTTGGATTTGATGAGAGAGATTGAAAGAATGGAGCATTGAGAGAGATCTTTCATTCTTATGTTTGTCTATGCTTCATCATATTCTTCTATTTTCGTTACAAAGATATATGCCTGTGCTTCATCAGATCAGATCCTCTAAATACTTAAATTCTAAAAATAAAAAACTTCATATAATTATAAAGTGAACTAGAGAGGATAGTAATCAATCACGCACTCTTAAACTCTGTATGCTCATTACTTGGTAAGAAGCTTACCTTAAAACCTAGGTTAAAATCCTACCAACGGAGAGTATTTAGATAGGAATTCCCTCATCTTAACCTCGGACCAAAAAAAACCTCTTATATGTATAATTGGTATAATAAAAAGGTACTCCCTCCAATAATTAAGCTAAGATAGATGCATGTAAAAAATGAGATTGCTTACATGAAATACAAGTTGGCGGCAAAATTGGAATTGCGTACCAAAGTACGTACATGTTTCAACAACTTATAGTTACAAGTCCTACAGCCTATATCGACGTAATAGGATAGCTAACCTGGAGTTTGCAGCGTAGTAATAGACAGTTTCACATGCAATCCTGCATTTGGCTACAATTTAATTAGGACACTTGGGTTCTTCCTTCTGTTTTCATTGATCTCTTGAACTTATCCTATCAAGGCCTAATTATTTTAGCCATCTACAAGTACATACGTACAAATGTTTTTTTTTTGGTGGTATATATACATAACACGATATTCGATTTAAAAAATTTCGATTCACTTACTATTCAATTTCTGTGATCAAATTAAAATAAATTTGACCATATTTTATAATTTATATAAACATAAAAGAAAGAAAATACCATAGAAATCTTATTAGATTTGTTTCAATGTATATTAACTCTTAATTAATTGCATGTAATTGCAATTTAATTGCTAGCTAGCGTTAAATTTTTTTAATAGTATTCGCTTTTAGCATGTATTATTGTAGTTGATGGGTGATTATTTTACCCTTTATGACAGGTGGAGTTTACTTAGCTTAATCCTTATATTTTAATTTGGTAAAAAGAAAGCTTTATAACTAAAGATATAAGCTGAAATGTGCTTAAAAATATTGATAAGTGCTCGAACACTTATATATGGAAACACCACTAACAAAAACAACAGAGTATCAGGCAACTTATAATGGTTTACCTATACATGTTGGAGTACTCCAATATTAATTAATACATTAATATTATAAATAATATAGTGAGATAAGTGCCCTTCATTTTCATTCCAGGTATGTAGGATAAACATATCCGTCACCAGTCTCACCACTGTTTCACTATGTATCACCCTTAACTTGCTAGCTTATCAATGTGGACATTAGACTCGTACTCTATATATGTTATAATAATGTTAATGCTGATTCTCTGTATACATATATTTCAAAACTTATGAGGTCAATTCATAAAGTGCTCATAGTGTTACAAAATACGTAGTACTTCATACAATGAATTTAACTTTGGTTGTGTCCCAAAAAAAAAAAAAACCTTGGTCAAATCAATTCAACCAAGTTAGTATGTACTAGATCGTGCCTCATGTCAGGTTCACGTACTTTGGAGTTAGTTAGGCCCGTCTACGAGCTACGTGTCGGACCAAATTTTCAAAAGGTTGGCCCGTACACAGCCCTGGCCCACATGCCATCGTGTTGGGCCGTGTCGTGCCTTATCGTGCTTCTCTAAAAAAAAATTAAAGGCAACCCACGGCCCGACATGACACGCACGCAGAGAAGCGTGCTGTATTGGGCCTACACTGTGCCCGTGCTGTACTTTTTTCATGCTGGGTCGTGCCCGCCTTGGGCCGCCTGACCAAGTACCATTTTTATGTATGAGTGGTTAACAATTGATTGCCAAACAATATCTTATACCTCTCTCGCCTCTTCGATTCAAAATTGCTTACAAACGTCTAAGGATTGTTACATGAGTAATGTTCATCGACTTTCATCTTGATTTTTTATTTTATCTATTTAATTTTTTTAATTTTTTTCTGTGTTATTATATTCCAAAGTATCCGACAGAAATTCTCTAAATGAAAGACATATTGTCAAAATAATCAAAGATAGGATATTGTTTTACCCTGAAATGCATGCAATGCGACTTCATATAATTATTGCAAAGTATCCAACAATTGCATATTCGCATGCATGCATGCATAATAATGTTGCATTCTGTAAGCTCCAATGGTTGTATATATATCCTTGATATATTATCTAAGCTAAGGATATACCTTCATGTATTTTGTCTCAATGCTTTAGCTTTGTTCACGGGGGTCAAAATTCTCATCTACCGTTTTTCTCTTCTTTCTCCCACACGCGGCTATTCAACATAATTTAACATGTAATTATAAATGTACTTTGAAGCAAAAATTATGTTGTATAAGTAGTTATAAGATTAATAGAGTATATCTTGTCAAAAAAAAAAAAAAGGTTAATAAAGTATATAAACGGTAGGGGTGAGCAAACCGGGTACCCGATCAAAATTATAGGATCCGGACCCGGAATTGGTTGGGACCGGGTCCTAAAATTTGGAACCGGTACAACCGGGTCCTAAAATTTAGGAATTGGAATTGGTTCCACCGGGTACCGGTTTCGATTCCAGGTACCCACTTATATATATAAGTGTTGAAATATAATACAAATCATAATATTTTTTTTGGTTTATTTTTACTTTTAGCTTTTAATACTTATATTTTTATATACATTAAGCTATTTTAATTATATTAAATATTAATATTATATTTTTTTAATTTTACTAATTAGTTACGTTCAGCATATTTTTGTTTTTTAAATATATTTTGTACAATACATGTTGGGTAACCGGTATAGTAGAGCGGAGAGAAAATCTAGAAGTTTTAGGGTTTTGTTTGATAGTGGGTTGAGAGTTTTATAAGCAATTAGGCTTAGAAATTAAAATGGGCTGTAGATAACTCTTTTAGTTTCTTAAAAACACAAACAATCCACATACTATATAATATACAAACGGGTACCCAGTGGGTACTGGGTCCAAAATTTTAGGATCGGGTCCGAAATTTTGGACCCGGTCCCGGAACCGGTGAGACCAGTTCTTGGTTCGGACCCGGCAGGTCCTAATCGGTTCCGGGTCCGGTACCAGGTACCCTGGGTCTTTGCTCACTCCTAATAAACGGGTTCGGAAGGGGAGGGGGTGTTTACAACTTCAAGGTAATGAATGAACCCGGGTTACCCGACCCTATTAGATACGTACATACAAAACCTAAACCCCTAATTAAGATCTATAATAAGTTAATAATAACGATCATAGATTGAAATTAGGTTATCATATATTATTTCTTGTCATAATGAGCAATCAATCAATTTTATTTTTTCACTATGGATAACAAGATAGTACATGATACATAAATTGAGATTCTACTAATTTCGATTGAACTTATTATAATTAGTCATGTACTCTTGTAATAATCAAGAATCAACCATAAAAAAGCTATATTCCATTAAACTTGGGCCTACCAGTCTTCTATAATTCTATCAGTTTGACCCATAAAGAGTTCTGACATAACAGACAGCCTACTGCGGAGTATTAAGAGCATCTTTATTGGTGAACCCAAATAAATGGTTCATGGGTCACTATCACCATTTCTCTCTCATCCACATCAACCCAACAAACCATTTACAATATTCACTCTTAACAATGAACACTAAACAATGGTTCATCATCAATACTCCCTACCCCACCTTATTTTATTTTTATAAATATAATCTTTTTTGTTTCATAATTATAATTTATTAACCCGATGTCAATGTAATTAATTGATGTATTTAATATTTTAATCGTGATTACTAATTAAGAAATTATCGCATTTTTTTATCAGCTTTTTAAAAAACTAATTCTTGTGATTAATATTTTTTAAACAACAACGCAGCTAATTTTAATTAACAAAAAAAAAAAGAGGTACAAATTGTGATTACAGTTCTACAACTATAATCTAGTACATTTTATTTAAAAAAAAAAAAACAACTACACATCGTTTTGTAAGATGTCCTTAGGGATAACCATTTGTTGTAAACCTAGTTGCCTAAGTTTTCGTTGTTACCAAATTTATTCCATATATGTTCGACCAAGTCGTTTTTTAGCTGCAAATGAGTCTGTTGATCCTCAATCTCTGTTCTACGAGACAAGTATAAGCCGATAAACACAATACGATCAGTACGGTACTCGGTAGTGTCCTCATTAGCGTTGCCTCCAGCATTCATAAACTCATTGGTATTAACGTTATTTTGATACGTCTCTCGTTCATCTTCAACGATCATATTATGTATTATGATGCAGGCGAGCATGATATTGTGGAGTATGTCGGTATCCCACGCCAAAGACGGCTTTTTAATGATGGCAAAACGAGCTTGAAGGATCATATTTTGACCCAAATTTTTTTTCTTCTTTCTATTTGTTTTGGGTTGGTATTAGCATCCATAATTATAATTTATATTTGAAAAAAATAAAAATTTAATAATAATAATAACGACAATAATAATAAAAATAATAATAATAACGATAATAATAATAAAGGAAATAATAATAATAACGATAATAATAATAAAAATGATAATAATAACGATGATGATGATGATAATAATAATAATAATAATAATAATAATAATAATAATAATAATAATAATAATAATAATAATAATAATAATAATAATAATAATAATAATATTGGTAATTATAGAGGGGATTTTTGAAGAGAAAAATATAGTAGAAAGAAATGGATTTTCAAAGTTGAAGAAAGTATAGCAATATGGGTGTCTATTTATAGAGGGGAAAAAAATAGAGCCATTGGTAATTTTTTTTATTTTTTTTTTGATTTGTGTTTTGTAAAATATATCCGTTGCAAAATTACAACGGATTTATTTAAAACAGTGACACGTGTCAAGCAGCGGCTGGGCCAAGTGGCGCGCTCCCAGCCGCTGCTTTCTATTTTTTTCCTGAAAAAAAATAAAAATGGGTGGGGCACACAATCCATAAATTCGTCCAAATGCTTGCAGCAGCAATCGATCCCACAACCATTCACTATGAACAATTATAGAGATCACCATTAAGCCACCCATTCACTTGTTCACTCATTGTGAACTATTTTTTTGTTCACCCTTAAGGCTGCCCTAACTAATTAGTTAGTGGATGTGTCAAATTCTTGGACTATCTCTATCTATGTGGGGTTAATGCTGTCTTCCACCTCAAAATCCTTTTATTTTTATCATTAGGTAAATTTCCAACCTTATAGACTCACATCATGAGGTAACACAATTATTTATTTAATAAATTTAATTATAATATTGTATGCGTGTGTTTCGCATTCCCATAGACAACATGTCATTAGCTTTTTGTTGAAAATTGGAATTGGCGTGTGCCCTCCACATGGAAACCCTAAACAATTCATATTGACGTGTATCATCTGCACACTGCCTAGCTAGTGCACCAAACACTACGCCATTTTATGTACAAGTTTATTCAAGAAAGATACGGCCTGATTATATTACAATAATCTCATAAAATGATAAAATATGTTATTTATCATCCAACAAATACAGTATGTACAAAAAAGGTTAATTCGCAAGCAATTAGCATGACAAAGTTCGTTTTTTTAGTCAATTGCTAAAGTAGTCCACTTATCTTTAATTAAATTTATTTGCTAATTAACTTTACACAATTAGGTACATATGTGTGTATTGTTGATTTGAGTAATGATACACAAATTGTGAAAGAAAGGAGGATAAAATTGACATGAGTAACTATACATACACAATTACAGATATGTGTGTGTTTTCTCAAAATTTTGTCAAGTTAGGTGATTGAAAACCTATCTTTAGAGGAAACAAGGATATTCTTTTGAAATAGGGTGTTATGAGAATCGAGTTGTTTAGTTTTTTTGATTGGATTTCAATTCATGAAAAGGCTCATCTTAGAAAGGGAGAATTTAAGGGATCGAAATCCCTTCTAGAATGATCTGAGTATGGTGAGGTTCGACGCCTGATCTCTTGAAAGTCGGAGAACTAGCCAACTAGTTTAGCCTCATATCTCATTACTTACACACTATATGGAGTATCTATTTTATATAAAAGTAATTATTAAAATTACTACTCCGTAGTACACAAAAACACAACATTATAATAGAGAATATATAATGTACTACTTCCCATGCATTGATCATATTTTGGCGAGTTGAGATTACATTTTTGGCACATAAAGTTCATAACCTTAATAATGTCGACATCTATTGTAATTGCATGCAATTTTACGTAAATAAACATAAAAATAAAATTAGGAAGTGAGAAGGTTGCAAGTGGTGTTTACAGAGTGAGTGAGAGAAGTGCGATGTTTTTGATCATTCGAATTACGCAGAAGCAATAAACAGTGAGCTTGATGATGGAAGTGGGACTGAATCAAGTTTTCAACCACTCTAATATAAGAACTGAATTTGAGAGTGACAAACAAAGGGAGTCCTGTTTGTGAGTTTAGCATGTCTTCCATGTTTCTTCCACCTCCGTACATTGCCTTCTTCGTTGTCCCCGCCGATACCGACATTTCCCTCCATTCTTGGCTCCGAACGTACATGTTTGCCCCCTTCAATAATTTCATTATCATCAATCATAAACCCAACACAAATTTTAACGTATTAATTACTCCATATTAATGCAAATAATTAATACCTCAAACACTTTTAAATCTTTACGCTTTGACCATTTTTCTCTCACAAAAATATTTCAAATATAAAGATTAAAAAGTGACGGAGGGAGTAGCAATTAACTTATCATTCATCAAATCTGTATGATATTTAATATCGTAATTTCATTTGAAGTGGACTTAAAACATATTAAAATCCAACTCAAAAATATTCTTTAATCGATTACTTGTTGAGTAAAACCCTATTCTTTTGAACTTATTTCAATTCAGTTCAACTCATCATAGTCTAGCTCTAATATGGTTATAAATAACACTACGAGTATAATACTGCGGAAAATAAAAATAAAATAAAAAATGTAGTATTGCAGTCCAGATATTTAAACACTTATTATTGAGTTGAAGTTGAAGTGATAGATTTGAAGGCCGGGTTGGAGTTAACACTTCATAATAAGGGGAAACATTGAACATATAGATACATTCACATTGACTAAATGACTACTAAAAGAGACCTTAGTGAAAGAAACCCACTTATTTGGGCAATTCAGTAAACATAGCCAATCATTTCTTCTGTCTTTTAATCCGAGTGTATCAGCCCATTACATTTTGATTGGCCCATAAGAAACCATTTTCTAATGAATCATTTTGTTAAGACTTTTTAATCATTATCAATTATCATTATGCACTTCATTCACTACCAGGGAAACTTGTTACATTAGGACTTGTTCAGATAATTGATGAAATTAAAATTAGTTGATTGAAATTATATTCCTAATTTGAATTAATTTGATGAACTTACTTGAGACATGACGAATGGTACACGACCAAAGTAAACATCGACGATTGGAGGCAAGATATGGAGTCCGAAAACTTTAGATCTGTTGTCAATTATAAGCGCCATTGAAAGGTTGCAACTCAAAAAGTTTGTGGCTACTCCAGTTACATCAACTCCCTCCGTTAGCTCAAACTGGTTCACTCCTATCACCTGCATTTTGCATTACTTACCAATATATCATATTCTTAATAAATCTTAAATAAACGAGTACGTTTGAAACTATAGTATACTTCTACAAGTACAAGTTTGAAATTTCTGAGAAATTTAAGTGAACAAAGCTGAGATTAAGTACCACTCTCTAGTCCAAAATACAGATGTTTAAGGCCCATACTATGTGTCAAGTTTCTGGTTTTGTTTTAAGAGGCCCAATTCCATTACATGTAACTATGTAAGTGATATACTCATAACAATAAGTCAATAAGAAATTAAATTATACGAGTGCTATTAAGCGAATAAGCATTTTTACTTTTCTCAAAGAGGTCACTTAAAAGTTTTTTTGGGAAATTTTACATGGTGACCTCTAGGTTTCAATTTTTCTACGTAAAAGACAAATTTTTTCCACCTCTCTCAAATAACACTCTGATTTGGATAATTTGTAAATTACCACCCATAAAATAGACCAATTTTGATATAACCACCCAAAAAATATTTTTAAATTACCACCCATTAAATTAAAAAAACGCGCAGATTACCACCCATTTAGATTTTCCGGTGGAATTTCCGTCAATGAGCCCCACTTTTTTTTTTTTTTTTTTTTCCTTTTTTTTCTTCGATTTTCTGGCTTTCTCATCTTTTTCCCCGATTTTTCACTCTTCTTCTTCCTTCCTACCTTTTTTCTTCTTCCCAACCACCACCACCACCATTGCTCCACCTTTTCCAGCAATAGCCTATCCCCTTTTCCAACAACACCGGAAACCACCCCTCCCCTTACCCCCAACCCCCTGAAAAACCATCCCTTCCGTTCGCCAGCCCCCCCTTGGTTTTGCCACTGCCTCCTTCGTTCCAAATTGCCACCACCGCTCCAAATCGCCACCACCATTCCACCTACAGCCCGCAATTGAGCCACCAAGCGCCACAAAATCGCCACCAAGCGCCACAAAATCGCCACCAACTCCGTGCAAAACTGCCCATGTTAACCTACACACACCAAATCGCACCAAATTGCCACCAATCGCACCAAATCGCCACCACCGCACCAAATCGCCACCACCGTTCACCTTCAGCCCGCAATTGAGCAACAAATTGCTACCACTTTCCCAATTCAATAATACCAGGTACCCTAATTGTTGAAATAACACAACTAATTGGAACAAGAACCCTAAGTAACTTATCCCCCAATTGTCCCCAATTCAAGGGCAACAAGAACCCTAATTAACTAATCCCCGTTTTTTGTGAAATTTTGGGAAAATTTGAAGAAGAAGATGGTTCTTGACTATGGAGAAGTGTTTAATGGGAAAAAATCGGGGAAATAATGAGTTAAAAACCAAAAAATAGCCGTTACTAGCCGTTGAGTGAGGTCCACAAACCGAAATTTCACCGGAAAAACTAAATGGGTGGTAATCTGAGCTTTTTTTTATTTTAATGGGTTGTAATTTAAAATAAATTATTTTTTGGGTGGTTATATCAAAATTGGTCTATTTGTTGGGTGGTAATTACAAATTTTTTTGCAAAATTAAGTGTAGTGTCCTTCTTTTGGTTTTATGGCTAACTTTTATAATTAAAATGGTTAATCTAAGGTTTTTTAGTTTAAAAATTAATGAAATTTCACCGGCCACCACCACCATCTCGGAAGGCGACAACCTTCACCATTCCGATAGCCAAGCCTGCCACCCACCCCCGCCGGCGCCCAGACGACCTTTTCCCGCGTCGGCGACCCGTCCCTCCTCCCCCTACCCACTAACCCCCCACCACCACCACCACGTTAAACCCCAAATCCGGCCCTCTCCCACCCTCGAAACCCTGGGTGACGGAGTTTCGAGGGTGAGGGATGGGCCTAATTCAGGGTTTAAAATGGTGGGGGAGGGTTTTTAAGGGGTTTCGGGTTGGGGATTTGGGGGTTTCGGGTTGGGGATATGGGGTTTTCAGGTGGTGGGTTCAGTGGGTAAGGGGACAGGGTCGCCGGTGCAGGAAAAGGGTTTCTGGGCGCCGGCGGTGTGGGGGGGTTCCGGTTAGGGTTGTGGATGGTGGTGGGGAGGGTGGTCGTGGTTTGGGGACTTTTTTTTTTTTTTTTTTTTTAAAAAAAAAGTTCTCTTTTTTATTTTTAATTTTATTATTTTAAATATAATTTAATTAACTTTTAAACTAAAAAACCTTAGCTTAACCATTTTAATTATAAAAGTTAGCCATTAGAACCAAAAAAAGGGCACTACACTTAATTTTGCAAAATCAGAGTGCCACTTGAGAGAGTTTGAAAAAAATTTGTCTTCCACGTAGAAAAATTGAAAGCTAAAGGCCACCATGTAGAATTTTCCATTGTGTGCCATTTAGATCTAAAAATTTACTTATTTGCAAAAAGCTACTATATCAAAATGTCTAAAAATTCAATATCTAATATATTTCTTTTTGAAAAATTTCTTTGTAGTTGACATGTTTCTTTTTATGGTAAGTCTCCTACTTTACCGTTGTTAACCGCATTACCCTTCCCAATTTTTGAGTGGGCAGGAGTTTATTGTTATTTTCATTCCTTATCCCACTTTTTTTAATACTGTGTGCCAAAATCAAGTGTAGGGTATCAGCTAATAATAAACGGATGAAATATCTTTCTAAGCTAATTGTTGATGGTACTGCTTACTACGAGTATGCTTGAAAGGATAACTATCAATTTTAAGTGGTTTAACCTCCTGCTCCATGTCTTTCTAATAGTTGCACTTATTTTTTATTTTTTTTATTAATGAAAAAAAAGTGACGATATTGGCTAAACCCTAATAAGAAAATTCATGTAGCTAAGAAGAAACAATTAGCTGAACATACATAGAAAAATGAAATTACTTACCTTGACAGAAATGTGGGGAGGAGGAGGCTTGGTTACGAGGTAGAAAACAAGCAAGGCAAGCATTGCACTAAGCAAGAACCTCCATAAAAGTTGCAACCCAATCCAAACATAAGAAGGATATGTGTTGAAGGAGAAATACTTCCAACACTTTCCTTCATCATTGCCAAAATTATACAATTCCTCTTCATCATCAAGTTTTCCTATTTTCTTAATACTCATCACAGGCACAAGCATATCATTATTATTAATAATAATATTCGTCGTCTTTCCATTTACATGATCAGAAGGTAGTACATTAGTCATCCTCATCATGTCATTCTGGTGGATGAAAGAAGTGGTTGAAGCTCGTGAAGACGAGCAACGAGACAGATTGCCACTGAAGGTAGTGCTGGTCCTAGCCGCTATAGCCACTACAGATGATGATGCATTATGGTCTTGGTTGAGAAGTGGTTTGGTTGGATAACACTGATCTTGATCATCTTCTTCGTTATAAGAAGGAAGTAATAAGAGTTGAGGATTACGGCCAGACTCAGTACAAGTCGTCGTAGTGCTGCTAGCACGACGATGATGAGAGACTGAGGATGGACTTTGAACATAGTAGTTGCTACCATATTCTTCTTCTTCTTCTTCTTCCATTTCCATCATCATTATTAACTATTATTGTATTGAAATCGGAGTTCAAAACTTGTTCACCCTCTAAGAGAGTAAGAGGCTAATAATAAGCTAAGTTATACTTGTGTGTAGTAATTTTAGGACTACTATTATGGTTTTGCCCGTGACAAATATAAATATATGTTGGATGGTCCAACGTGCTGCCTTTATAACTATTGATCGTTGCTACCATCCAAATTTCATGACTTTTTATTAAGGTGCATGGATTAGGGTGGGGTCTAATGAATTATTGAGAAGGTGTGTACAACCAACAATACCAAATTAATAATGTAGATTACATCATTTACAAAATCAATATTTATTACTTAACGTTACTATAAGATGATGTAGCTTGGTAATGAAGCTTTGCTTTACTTCAAATGGAATTTTGATTATTAAGCTTCTAATCATTATGTAAATTGCATATATTTTATACTCCTTATTTCTATTTATTAGACTATATATACACCATAAGAAATGGGAACATAATTAATCCGTTATTATACAGATAAGCTAAGTTCTACAATCAACAACGGAAAAGTAAATGTACGGTTGTTATTTGAAGATCTGAACGTTAATTAGGAAAGGAGAGAGAACACAAACAAATTGAAGTAAATATGGGCATCAATGTGTAACTTTTTTATTTTTTTTATTTTTTAGTGTTTAGAGAGCCACAAGGGCAGGTGATGAGATATCCCTCATATTTATACTAATAAATAAGCATTTTTATTCATATGATACGAATTACTCACATATATATGTTTAAGTTAATTTTTCCTTGTATATATGAAGTACTATTATATGTTTAAGTTACTCCATAATCTCCAAATTTGTTAAGTTAATTCCTCAGCTCCTCGTATCCCCGGAAATTATGGATATATGGGACATCTATCCACAGCATAATTGGACACTCTCTTTTCTCTGTGCCCTAAGCTAGTGGCTAATAAATTATAGGAGCGAACTAGCTAATTTAATAAAGCAGCATGTATTGCTTTACACCGAAATCTCTTTTTTGCCTCAAGAATCATGGTCAACTTAATCACACTCTGTCCTTTAATTCGGACTCATTATGCGTAGTAATCATTCTTTCCTTTGTTTAATTAAATAAAAGGCGCGATCTAATTATGTTGTTAAGTTTTTTAGATCAAAGTTCACAAAGGCCCGATCTATCAATGCATTTACATGCAAATTAAATATTGTTTCATTTACATAATTATGATAAATTTATAGAAGGATATGATATTAATTAAAGAATGAAATATATTAAAACAATAACGATTAGTATAGACAACAACAAATATTGAAAATAAGTTATGACATAAAGACAGTGCCTTATTAACCACATTAAACATCTTAGGAAAAAAAAAATAACCATATTGAACAAAATCATTGCGCCAATTTTCGATGGTTAATTAATAAAAAAATCTTTCAAAGCCCCCAACCAACTGATCCGATGGAAGGTTTGCCTATACTGGGCAAGCTAGGACATGCGCTTTGAAACTTTTTTTTTTTTTTTTTTTTTTTTTTCCCCCTGTAAAAGTTAGGTTATATATCATATAAACTCTAACAAAATTCATTTTATTAAGGCCAAGAATTTCTAATTTTTGCTGACCAAATTTTGCCTTTATTACATGAACGCATACACCTTATAAGCTCCTAAGTTAACCTGCTATATTAATGATGATGAATACAACATAATATAACTAGCTTCTTGAATGAAAAAAGATTAGATGGATTGACATGCAATGCAAGCTAGATAAATTAAAGCAGGCTTGTGGTTGTATAGCCGAAATTATTATAGAGCTAAGAGAATGATAAAGATGGCATAGTACAAAATATTAATGCATAGTTATATACTTTTATTATTCAAAAGTCACTATATCACAAGCTGAAATTATTTGAAGCATGTTTATCCTTGTAATCGAATTATAAGGAAACATAATAATTGTGAGTTTAATTTGCTTTGCACTATAACCCAATCTCAAGTCCATATAATTAAATTATGTACTATATAGAAGTATATATATGGGTCCACCACCCAACAATAGCTCCTGATCATCATAATCTTCATAAGGGATATTTTCATGGCTCCTAAATTTAATCCAAATTATGCCCTACTGTTTTGTAACAATTCTAAGGTAAAACTGTTGAATCCGCGTGATACATAAAGGATACAATAAAGTAAACCCTCTTCTTTTTGGCATGAGCTTATACAATTCTTTCTTTTTAATTGTAAATTTGGACATTTACCACAGTCGCATGCATTACTCGCATATCCTGCTATATGACTTCTTTTGTGATTTCTATAATACTTCATAAGTGGTAAAAATAGTTATATAAAAGTGTGTTAAATTTATCTTAATACTAGGGTGGCTAATACGCGCAATGCGCACATTATAGCTCTTTCAAATGTTTGTAATATAACGTTAATATATATATATATATATATATATATATATATAACATTAAATTACACAAGGATAAACTTAGAAGCAATGAACATCATATTAGTAGGGGCATATAGATAAACAAACATTTTATGGATATAATTGTCCTCACATTATTAATAAGTGTTTTCTCATACTTTTTAAAAAGTATATAAGTAATATAAGGATATACAAATAAACTTTTACAATAATATAATTTTGTTGATTATATAAGCATGAAACTTCAAATGCTACCATAATTTTGTTGATTATATACGCATGAAACTTCAAATGCTACTATATGAGCATTTAGGCTAAATGTAAAAAGGTGTAGATTAATATATAGAATTTTGTTGATTATAAAAGCACTTCAAATGCTAATATATATATTAATCTACGCCTTTTTACATTTAGCCTTATCCACGTGGCATGTAGCCAATACAACAGATGACTAGATGAGTACTTTTATAGTGTTATTGCACCCAATATCCACTTACCAAGTGTCTTTATAATGTAGATAAGATAACAATATTTCAAGTTAGACATGTAAATAAATAAACCTGATCAACAACTGTCGCTTTGGCCGAGTGGTTAAGGCGTGTGCCTGCTAAGTACATGGGGTTTCCCCGCGAGAGTTCGAATCTCTCAGGCGACGTTTTTTTTTTTTTTTTTTTTTTGGTTTTCCTCTGCTGTCTCTGTATACAGGAATGTTTAGTACAGTTGGGTTGAAATTGAAACTAATTGAGCCATTTACTGCTCACTATTTGGGACAATATATATATATGAACATGTTTTAAAATTTGGATAATCTGTAATTATGTATACTAAGCTAATTTAAGGTCTAATCCTGCAAAACCTTCTAGTCTAATCTCTAAAGATTTTGCACTAATGTACACCCAAGGGTGATTTTTTGCTAAATCTAATATCAAATGAGCAGAAAATACCTTTAGAACGTTAGGTGCATCATGCACCTTGGTGTATATAAAAATTTTCATTTAGTTTCAAAATTGATTTGCTAATCTACAAAACTTTTTAATTAAGAGATAATTAGAATTTTAGGAATTACTTGAAGAGTTGTATTTGATTTCTTGTATGAATTTATTATATACTCCGTATCATATATAGATTTGAAAGGGGTTATTACTTTGAAGCCGATCAAACCATGTACTTATAGTTATAGGGACATAAAACAAAACTATTTATGGAGAGGTAACAAATACAACTTTTTTTTCAGAAGTGTTTAAAAAAGAAATACTAGCTTGATTTGGGAGAGATTTTATATTTCTAATTAACTTTTCATTATGAATAAAGAAAAAGAAATGTGTATACAATTCCTTAATGGCTTAATTACTTACATTATTCTGGCCTTTTGTTTTTGTACATTAACAATTTAACATAATACAAAGAAGTTGTATTCTATATCCTAGCTAAACTTATTCTCTTCTCCACAAGTGCATAACAACAATTCACTATTCACACTTACTCCTTTCCTATCTAATTCCTTATTGCATAATCGTTTATTCTAAGCAAAATCTTCAAGGAGAGGACAAAAATAAGGGAACTTAACAAACAAATGACCGATAATATCAGATGGAGATGATGAGGAGGAGGATGATTAAGATTGAGTTGAAGGGTACGTAGGTAGGTGTAATCCGGCAAAATTCTGTTTGTGTAAAATTATGGCCGTATGTATAAAGATGGAAGTAACGAACTAGACACGTACGTACGTACTAGATAGCTCGGATCGGTCGCTAGAGACAAAAGGTCTGTCCAAGCTAAGGGGAGATTAAGCTTGAAATTCAAGGAAAGGAAAGGAGACATCTCCCAACAAACTCTCCAAACTATCCCATTCTCCCATTTTTAAGTTTCCTTCTTTTCCGTTATTATTATCATTGTCATTACTATTACCATTATTCCCATAATTACCATTGCCTCCGTCTTGATCGATTTTGACCATATCACCCCAGCTCTCACTGTCACTTATAACGATTTCGTTGCTGTTTTTATTCCTATGAATCATGGGGAACATTTCACTTGTAGTGTTGGTTGTTGTTGTAGTCGCGATAATATTACTATTGTTGTTGCTATACATTATTCCTGCTTGTGTACCAAAGTGTTGATCATGGAATACTTGGATTTGGTCGTCACACCCCACAAAATTACCAAAATGACCTTGATGATCAACCAATTCTTGTTGTTGTGCTAGGCATGCAAAATTGGTCATGCTAACGGTTATCCCATAACCGTTACTCTCAAGAAGTGGAGGCAGAGAGTTGTCAAATTGGTTGGTAGCCACGCTAGTTATGGAGCTCGCGGCCGTGTGCATCGAAGGAGATGAAGGAGAGGTTGACATTATAGACGAATCCATGCACAAGTTGTTATAAGCAGCAGCTGTCATGAAACTTTGATGATGATGACTTGTTGCATGATCATTCATAGATGATGGGAACATCACTTCTTGGCCTATTACATAGTTGTTGTGGTGATGAATAGGCGTCATTAAATCGGTCGTGTTGCTTAGCAAGCTGGGATCGTCCATTGATGAAGCATTGCTATTGTTGTTTTGTTTCAATCTTTTCTTAATGGTGGAGTTCCAAAAATTCTTGATTTCGTTGTCGGTTCGGCCTGGAAGACGGGCTGCAATTTGAGACCATCTGCACAATTGTTTGCATAAGTATAATCAGTTAATAATAATGTTGATTTAATATTTATGCATGAAATGAAATGACTTACTTTGAGAATGACATAGATGACCTAATTTAAGCTACCCTACGTCCAGTATCTTAAATATGCTTTTCAAGGGAAATAATGCATACTATGCCATGCATATATAATTACACAATATATAATAACACCAATAAACTAATATACTTTTTGTATTAAAACTTACCTAAATTTTTTACTTAGACTTTACCTAATTGATGCTGAATACAGAGTGGTCCAAAACAACAATCTCGTCAAAGGAAAAGGTGAAAACAGTGCAAGAAAATTTAACTTAGCTAAAGTATTTGTAAGTGTTAGTGTAACTTATTAAACTTGAAACACCACATTTCTTTTTCTTTTGATGTTAATCATTTAAATTTGTTGTACATTGCTTAATAAAAAATCTCAACTGATTATTGAATTTTATCAATATGAAGTAATGAAGGCGCTCATTTTTCTATACTTTTATGACAGAAAACATATAAATATATATTAGCCGAGCATTTACTAGGAAAATGGTAATAATAAGGATTTTATGAAGCTTATATTATAATTAATCTCTTTAATCAAACAATGTAGCATCAGATTATAGCTATTGCATAACCGATGGGAAAAAAATGTGTAGAATTACCTCTGATATTTAGTTAAAGCTAAACCCTTATAATTAATTAAGAGACTGAATGTCAATTCAAGGGAAGAAAAAAGCACTATGAATGTAGATAATGAGAAATCAACTACCTAAATTCTTTTTTAGAAACTTAAGCCTCAAACTGATCATGGACAAATATATATCATTATTGCATTTGACAGAAGTTAGCTATCTATCTCTAGTTAACCCTCTCTCGATATACCTAGAGTACATTCATTCGTTGTCGTCTTCATCTTCATCCTCTAATTTTATTTCCTAGGCATTGAATTGGTCTGCAGATTTTCAACTCCAGGGTTAATTAGCTAGCTCACGTAGGCTTATTACCTTGCCACCATATATAGTGGTCAAGTTTTTCAAGTTTCTCTAAATGATTTTTTATACATTCAACCAAAAATGATATAATCATATCATATACTCCGTATTAATTAAGTCATTCAAGTTTACGTATATTATAAATTGGCTAGAAAAATAAGATTGTAGGAGCGCGCAGCATCATAACAACTTTATATAATGGTGAATTTTTTGTAATTTTTCTGGGTTTAGACCTTCGACTTGGATTATTTTATATAATGTTAACACGTAATAATATCTAAGATAAGCATTCAAAGAAAAGAAAACAATCTAAAATGCAGATAATACATAACAATATTATACGGAGTAGCTAGGTACCTACCTGTTACCAAGGACGGAATGAAGGTGGAGAATAAGGTGCTCCTCTTGAGGAGAGAAAGCGCCTCGCTTAAGGTCAGGGCGGAGGTAATTAATCCATCGAAGGCGGCAGCTCTTACCGCACCTTTGGAGGCCGGCATTCCTAGCAATGTCACTCCAACACCCTTGGCCATTCCTCAACATGTAATTCATAAGTTTATCATCTTCGTCGGGTGACCATAATCCTTTCCTCAATTTGACATGATTATTATTGTTCTTACTACTAATAGTAGTATTATTATTATTGCACTTGCTACTTTTCTCCTTGTGATCCTTAACAATGGTATTGGGTCCTCTCATTATATGTATGTATCAAAATCGAATTGAAATGAACCCTAACTAGCCTAATTTAAGATGGATAGTAATAATAATAATAGCAAGTACTATTATTATTATGCAATCTTTCTCTTTTGATCTCTACTACTCTTGATAAAAATGATGATGATCAATTATTCAATTATAAGCCTACTATATATGTGGGCAGGAGTTGTACTACTATATGATTATTATCATAAAGTGTACATATATATATTATATGTAACACCTCAAAAATAAAATAAAAATAATAATAGAAAAAAAACAAAAGAAAATGTAAGTGAGAATAAAAAAAATGACTAGTTGTAGCTAATTAAAGAGTTATTAAGTAAAGCTATATATATATTATATATATATATATATGTATATGCAAGTTAGGAAGCAAGAAATAATAGGTAAATAAGGAAGGAAAGTGAGAGATGAAGGAGGGATTGGATGAGGAGGCTTCATAAGGAGGTAATGATAATGATGAAAGTGACGGTTGTAAGCTTGCTTAGAATGTGAAATTAAACATGCCGACTATTATTAATTTTAATATAATCTTATATATTAAAGTGTCTTTAAATTAGTTGGCTTTCTTTAACTTGACATGTTCACTCTAAACAGATTGGAGGGAAACTCTCCCTTCCTAATTATTTTGCTTCCCCTTTTCATTTTTCTAATCTCATCTCTTTGTCTCTTAGTGATTTTTTTTTTTTATTTTTTTTTTTTTTTAATTTCTAGTTTGGCTCCTTGTTTATTTAATTGATGGATGAAAATTACTCATACAAGCTTGAAAGGCTTCCTAAGAGCCGTTTTTATCTTAATTTTTTTATAAAGTCAAAGAAGATATATAGGAGTAGTACTTTTATTTTTTTATTATTAACATTCACAATTGACATAACAATAAATATAAGTTAGAGTGATATCAAATTCATTGCACATTTGCACAAGTATATCTTATGACTTTTAAACCTCAAATTAAACCAAAAAACAAAATTGACAATGATGCCTCAAAACAAATTAAAGAACTAAACCCTTGTGAAATTACTCTATTAAAACTATGTACATGTCTTAATAAATGAGTATCATGTTATGGAAAAACAATTACTCAATAAAGATTAAGTAAATAAATGATTAAAATTGTCAATCAAAACCTTACTAATGTTTCCACCATGAATATAACTATAGAGGCAATATATTTAACATTACTTTACACAAAAACTGTAACAAGACTGGCACAAAATATTAGTAGTGTGTGTTACAAGCTAGTTTATATAACTAACCGATTTAAGTTTTAAAATAGGTTTCATGAATGCATTTGACATTTAAAAATCATGTGCAAATATTGGAAACAACAATTTCATCAAATTAAACCTACATCAAAGATTTTTAAGTTAATCTACCATGATACTATTGCATTGTATTAGGTTTGTACTGTGTAAGCCCTTCCAAAGTTTGCAATTTATGACTTGAAATCTTCTTGTGTATCAAATATCAATATCTTTTATTCAATATCTAATAAAACCATAACAATGATATACTTCCTCTATCTGTTCCACAAATATTGTAACAAGGATGAAATTACGCATCCCAAACCACATTTTATATATTAAATATCTATAATTATATAAGAGTAAAAATTATAAAAAGTTGATATTGTGAAAGTATTTTACAAGACGAATCTAACAAGACTCCCATATAACTATATTTTACTTTACGTATAAATTATAATTTATAGTCAAACAAGCATAATGAATAGTGCAACAGTCCAATTATTACAATATTACTAAAACGGAGTAAGTATGTAGCCAGAGAAAATATAAAATGCCTAATAGTTTTAAGAGAATAAGTCTTAGAAAAAAAGAAAAAGTGATGGCGATGGTTGGTCTTCTTGTCTTTGACTCCATATAATGTCGCTATCAAAGCCCCATGGAGGAGGTTTTTTAAACTTCACTCACAAGGTAATCATCATGGATTTATGACGATCTTACATTCTTCTTCTTTCTACCTTGTTTTTTTCTTTTTTTATTTATTTTGCTTCCATTTCACATAATATGGCCTACTCTATTCTTTATGGGGTTCGGTTGAGTTGAGATGGGTTCAACCCCCTTTCCTTCCTTCTAACACCCTTCCTTTGTTCTTTTTAATCGCAACATTTTTTTTTAAGAAGCCACATATTAGTAGCAACATTACTTTATTTAACCAACAATAATAATGCTTTTTAATTTTTATCTCTCTTTTCATTATATGGGGTAATTTTTTTTTCCTCGTATCTCTTTCTTTATCTCTCTCATCTCTTTAAATATTGTGCATCTCCTTCGTATTGCAATTAAAAGTTAATGAAAGAATTACATACAACTATACATGTACTAGCATTATATTTTTATATTATTATAAGTAATAAAGGTGTTTAGAGTTGTACTTGGTCACACGTGAATTCTAAGTATAAACTCACTTTAATTTCATGCCCTCTATACAAATTGCATTCTTATAGAGAAAAGAGTAGTACTGAAAGTACTGCTTGTAAAATACTTCCCCCTTTTCTTAAGCATTTAACGTGTCAATATGTAATTGTCCATTTCGTTTAATTTCTATGATTTTTTAATAACCATTATATTATGATTTGAATGGCGACAAACGTATTTGGCTGTCAAACAATGACATTTTTTGATTGACTGTTACATCTCCTTTAACAACTACGATACATTTTTAGGCTCGATCTGCTACCTTATAATCAGGCCATGCACTTATTATACTCATTTTTTGCTAATTTTGCCCCCATTATCTTTTTATTTATTTATGTGCTGTATAAGAAACGTTACCGCCTACACATGCACATATATATAATTGTATACGGAGTATGTATTCAACTTAAGTACCGTATATTTTGTGTTGAATATACAAAGTAACTCACAATTCTACACTAGTACATTATATACATACCAGAGTTTCGAGTGACATTTGGTCCTTGTTTTTTTTTTAATCATTTTAAAGAATTAAATTTTCGAAACAATAACTTTAGAGAAGTTTGGGAAAAAAAAAATGAAATTTTTTACACACCCGGGTACAAGATGTATCAATGTTATTTTTTTTCTCATTTGATGATTAAATGACCAATAATCAACCTTTAATTCAATCAATAAAAAAGCAAAAACATACATTGATATATCGTACACCCAAGTGTATATAACAACTTTTGGGGAAAAAAAAAAAGAAAAGAAAAAAAAAAAGGGATATTATACCCTATAACCTTGTGTTTTATGCGTTTTTCTTATATAACCCTGACTTTTACATTGTTATTGCCTGAGTTAACCTTAAACTTATAAAAACTTATTAAATTGGATGAAAAACATAACAATATATATTAATCAATTTCATTTATTTTAAACTTAAATGGGTAAAATGAAAAGAAAGGAAGATAAGTAACTCAGGAAATTAATTAACGGTGTTAGCTTTTTCATCCAATTTAATGATATTTTGCAAGTTTAAGGTTACCTCAGAAAGTAGTGCAAATAAACGATAGGGTTACATAAGAAAATTACATAAAACACAAGGTTACATGATATAATATTCCAAAAAAAAAAAAAAAAAAAAAAGTCTATTGCTCATGCAAAAAGCTTTTGATATTCTATAAAGATTTATAAATTGAATTAAAATAGAAAGTATAGAGTATTGGAGTAACTGAATATTAGGCTCTAAGCATCTTCGCTAATGCCTAATCTACGTAGTCAAAATAATGGTGAGTAAGCAAAGGATAAGAACTAAAGAAACAATAGATTTGGGGATAGAATCCAACCAAGGCAGCAGTTGTATATAGGGCAAGCAAATAACAATACAGTACACTGTACTAGACATTTGGAGAAACTACAAAGCTACTCTAATTCACGTTTCAAGGAACAGCTGTTTTGACAGCAATACCTTTTCTTTAATTTGGAGTTCATTACCTTGCCAACCAACATCCTTCTTTGCATACCAGTATTTCCTTTAACTAGTTTATGACTCGAGCAATTTATAGGATTGTTATTTTAAATATCATATAATAATGTTTACTCAGGTTGAATAAGAGAATTTGTTTCTCTTATATTAGTTTCTAAATCTTGAAATTATTTAATTATGAATTCGTTGTTGTGATTGATTGTATACTCGTATGAAGAATTATATTTAGTGTTTTGTATATCATGATTCAAAGATGTTTAATAAAAGTTAATGTTCGAAACCATAAGGTTTTTTTAAAACAAAACACAACTTGTCTTGCAATAATCGCTATCCTTTTTACTTAGACTAAACAATTAAGATGTTTTTATTAATAAGACCAAATACTTAGAAAAGACAGTGGTAATATGAAGTTATTTATGTATTGATGGTTCAAAGTCCGATCCCCATCAAATTAACTATGTTGTCCATTTGTCATCTTGTCGTTCATATTATATACATGTATGATGTATCATATTTGTTGATGTCGAATATTTCTAGTGACAGGGCTTTCATGTGATATTATACTTGCATAGGAAATCTTGTAAAATATACTTTAATATTTGTATTAAAAAAAATAATTAAAAAGCAGAAATAGTTGCTAACATCGTAACCGTGGTCACTTCTCCAGTTCTCCCCTAAAGTACACACAATATATCAGCTATATATTGTCGCATTTTTATTGTCCAACGTCAAACTAAAATGATTAGTATTATTAGTATTCCTCTATTGTTGAAAATTCGACTCAATTTATATTTACGCAGTTTTTAATGTGTATTTTTTACCATAAATATCTTCAACTAATGTTAATTTATTTTATAATAAATCATAAGATGCGGTCAAACTTATTTTATGTTGACATCATAAACAATAAGTGAGTCGAACTTTAAAAAACGGAGGTAGTATTAAGTTCATACTACTTTAAGAACCACATATCAAAACTGAAAATTAATGGTTCTATGCCCTTACCAAAATTTTCCTTTTCCAGCTTCCTTGAAAAACAGTACATACTGCATAAAATTGCTACTTTATAAAGATTCGCGTTAAATGTTGATCATATACTCCCTCCGTCTCTTTATTTTTACCCCATTGTCATTTTTTGGGTCAAACTTTGTAAATTTTGACCATTAATTATCTTTAATCTATAATTAATAATGTAGTCATGTGAAATTTTATTAGATTCGTTTTATTATATATTTTATTAATGTCACGTTTTTATAATTTTTACGTGTATAGAAATGAAGATATATACGTTTTAATACGCGTCTTAAAGTTGAATGGGGCAAAAAAATAGGGATAGAGGGAGTATTATGAT